TGAAAAAATAGATCATTTGATTATATAAACGATGAGGAGATCATCCACCAATGATATTATAAGATTCACTATAGATTTTATATCAGTGGAATTGATAAAATATATCAAATAGATAACTAGTTATAATGAATAGTAATATCAGAAAATTAAAATAAATTGAATTCTCGATTTTTACACAAAAATAAAGAAATGCAAAACAGCCTTAATTTAAAATAATAATGATTCTTATTACAGTTAAATATTGATTGGAAAAGAATATATTAACTTCACCTGATCTTAATAGACCTTAACCGCTGCAAATTAAATACAGAACAGCCCCTGTGTAAATCATAAACTTTTTTTTTTGGGGGGGGGGGGATACTGTTGGATTTTAACGAATAAATTTGATTACTAAAAAAAATCCTATAGCTGATCCAGTTTTAAAAAAATGACCATAAGGTCTGCTCACTAATAATTGCGCTTCTTCAAAATTATGTTATTTCTTTCGGATCTTACAGTTATTCTCCTAAATTTTTTTATTGAAGAGTCATACTAAAATATATTTAAAAAAAGTCTAGTGCCCATTTTGAATGAAGGCCAAAAGAAATACGGAGATAGTAATACATAAATACATAAATCTTATTCAAACGTCTCAGTTAAGATCACATGAATAAAGTAAATTTTCTTGTTTGGTTTTCAAATGTTAGATAGTATTTGATCCCAAACCATGGAAAATATAGGTAAAATCATAATAATAATATTGAGTTCGTATCGGATCATGAATTATCGTGCACATCACTTGGACTCAGGGCATTCTTATATATAATTGTATGATATATATCATTTTTTCCTCTCCAGCTCTCTCCACTCTCATACAGTCGCACGCATCCTGAGATCCGTCCATCTGCAGTGGTGGTGCTTGTTCTTCTTCGATGGATTCTGCGACGAGAAAGTTGAAAAAGATGTGGGGTGGCTGTGGCTGTGGCTGCCGTCGCGGGCAACACGATGAAGAGGAGTACCACGACTACTATGACTTCGACGACGACGACATGTATTCTGAACACAAGAAGAAGAGCAGAGTGATTCCACTCCGTTTCTTCCCCGTCTGCGTCGGACCGGAGAAGCAGAAGTTCATGATCACGATCGAGCATGCGATTCACCCACGCTTCTCGGCTCTGTTCGAAGAGGATGAAGAATATGACCGGTCGGTCCATTACGACGGCCCTCTATGGCTTCCTTCCACCGATCTTGATGTGTTTCGCCAGGCATTGGCTGAGATAGAGGCCTCTCTGGAAGAAAATCTTCGCCTTCACCCTGCCCCTGCCCCCGCCCCTCCTGTTCAACACCGTTGGGGTCGTCGGCTTTCCAAGATTCTCAGAGCTCTTAAGTTTTTTAAGATCAACCATTGCTCGTAGATATCTGTCTAGTTTATGTTATATGTATTGAAACTTCCTCGTTAACATTTGGATGCATGGCATCGATTCTAGGTGTAGTTCGGGCTTATTCATGTGCAATGTCTCAAACTTAGCTGTGTCTTCGTATTAAAAGAACAAAAACAAGTTGGAGTTTCGATCGTTATAGGTTTTTCCAGAAATTTACCGAAAACCTAACTTGTTATTAATTCTCTCTTCTAATGTCTAACTTTCATGGTCTCTCTTAAAATTTTGAGGAATCATAACAATCCAATCCAACTTTTTTGAGATAATAAATTAATTGGTTTAATTATATATTAACAACGAATAAATTGTATTAGTGGGAGGAGCTAGAGAGGGAGGTGGGCCATTTTTTTAACCAAAAAATACATGCTTTATGCTAAAGAACATTTTAATTTTAGTACTTGATATAAGTTTTTTAATAATTTTTTAGTGAGAGGGAGAAAATATATTAATTGTAAATAATATAAGAATATAAAAAATATAAAATATAATATTCAGATATAAAATATACTACCTCCGATCCTAATTATAAGACTTAGTTGACTGATTTGAGAAGATTAAGGAAAGAAGTTAAGTTAGTTATTTGTAATAAATATGTGTTGTCTTTCCTAAGATATCCTTATTAATCAACTATATTGGCTAGAACTATAATTATTAGAAGGACTATCTTGAAAAAAAATGCATAAATATGAGAGACAAAGTAGATTGAGATATTATATTTAGGACTAAAATAAAAGTCAGACAGAATCTTATATTAAGGATCGGAAGTAGTATGTAACATTTAGTTAGGAATTTGATCTGCTCCTTCGGAAAGCTACCCGCGGTGGCGCTATATATCATTAAAAAAAAAAATTTCCCATAAAATCTGAAACCCAGAGTACTACTATTATTTTCCAATGCCTAATCGAAGAATCTTTCAAGAGATATCTCATTCATCGCTGCAAGTTTGCATATAAATTTTAGACTACGGTAAAAATAGATCCAGAATACCATACACACACACACACATTCATATATCGTCTTGCCAACTTTTATAATGCCCTTTTATTTTGGTGGCAGTGTACATATAAGGCTCTTTTATTTTTACAGCACAACAAAAACATTGTACTCTTCTGGTTTTTAATATATAACTTAATTGTTAAATTATTTTTTTCTAAATATTAGATATATTTCTCATATTTATCAATTTTTTTTCTAAATTACCTTATGAATACTCCCTAAACTATAATCAAGTAAGTGAGGGAGGGAAGATATTAAGAAAGATGATTATGGTATTTTAGAAAAAAAAATATGTCATATTTTTATAATTAACTAACTTATCTAACTTTCTTAATATAATCAGATTAGTTAAATAAATCTTATATTAAGATCAGAAGAGAATCTTTTTAAAATGAGAAGAACAGGAAGAGAAACACGAAGATACCGATAATATATGAAATAGAAAAGTATACAAAACCTGACAGGTACAAACTGTTGTTTAAAAAATCTATTTATGGTGCTAACGAAAAAAAAAATCCATCCATCCATCAATCATATCCCACGCTCTTAATTCTCTGAATAATCCTTTTCCAAACTACTGAAAAAGTATGCTTTATTTCCTCAACCAAATTTTTGCAACGGAAGTATCGTAATTCAATAGATAGCGGATTGAAAAATATAAAAACGTGGGGGCTAAAATTTATATTACCATTTTTTAACAAAGCAAATCATATTACTACTATTTTATATTAACATATTATTCTTGGAGTGGGGAACCACCCGCTTCTGCCTCCCTTATCTGCCAATGATCATGATTTTAGTCTTTTTCTTTTTGCCACATGATTTGTTATATATAGATTTTATTTATATCGCATAATTAAACATATATTCTTCGTGTGAGTCAAATGCTTATTTGAATATATAGAGCAAAACATCGAGTGCACATATTAAAAAAGCCCAAAAAATATGTACATAATATATCTTATTTAAATCTTTTAGATAAGAATTTGGATAAGTTACGTAGATAGAAAAAGTTGAATAGCACTCAGTATATAACTTTTTGATATTTGATTTAGTCATGATGATTATTATCTTATGAAAAAAACAACAGTCAAACTAAAAAATATACTCCTCCGATCCTTAATATAAGACCCATTTAACTAATTTGATTAGATTAAAGAAGTTAGGTAAGTTAATTAATTATAAGAAATGTGATATGTTTTTCCTAAAACACCATAATCATCTTTCTTAATACCACATCTCCCTCTTCTACTTGATTATGGTTGAGGGAATATTTATAGGGGTAATTTAGATAAACTTGATAAATATAATAAATGGGTCTTATATTTAGGACCAAAATCAACTCAACAATAGGGTCCTATATTAAGGACCGGAGGAGTAAAATTTAAATAATATTGTCCAGATCTTATCAGGAGATTATTGTGCACATCCCTCGCCATAACATGCATATTCATATGCGCACACATAGGAGCTCTCGCATCGATATCTTCTCTTTGACCTCCTAGTGACCAGTACCTGTGCTTACTCCTCCATGGAGATGGTAATAAGGAAGTTCCAGAAGATTTGGGATGACTGTTGCTATCGCCGGCAACACCGGTCAGAAGAGGAGTACGGCGATTACACCTGGTTACGTAAAGACGATACGACAATGCCAGAAAAAGAGAAGGAGAAGATGAATCAGAACAGAGTGAGTCGAGAGGGCTGCTTCGGCGTCTACGTCGGACCGGAGAGGCAGAGATTCGTCGTCAAGATCGAGCATGCCAATCACCCACGCTTCATAGCTCTGCTTCAAGATGCCGAGAATGAGTATGGCAAGTCGATCCATAACGACGGTCCTATTTATCTTTCTTGCGACGTCGATGTGTTCTGCGAGACATTGGCTGACATAATTATCTCTGATTTTGATTCCTCTGTTCCATTTAGTCCCACGTCTTCTCATCGATCTGGTCAACAGAGTTGGGTTCGCCGGCTTTTCCAGATTCCGATTCTTGGACTTGTTAACTTTAAGTTCAGCCATTGGTTGCAAATATTTAGTTTGTAGTTACGTTAGAGAAATCGATTTTCCTTTTCTGTTTTTCATGTTTCATAAACGACTGGCTAATGATCCTAGGCTCGATTTCTTTACAGTTGTTAGGATATTGATCATTCTTGGGTCTGTAACAGGATTTTCCTTTTTAGCCCTTAATAGGAACACAAGTCTTTCTTAGTTAAATTTTGTGGGGTAGTGTTCTAAATGTAATTCAGATCAACTATGTCTTCGTCGGGCTTCATTCGTTACAATTTTTTTTTTCCTTTTCAAATTAGCACAGTATATTTGGATCGGGCCAAAAAAAGAAAAAACAAAAGAACAGGAATGATATTATTTGGATTTTAGGAATAATAACAGCCCATGTTAATATTGATGATTGTTTAGATAGTCTGTTGCGATTTGGATAAAAGGAAATATAATCAAAGAAGTCCAAAAATTAATCTTTACGTCTCAAATTTGAGTTAACGAGAGCACGACAATTGGTGATTACATTTTTAAACGAAATATAAAAGTCTAATTTAATTTTTACAAAAATATGGTACTTCCAGATTCAAGTAAAGCAACACCATGTTTCCAGTATGTATACGTCATATTGACTTGAGAATCAATATTATTTCCCCGGCAATTGACGATAACAACAGCAAAATATTAATTTATAGCAGAAGCTAGCAGACATGGGCTTAATCAAACAGGTGAATACATTATTGGACTGTAAATGTAAAATACTTATAAAGCAAAGTAATCAATAATTGAAAGATTTTTCATAACTGCATCAGTGCTTCAAAGATTTCCATGGCAGAAGCAGGCAAACCCAGAAGAACATTAATGTTCTTCCTCTCTTCCCCATGAGAGAGGAACAAGACGACCTCTTTCTCAGGCAATGTCACGGGCCCAGAACACAGAGGTTGTCCCCATCCAAAATCTGTTGTGTGGAAAGACAACCGCGCCCAAGTTGTAATCAAAAGCGTCGCGGTTAAGGAAGGCCTTGCTCTTGTCACTTCAAAATAGTCTATAGCTGATCTCATGTACCTATCTGTCACCATATCAATGGCCTTTTGAACCAACCCAACTGCGAAAGATAGAGGATTCGTCAATAACTCGCCTGCCTCACACAGTGAATTTGTCAACACTATGGCGTTTCCGAAGAAGCCTTCTGGTATTGGAGGATCGAATCTGGACCGTCCATCAACAGCGAAAAGAAGCTTGGTTTGTTGATCAGGTTTCATCCTCAAGGCTTCAGTTCGAGCTCTCCATACAAAAGCAGAAAGGGCTTCAAAAGTAGAGCACTTTTGAAGAACCCCATCTTCCATGGCTTTCTTCTTGAGAAGCTCCACCTTGTCTGGATCGAAACAGAAGGATTTGTAGAGCATGTCTTCTTCCTCGTATAGTTTTGAGGTATCTGATATGTCTTCAATCTCTGCAAATTCATGGTGGGGGAATTCTATAAGAGGAGGCTCGCGTGCTTTCAGTATGGTTCGATCAAGAAATGGAGGAATCTTTAAGTCTGAGCCTCTTGCAGCATCACTCCATGCGTTTACAAATTCCATAGCACACAGTCCATCTTTCATACAGTGGTTCATGGCCAACCCCAAAGTAAAGCCTCCACACTTGAATCTTGTCACCTAAAACATATGCAAGTTTAGCTTTGGGCTGTGTAAATTAATCATCTACAACGCCTTATAGGAACTTGTATACTTTCGTTATAGAGAGCATATATATATATATATACACACACGTATGATCTAATTAAATGATAAAGTCAAGTGAAACCTGAACAGTCATAAGGGGCATCTCAATTATGTTCTTGGCACCAGGGACGCTATAAGCCAGTTTGCCAAGAGTTGAAGGATCAGGTTTTGTCAAATCTCCAATTTTTTCTATGTCGCAGTTCGCTTCAGCTTCAACGAACACTGCACCCTCACCAGTACAATCTACTATCAACTTCCCCTCTGAACTGATTATTAACCTGCCGGCCATGGGATGATAAGGAACAAGAATCTTAGACAAGGCCTCTCTTATCACTGTTGCAGCATCCTCGTTCCCTCGAGAATCAGATTTGAAACAATAAACTGTGCGAACGGGAACTGCTATGTTCTGGTCCAGGTTTGAGAGGAAGTAAAGACCCTTGTCTGTTTCTTCTGCAGGTGGAACCAGAATTGGTTCTCCTTGCTTCACATCAAGCTCAAAGTTTGAATCTTTTTCCATCATGCTACAACCTCGGTGATGGAGCTGGAACCCTAAAGAAAAAATCAGTATAGACTTTAAATCACGCCAAGGAAATAAATTGGCTGAGCTGGTGTAAGTATACCTGTGGGGATCTGTAACGCAGAAAGTACGTAGTATTTATTGGGACACTTGAGGGATAAGAAAGAGATGTTTATGAAGGTGGTGGTTGAGAGTAGGAGAATTTTGACTTTGGATCACCACAACAGGTATATGTAAGTGTGTGTGTGTACAATAAGGGAAAAAAATTAAAGCAAAAAAGTAAAAGAGGACAAGCCTGCTCGAAAATCTTTGGCTTCATATTTTGGTTAACAAATACCGCAGCATGCATGATGAAAAGGACAGAAATGGAAGGTCAATTCAAATGTTTATAGCAAAGCTTACTTAAGAGTAGAGCAATTTCTCGGGCAAAATGTCACATGGATTGTTGGAGTTTTTGGATTTTATACATTTTGTACGTTTGCCTTTTAATAGAGCCTAAACCATCATTTTGAGTTTAAAAATTAGGGAAAAAATGGTTGCTTATGAAATTTGTGCCTTGATAACTTTATTGGATTATACTCCTCCGGTCCTAATTATAAGACCCAATTGACTTTTTTGAGGAAATTAAGGAAGTAAGTTAAGTTGGTTATTTATAATAAATAAGTGTTGTCATTCCTAAAATATCCTTGCTAATTAAGTATATTGGCTGAAACTATCATTATTAGAAGGATTATCTTGGAAAAAAATGCATAAATATAATAAACAAAATGGATTGGGGTCTTATAATTAGGACCAAATAAAAAGTCAAATGGGGTCTTATAATAAGGACCGGAGGAGTATGTAGGTAATATATATAAATATTTTATTAATTTGTGAATTAATGTCTTTTTATTTAAATATTATTTTAATTACAATATGTCTGAATCAGCTGTGGTTTAAAGTATTGAACATTAAACCAACGAATTCATTCACTAGTCCGATTTTGGGTGATTTCTTTTTTACAATAGATAATGTCTACCACAACAAAATTAAACATAGCGTATTTAATTTTCTAAACAAGTAGATTTAGATTTTAGAGTTTCTCCGTTATTTGGTTGAAACTTGAACTGGCGTTTAACGTGAAAAGCATATATGTTATATACAGTGCTTTACTTGCGGAACATAAAAACCAACCTAATGCGAATATTAAAGTGTGATATCAAGGACTATGCGGACTTGAGATCTCCCATTTCTCGCGGCAGCCAGATTGCTATTATCGTAATTCACTGCGTCAAGAGAAAGAAACCAAATTTCATATGTATACATAATTCGGTTTGTTCAGACGTTATCATCAGAAAATTTCACAAGTAATCTCCACGAATGGACGTTCGTTTGTTTATATTCACACGATACTGTATTGGATTGGATATGAGGAGCCGCCGAACGATTTTGTTGTCAAGTCCCGCGTGATAATAGCATTATAGCAGTCCAAGTTGATTTTCAGAGTACACAATTCCGAACTTATCAGTTACCAGAAGAGTTCGGCTACTATATACCTTCGATTTGAAAAAAAAAAAAAAAACTACAAATCTTAGAAAATTGGGAAAAGTCTTTCATTAAAAATTGGTAATGAGAAGGACATAATATATTTTTATACATTAAAAATATAGATGTTCTGCAATTATTGTATAGTTTAAACTTCTGTCCAATAATAATTATATTATTTATGAAATTCACTGTAAAAAAACTTTGTATTGTATCATAAAGCCTTTTTCTCCCTTTTTTTGATATTGTACATATTTCAACTGAATTCAAATTAAATCATATTCTCGAGTCTATTTATAAAACTTTACCCATCATATTGGAAAGTTGTGAAAAAAAGAGGTAGGAAACTATAACGGAGCGTGGAGTAGCCAAAATCGATGAATATATCAAGGAAATATAAGGCTAAATTATAAATAAAAAAAAATCAACAGCAAGAAGCAACGTAAAAGATATGGCAAGAATATTCCGATCACAGGATCTAAGAATCAAGTGACTAACCAAATATAGAATCAAGATAAATGCAAGGGGCCGAAAAGCACAGGGCCCAAAATAAATCTAAACTGTTAAATCCGCATGGTTCTGAGAATTTTCAAATGCTGGGAGTCAATGGATGCAAAATATGAGACCTTTAATGTCATATGGAAGTCGATTATTTTATAACTCTGAACATTACAAATTCATCTAAATTGCTAGGCAATACTGTGGCCAAAAATACAAGGCAATGTTTGGTGGGGCGAATAAACAATCTATTCGATATTTTAATATAAATAAATCTAAGCTCACATCAGCACTACAGAAGGGACTACTCTACTATGGTACAAACAAATCTAACTAAGCATCCTTCATTTCTTAAAAAAAAAAGTCACAACTCAACCAAATATCTACCGTAGCTTATGATCCGTAAAGAGTTGGAAGAATTATGAAGACTCGATTGGATGACCCACCTGCCTCTAAGTTCTGCAAGGGTCAGATTATTTGCCAATTCAGTCAAGCATCATCATCATCATCTTTCTCTGCTTCGTCATCCCCACCATTATCAGCTTCCTCTTCATCTTCCTCATCAGACATGTTATTAATCACCTCTGTTATTATATCCTTTACCTCTGCTTTTCTATGCATTAAATCCAGACCAAAGTGGGTACCTGACACAAAATCAGAACGTAGCTGAGATCCACTAAATCATTTATCCTCGGGAAAAGGGAAGGGGAGGCAAAAGAACATAGTCAATAGAAAAAAGGTCATACCAAGTTGCCTAAGGATATCAGATAAAGTTGCCTGCATGAATAGTAGAAAATATCACAAACTTATAAAATTATAGAACCTCTACCACTATTGAATAAGAGAATAATGGCATGGAAGACCACTTACCGTATTGAAATCTACCTCCTTCAGAATATCAACAACTACCGCATGCATCTCCTCCCTACTAGGCTCTGTCTTGACTTTCTTGCCACTTTTACCTTTTCCAAAAATTGGCATCAAAGAAAGGAGCATGAGCAGGAGAAACAATGGTACGAAGACATTCCTAAAACTATAAATGGGTAGCTGTCCAAAAAGAAACTATGAATGGATAAAATAACAGATTTATTAAGCATCAAGCAAGCCCTTACACAGGACAAAATTAAATGAAGTAGAAAGGAAAAATTATAGGCAGAAAAGTTTCTCCTCTGAAGATTGAAAAGATAACTAGGAAAAAAAAGAGAGAAGAATGTGGTCAATGTACCTTGACTCTTACTGGAGACCCTTGAGGACTTGTCTGTCTGTTTTTTGCTTACAGTTTTCCCTTTAGAATCCTGGTTTTCCTTTGCAGTTTTCTGCTTCTTGGATGAAGATTGCCTTGACTTGGAAAGGGTAGCAGAAGCATTACCATGTTCAGTAGCAGATTTCTTTGAAGTTGACTTTTTTGAAGCTTTTTCAGAGCTCTTGGTAGCTTTTTCAGTGGCTGTCTTCTTTGCAGGTGTGGTTCTATCTTCAGTTTTACCACCTGAACTCTTATCTCCAGCCTTTTTAGAAGGATGCTTCTGAGCCTTGGGTTTATCTTCCTCTTCCTCTGATTTATTTTCCTCTTGATCACTTTCATCATTTGCAGCTGAAACATCATCATCCTGAGAATCATTTTTAGCATCTGAAGGCTCAGCTTTATCGTCCTCCTCATCAACCTCAGAAGATTGTTTACGCTTTTTCCCCACTTGTGAGCTCTGTTTCTGTTTCTACAAGCACATATGCATATGAAAAGGAAGTTAAATTAATTTGAAGAATATCCTCTTTGACATGATTACAGAAAACACAAACTCAGATTTCAAATAATCAACGACTGCATCATCCACTAAAGTCTATATGATTCTAAATTGAAGTCACATCAACAAATTGTTTACATATCCAAATCATAAAGCAAACCATCAGTAAGTAATCATAGTTCAGCAGCTGTCCCAATGCTCTTTTCCTTCTCTGGTTCCCGGTGACTGCCAACACTTAATGGCAGATTATTTCCGCTTTTTCTTCTTTGTTTTCACATGCACTGTATTTTATTTTCTTTCCTCTTCAGCTGTTTTGCATCCAGGATTCCAGTAGTCTCTTTACTTGCATGAATAAAACAGACTTCAGAGTATAATCTGTGAGTTCTGTTCATAGCATCAGAGTGCTACTGGCCTCATCAACTCTACGCCAAAATAGTCTCCCATTAGTCTCAAAGGAAGACAAGGGCAAACCACCCACTAATATGCTGTCCTAGCTAAGTCATGGGGTGTCCAAAAATAAACCAGTGCGCATGACTGGTCACAAGTTGAATGGGGGTGTATAATTATCATAGAGTAATGGGCCTCCAGAAATTGATTGTCTGGCAAAGCACTCAATCAATTGACAATTCTAAGGGTATGATCTAGACTGGAAATGTTGCCCAGTCAGGTAATAGCTCAATTACTCTGAACACCCCAAGTTATGGAAAATCAATGACAGATTGTAGAGCCAAGAGATTCAAAACACGACCTACAATTCTGCACATTAGTTGATTTTAATTCATGCAAATCAACCATGAATGTCAAAATTGCAGATCGCACTTTGACTTGTCTAACTCATACATTGAAGGAAGGCCGTGAAGAAACAAGCATCTCAAGAAAAATAGACCTAGGAGCTAGTCAACTTTTCTCAAGTCAAAAACCTAGTGGAATCTAAATGAATCTTCAACATCAAATACAAAAGCATCAATAGGTGGAAGGCAAAATTGGTGGCTAAAGGGTTCACACAAGCAAAGGCTCACTATCACTGGCAACTACTCTTGATTGGATGCTCCATCAATTAAACATTAAAAATAATTTTTTAAAAGGAGACCTGAAAATACACATGCCTTCCAATGACCATGCTTTGCGCCAATATGACTATTCAACAGGACAAGACTTTGAAACATATTGAAGCTCGCCATTGCTTCACCAAATAGGTGGATCCAAGGTACTCAATATTATATACCCCCTTTCAAAACACAAGCTACTGGCATGCTAATAAAGAATCAAACAGAACAGGACCAGTTCAATTAAGTCGAGATATGCAATTGTTTGGAATAATTTTCTATTGAACCCGTTAAAAAAGTATATTTAAGCTGAGTAGGGATAGACAATACTTTCCAAATTCAATTCTATTAATGCTGATTACTAAACGCAAGATTTAGACAAAGCCATTTCAGAAATATGAAAAGGGCTTGTGGCAACCTCAAACTCCATCACAAAAACAATTTTCCTAATTATTTCAAAAACAAAACTCACCTATACTAAACAACTATTTCATACCTTGATGAATCAAAAACCATGAATTAAGTTTAAACAGATGGAAGAGAACACATTGCAAGATTGATGGATAGCACAAACAAGAAATAATATAGAAACACACCTTGCTAGATGTTTCAATAGATGCTTCTGTAGAAGATTTGCCTGGTGTTGCCTTACTCTTTCTCTTTTTACCTCTCTGCAATACAAAAGCATGTTATGAACTCAGTTCCTACAATCTAACAGTTTAAACCAATTAAAATTAAAGAATATTAAACCTGCTCTTTATCAGCAAGGAGAACTTCAGTTGTAGCATGAGGGGCCTCCAAGAACTCCAACAACTTTGCAGAAAGTTCCTCCTGAAAACAAGTCCCATCAAATAAGAAATGCATACTAAAAAGATTGCAAGTTAAGCTAGGAAAGATATTATTAAAACAACATTCACCTTCTTCACACTTCCCTTAGATATTGGAATATTAAGCACATCACAGAAATCCACCAACTTTTCTTTCACACACTTATCAAGCTTCTCCTTTACCTTGGCTCTGTGTTTATCCTGATATAAATAGTTATCACAGCTACAAATTAGTAACAGCCGAGACATTGAAATTTTTAGGGAAAAGATATCAGACATAAAACTCATTACAATTCAACAGAAGAGTTAAGAAAATCAAGCAGATGTTCATATCATATACAAAAATGTACCTCATTTTCAACCCACACATAGCCAGAAAACTGACCAATATTCCTCTTTAAAGTCTGAGCCTGCACAGGAAACCATAACACTAATATTCACTGAACAGCCATAGGTTTACAAGGTTCACGGACAATTTGAAGAAAAGGCAAAACTTTTCACTACTAGAAACCCAAAGAATCCTAGAACCTAAGTAGGTGTTTCACCTTTGCTCGCTTCCCAAAAAGTATACTATGAAGTATTTGCAGGTTGTCATCAGGTTTTCTCTTGGACAACTTGAAAGCCACTACAGCAGTTCACATAAATTACTTGATTAAGAAAAGATGCTACAAAAACCAAGTTAAAGAATAGCATACAACTTAATTAGCAAACCATCTGCAAAGAACTGACAATTTTAGAATATTCTTAGTGTACATTCAAAGGTCAACCATCTTGCCAGTATAACAAACACGAAAGAGAATCCATTAATATCAGACCTAGGAAGTTATCATTTTTACAGAGGCCAACTGGAAGGGGGGGAAGTACTCCTCTAGTCCTTAATATAAAACTCATTTAAGTAATTTGATTAGATTAATAAAGTTAAATAAGATAGTTAATTATAAAAAATGTAGCACATTTTTCCTAAAACACCATAATTATTTTTCTTAATACATCTTCTCCCTCTTTTACGTGATTATGGTTAAAGGAGTATCTATAGAGATAATTTAGAGAAAATTAATAAATATGAGAAATGAGTCTTATATTTAAGATCAAAACCAACTTAATAATTAAATCCTGTATTAAGGCCTGGAGGAGTATTAACAATAACTTAGAAATTAGAATCACATTATTGGGATTTTTAAAAAATTTTTACGCATGTTATGTTTTGTCCCAAAAAAAAAAAAAAAAAAACCTAATGACAAAACTATAAGAATTCTAGTCCATCAAATAACATTCCAAAGCCCAACACTTCCCCTGTATTATTTAAATAAATTATTTAACGTATTAACATTGCCGCAAGGAAAAGAGGCTTTTGCACTCTAAATTGAGTGGCACTGAATGGAAAAAGAACTCTAGACCAGTGAAGAAATTCCCAGATTGCTGGTCTAAATTAACCTATAATAGCATAGAACAACAACAAATAACTGCATTAAATTGCAGCCATGAGAGGCAAGCCAGCATCTAAAAGCCGCATAGCTGATTCTTATAAAAATAATTCCAACAGCAAATCATACGGATGTTAAATGCTAAAAAGTGCAGAAAACAACTAACTTATTAATAAGATATCATATATCATCCCTGGTATACTTCTTTTAAGATATGAATCGAATGCAAACTGATTCAGAGAAACTGTAATGCATCACCAAGACGTACAAACTGAAGAGAAGGCAGGAAATGATGGAGTACACAAGACAATCTGATTTACCATTGGGAATGTCCTTAAGCTGCGTTCCGCGACCCTGAAATCCAAAGAGATCCATGAGATGAAAACCAACACTTCAGGCCTCATTTGTCGAGAGCCAAGGATAACATATCACTGAAGAAATGAGCAGATATCCACCAACATTCAAGGAAGACGTACCTTTTCAATTAGCAAACTTTTGCCAGCAGAAGACCTGCCAAACTTCCCAGGCGACGGGATAGAGTAACGCTCGACTGTTTTCCTCTCCCTAGTGGGCCTGTCACTTGCTGGAGTAGCAGGATCCTTTTTCTCTGAATCCTGTTTACTGGTTTTTTCTTTTCTCTGCTTCTTGGATTCACTCTGGCCCACCTTTGAACTTCCCCTGGGACGACCTTTGGCCTTAGGCTTCTCGCCAGCGTCAGCTTCGTCCCCCTCGTCTTCCTCCTGTTCTCGCTCGTCCTCCTGCTCCCCGTCCGTCTCCCCTTTATGGTTCTCGTCCTCTTGTTCCTCGTCTTTCTCTCCTGTATTGTCCCCATCCACATCCTTCTCAGCTTTCTGCTCCGCCTCCGCCTGGTCATGTGGATTTCCTTCTTTGTTATCTTCAGCCTCGGCTTCTACTTCCTTGCTTTCGGGGTCTTTCTCCTCGACATTTTCGTCTTGAGAATTACCAACTTCTCTAGGAGCGTCTTTCTCAGAAGGCCCCTTCTCCTCTGGTTCTTTAGATTCTTCCCCTACTTTGTTCTCTCCTTTGGCTTTGGCCTCAGGCTCCTGCAGGGGATTCTTATCCTCTAGGGTTTCCGTGGCCATGAAGAGGAACGAGTAAGTACTTCAACAGTGGCGAGTAGAAAGAATTGGGAAAAGGAATAGAATAGAGCGAAGCTGAAAACCCTAGGATTGAAAGAAACCCTATAATTAAGAACAGATCTCTAGAGTTGGGAGTGATAGAGAGGGAATCGTGAAATTCTGAGCGGACGAAATAAAGCTGAGGCGCGCTCAAACTACACCTGTTTCAAATTTGATGCCAAAATTGTGAGCGGGCCTCCCTCGCTCTTCTTCTCTTTTTCTCCCGGCAATACTAAAAAACCAAAATCAAATCAAATCAAACTGAAAAATGAAAAAAAATAATAATAATAATAATTTTTATTACCAAAACCGAATAATATTTAATACCCCCTTCCTGTCCTGCTCCCCCCGGTCACTGATCTGAAGCGCACCTCTGCAACATTGGAGTCTTCTTGTCCCGCCCGGCTCTTACGGGCCTCATGGGCCTTCCTCTTTTGTTAATTTCTGATGGGCTAAAAATATTTCTTGCTTTTTGTATCAAAAAAAATATTTCTTGCTTTCAAATAAAGGCCCATTTTAACATTATTGTGAATATGCAATCAACAATACCCCTCAATAGTACCAACAAATAAAATACTCCTCCAATCCTTAATATAAAACTTAATTATTAAGTTAATTTTGATTTTAAATATAAGATTTATTTTTTATATTTATCAATTTTTCTTAAGTTTCCTTTGTGGATGCTCCCTTAACCATAATTAAGTAGAAAAAGACAATAGGATATTAAAGAATATGATTATGGTGTTTTAAGAAAAACATGTCATATTTTTTATAATTCATTAATTTGCCCGACTTTTTTAGTCTAATCAAATTAGTTAAATAGGCCTTATATTAAGGATCGGAAGAGTAATATTTTTCTCCCAGTTTCATTTGGAATGGCTTACTTCTTAAGATATGTAAAGGTAATTCTTCGTTGGTTTTTTTTTTTTTTTCAGGTTTGTTCCGAGAGAAATGAAGTTTATAGATGCATCACCGATAGGAAGAAAAAATGAAATACAGGTGAGAAGCTTATCGTCCAAGGGGCGAGGTTTTGGTGACAAAATTTGAGTCATCTCTTTCCTTGCTTAACAGGTTAAGAATGTCATCTTATAACGCTTGTGTTGGTATATTATCTGATTTCAAATTGTTCCCTGAAGAGGTCTTTTTAGGCTGTCTTTTATTTGATTTGAATGATTGAAAATATGCCACCTTTATATATTCATTATGAAGGTATGACTTCTAATATTTCTATGATCCTAAATATAAAATCTTTATACTAGTATGTATACGGGTCTCATATGTAGAACCGGATGAATAGTTATATACATTATCTTTTGTTTATATGCATGTATATAAAGACCTGGGTTTTAATCCACACGTGAACATTGAAGGCGTTTGGAAGAAGACCTCTGACTCGAGGAAAACAAATGGTCGGGAGAAAATATTTTGCAATTTTATTATTGTCCAGGTCCATGACCCAGCATGCAGGATATACAGAAGAGCTAGAAATTTCTCCTCCATGCAATTTATGGACTACAATATTTAATTAGTTTTAAAATTTTAATAAATTATATTATTTAAGATAACTTAAGATTTACTTTTTATAAGAGTATGATTTTTTTATTCATTTAAATAGGATTTGAATTAGAGATGCAGAATTTATGAGGAACATATGAAAATTTAAAACTATTTATTTATTGCTTCCTTTAAAACCCAGCTGACATAATACTATGATCTAATTGTGATGCTCCTTATTTAATTTAATATATCCAAATCCCAATTAATATATTATTTAAATTCAAAATTAATTATTAATTTTTTCATTTGAACCTCTAATTAAAATCCCATTTAATAATGGTGATCTTCTTTTAATTCAATATATTCAAATCACATTTCAAGTCTTATTAACTGAGTTAAATATATTCAAGTATCATAATATTATACCCAATTTGTTTTTAAAAAAATCCGGTATTACAAGTTTTCAAGAACACTGTTAATTAGTTGATAATGATTGATTAACGACCATACCTTACAGCAAAAGCATGCTTTGAGTTTTCAAGCATGCAAATTTGAGGCTGTTGTCATAGCCTTTGCGTATAATGTAAAGGAAAACTTCCTCTTAACCGTTTTTTTTTTTTAAGCAATTGGATAAATTTTCACATATCAGCGTTCTGCGAATTTTGTACACGCAAATTACCGATATTCTAATTCAAGCCAAATATTGGATGCAATATATCTTCAAAGACCGACACTCTCAACAATCTTTAAAAAAAAAAAAAAGAAAGAAAGAAAGGAAAAAGAAAAAGAACCAAGAGCGGCATGCTTACAAGTTACAATGACATGGGAATTGATTATTTACATCAAGCCACGCAATTACAGAGCGGTCCATAATGAGGATCAGTGACACAATTTGCACTCTGAAAATTCTCTTTCGTCATAAACTTGCACTCATCGGCACACTGAGCTTCTGTACAGGGGTCGAGCTTGATCCCAAACGGATACGCCTCTTTGTGTGCTTCCGCCACCGCCGTGGCCGTCGCCACCACGACGATCAACACCATCAACAATTTCTTCATCATCGTTTTTATTGGGTCTCATGCAGATGCATTGCTTTGATTGTTTCCTTCTCCATTTATAGACCAGGCTAGAGATAATTAAGGATCCTTTTCGTGTCTCTGAGATTAAGGAAAAAATTGCGCAGAGAATTTATCTCCCCGGAGATTTTGCCATTCATGACATGTGTAATAATACTTTCCCCGTTTCTTTGTGTGAAAATATATTCCCCACATTTACCTCTGACATTGTCAAAAACAAATCAATCTCGTGAGTTTTCCTGCCATACCTTGAAAACCCTTTAAAGCGTTTACTAATATAATCGTTGATCATTTATATGCCTGTAACCTAAGAAGATTCATTTGACCTGCTTTTCATGTGAAAATTGCATTTTCTAAGATTTCTCTAAATCTGCATGTGAACATATCTCGAAGACACGTGTACGAAAAGCAAATAGCCATGAGAAATGATTATTATTGTGTGTCCGGCGGGAAGCAAGCGCTCAAACAGACTCAATATGTATCAGAGATACAAGAGAATTGACCCAGGCATATGAAACTGATGAGGTTGCTCTCATAATCTTTTCGCATATAGTATAATGTAAAAGCACACTTTGGAGCCCCAACTTCTCTGAAGTTTAATTTATTTATTCTGGACCTCAACTGACATAAACTAGGGACTCATAAGAACAATACTAAATAAGGGAGGAAGCTGAGTTGACAGTGACACACGTGCATAACAGCAGTAGTATGAGAATTAACGAACATCATCAACCCAGGCAAATACAAAGCTTTCCATTAGGGTTATCAACACAGCTTGAACTCTGAAACTTCTCTTTCAAGATATTCCTGCAAGCATCGATGCACTTAGCTTCTGTACAAGGATCCAGTTGGATCGCAAATGCACACTCCACATTCTGTGCTCCCATCATCAGCAGGCCCATCGCCACCACAACCAACACTGTCACCAGTTTCTTCATCGTTTTCGCTCTCCGATCCCTGCACTGTTGCTTTTGCTTAATGCCTTCTCTATTTATAGGCCAAGCTAAAAGATAAGGATCCTTTTACCTAGCTATGACGACCATTCCAATCAGATCCCTATCGGATATCGATCCTTTTATGTCTTATGAGATTTTGAAAGGAGGGGGGGAGGGGATACAAGATCCATATCCTATTACTTCTGCATATTTGGGAAAAAAGATAAAGGAACGAATCTCGATGGAGATATTGTACGTCATTCATATTCATAATATGTGTAAGTTTTCATATCTTGAATATGTTTCTTTCCATGGATATCCACAACAATAATCTCTGCCCTTATAATAAAAATCAATGTTTCGCAAGTTTTCCGTCCATCTCTTAAAAACCTTTGATCAAGCTAAGAACGCTTTTGAAGCATTTATTATCGTTGATTGTAAGGCTTGTAACTGAAAAAGGTTCGTTTGACCTGCTTTTGATGTTTACATGATAATTTGTTCCCGTGAAAATTACTCTGTGAGATTTTTTTTCCCATTCTAGTGAGAGTTAATCTTGCCAGAAGAAAAGCAGTATTACTTGACGTATAAATGAGAAGAAATTCCTTAAAAAAACACCTAAATAACTCAAATTCTTATTTAGATAATTAAATTTATCAAATTCCTAATTAAGTGACATGAGTTAAAGAGAGATTTTAAAATCTTATGAAATGACTTTGATATCTTTTTCATTAGAAACTTAGAAAAATAATAATTTTTTATTATTTTCAAGTTGTTAATTTAAAATTAAAACTCATTAACTATGTCATTAAACTTATTAATTTTTAAACATGTATCGTGATCATTTTTTATTTAAAGATTTATTGCAATTATGTCTTGGAAACAAAAAATTGGTAGAATTTAAACATGTTAAATGTGAACTGTAGCATGTTAATTTTAATTTAAAGTTGTGTTGTAATTAAGTTTTATTCAAAGCGCAAGTATTATGGGAACATAAAGTAATTAATTTAAATTTGAAACTTGTTAATTACGTAATTAAACTTATTAATTTTTAAGGTTGTATTGTGATTAAATTTTTATTCAAAAAATTATTACAGGTATGTTATATATGAAGATAAAGAATTATTAATTTAGAATTAAAATGTATTAACTCCTAAATAAAACATGTTAATTTAGATTTCTCTTTTCATTTTTAATAAAATAAACATTAGAATCATTTTATAAAATTTTAAAATCCTTTCTGAGTCATACAACTTAATTAGAAATTTAATAATGTAAATAAAAATTTAGGTTATTTAAGTGTTTATTAGGAGATTTTCCCATAAATAAGCCGCCTCATTTCGATTCGATTCTCCCACAAGGCATGCGCTGTACTCTTGGACACACGAGATGACCAGGTTACTTTGACTTAAAACTACTTCGTTTTTTAGGCCTAATACTACGTCGTTCGAGACAAGTATTGTGGTCATCGCGCCTTCACCTGGTAGAAAGAGAGACCTTCTTGGTTCGGTCACTGGGACTCCGGATATGGAAGCCTCACAAGACCCGAATTCAAACCCGACTGGCCTCGACGATTCAGAGCTCGAGCTCTACACCATCCCAAGCCATTCAAGTAAGCATTCTTCTTACTCCTTCTCTCGTCGCTCTCTTCTCGCCTTCAATTTCATCATTCATAATCGTCTGCCACCATTAGCTAAAACCCTACCTGCCCAGTCACGCATCCTTTTGTGTTTCTGTTCTTGCGGTTGCCGATGAAATAGGCGCCTTTTATAACTAATTAAATCGTTTTTCGCAGGATGGTTCCTGTGGGATGAAATTCACGAAACGGAGAAAACATCTCTCAAAGAATTTTTCGATGGAACCTCAATCTCAAGAACGCCGAAGGTGTATAAAGAATATAGAGATTTTATCATTAATAAATACAGAGAAGAGCCTTCCAGGAGGCTGACATTCACCGAGGTGCGAAAGTCGTTGGTGGGGGATGTCAGTTTGCTTCGCAAGGTCTTTCTTTTCTTGGAAAAATGGGGCTTGATTAATTATGGCTCGCCTTCGAGCGATAGCGGTGAAAATTTGATTCCGGAAGATGATGAGAAGTGCAAGGTTAAGATTGAGGAAGGAACTCCAAATGGAATTCGCGTTGTGGCAATGCCTAATTCTCTGAAACCCATTTCGGTGCCTAAATCCAAGAGTACCGGAAATGCGGTTGGCTCTGGTTTCAAATTGCCTCCGCTGGCATCATACTCCGATGTTTACGGCGACCTGGTGAGGCAGAAGGAGTTGGCTTGTGGGATCTGCGGTGATAAATGTGATTCTGGCCACTACAAAAGTGCCCAGGTTATTTCTCTTTCATTTTATAACATCTTTTTATTTTGCTCGGGCTCCTGTTTTGCGCATTTAGCTATTATGATTTACGTATTGCTAGTATGGATGATTATTCTATTTTTAATTTTTATTTGACAGGATAATTTCGTCATTTGTGCTAAATGTTTTGAAAATGGGAAGTATGGGGAGAAAAGGTCTTCAGGTGACTTTAAATTAATCGAGTCCAACGAAGATGGCGGGAAACATGAAGCTGTCTGGACTGAAGGAGAAATTCTACTTCTTTTAGAATCTGTTTTGAAACACGGGGATGACTGGGAACTTGTTGCTCAAAATGTTCAAACCAAGACTAAACTTGACTGTATCTCAAAACTCATTGAGCTGCCCTTTGGGGAGTTCATGTTGGCTCTGCTCATAGAAACGGTAACAGTAACAGCGCTAATGGCATTGTGAACAGTGCAAAGCAAGTTCAGTCATCTTCATCTGATCACCAAGAAACTTCCAAGAGACAGGATCAAATTCCAGAGCCTGGAAATGAGAATGAGACGAATGGAGATGTTGTGAAGGAAAGTCCTTCAAAAAGACAACGTATTTCTTCCCCTGCACTTTCAGATTCTAGCAGTTCACTGATGAAGCAGGTGAGAGATAATCTTGAGCTTATATTCATATAATATCATTTTGAGTTTTTCCTATATGCAGTTGCATTTTTCTTTTTTAAATAAGAGTTTATCACTTTGTGTCCAACGGTGACTAAATGGTGTTTTTAATCAGGTGGGACTTATATCTACTGTAGTTGACCCTCATATCACAGCTGCTGCAGCTGATGCTGCGATTATGGCACTTTGTGATGAAAACATGTGTCCCAGGGAAATATTTAATGTTGATGAGGATTATGCTTCTACTCAATCTAGCGTGAACACTCTGAATGGTTGTTCAGCAAGGTTATTTATATTAATCTGAGTTGTTTGATCCTTTAGCTTTTGCAAAATTAAATTTCTCTTGCATTGTACCTCTGTCGTATAAATTCTTGTAGTTATTATTTGTTTTAGAGTCCTTGAAGGTGATGGTTCAGACATGGAGAGGTCGAGTCATTCAGGTATATGTATAAAAATGATATTTCTTTTCAACGAAGGTTAAGGAGAAAATGAATATTAAGCTTTTGTTTGCTGATACGCATGAAGGATCCCCAACGAAGAATGATATACCCATGACGTTGCGGATCAGAGCTGCCATTGCAACTGCTCTTGGAGCAGCTGCTGCTCGTGCAAAGTTGATGGCTGATCAGGAAGACAGAGAGATTGAACATTTGGTAGCAACTATAATTGAAGCACAGGTAAAGTTTTGTGTTTTGTGTTTTGTTTTTTTTGTTTTTGGGGGGGTGTCTCCAACTCTTGGTGCTTGGTTAAAATTTGTTTGCTTGGGGTCTCTGGCATGTGTCCTCGAATGATTGTCACTGTTGGGATTAACTAGTGGTTCTTCGGTCGTTTGGCAAATCAGATTGAGAAGTTGGAACACAAGACAAAACATTTCGAAGAACTGGAGCTGTTGATGGAAAAGGAACATGTGGAAATGGAAGAGCTAAAGATTTCTCTGTTAACCGAAAGGATTGACTTGTTACAGAGGACGTTTAGTGCTGGAGTCCCTAGGTGGAAAGATTATCCATCTCTGAAACGTTTGTCAGTGAACAGAATCGCCAGTAACTGAGCGCCATAAGATTATTGGGCCAGCTTGCTGCTCGTGCCAAGTTGTGGTTGATAATGAAGACGGACACGTTAAATAAATAAAATAAAATACAATAACCAGCGCGTGCTGGCAAACAACTAGTAATGATCGCCTATGGGATTTGATTCCTGGAGGGATGGGAATGGAGTAAGCGTGCCTGAGAGAGTCGCCCCCATCTTGAGTCCGACAGTATCTGAGGGATTAGTTATTGGGCTCGCTCCGATGGATATCCTGGTGAAAACCAAAAAAAATAAAATACAATAAGAACAGCTTCTATGGCATGCTATAAGTCTGATTGCTTAAAAACAAACAACGCGTAGGCTCACAAGTCATGAACATATGTTTCCCTAACAAATAATATATAATATCTTATTTATAGTTTACAAATGAGGTTTTATAATTAGGATATGATGTAGTATATTTTTTTCAAAAGGCAGATGTGCTCTAAGATCGTAGATAAGACGCTGAATTCGTGACTTTTTTATGATACATATAGAAGCCCACTTAAGGTTGTCATAAACTACACAGTCGTCACCTATTCGGCTCCGAAGGCACAAGCTTCTTCCATTTGTGGAGATAAAGCCGATTTATCTAATTTATTCATAATAAACAGAGAAATTAACAACTGAACCCTCTTAATTCCTCTTTGAAATTCAACAACATCAATCTCGAAAAGAGATAAATACATGGTATGCGAGATTTATTTGAGTCGCGAATCATACTCGAACGATGAATTCAACAACACATAAATCTCACACACACACATATATATTATATCTTATCATTACTTCAAAATTAGCGTTGAATTCCACAGAGAAACGAAGAGAATTCAAATTCAACCCAAGCAAATGCAGAGCTTTCCCCTGAGAACTAGTAGTACAACTCGCACTCTGAAACGTAGCCTGCAGAGCCTGTTGGCACTGGGCAATGCACTGAGAAAGCGGCATGGATTCAGTGGGATCGCAAATGCACTCTCTCCACTACGTGCCCCAAACACCAAATACCAGCCACCACAACAGTCATCATCAACCACAGCTTCTTCATCACACATTTTTTGGAACCTTTGCTCAGAACTACTAATACTCTAATGATAGCTTAAGCTAACACACATGGGAACTAGTTGGTTGTTCGCTATTTATAGACAGAAACAAGCATCCATGGTGCTACCCCATTGGCTAAACCCCAGAAGAGAATTTCTGCATTAAAGTAATAAAAAGCTTAAATGGTGGAGCTTAAAAGGATCTCTTTATTCTATTGTTGAATGCTTGCACCAACTGCTTCCACCATAGGCAACTTTTTTCGTTTCCAATGCTTCTCTGTTTTCCACGTGTTGTTTTTCCATTTCTAGCTTCCTGTGAACCAATATGCAACCTCTTAGCCGAGACTGTGTCATTTCCTCATTTGCATAGTCTCATATCTGCTTCTATTATTGTATGCTTGATAATTAAATTACCAAGATATGGAGGCATGGGATTGTATGGGGTCTGAAATCTCACTATAAACTAATTTAAGAATGCAATGTGCGAATGAAATACATGAAAATGGAAAGGAAGAATGCCCACTGAAAATATATTACCATTATGCAGACGGAATGATAAGTATATATTTTCCTGTGAATCAAGAGGCACAATATTCTTGAATGTTATTAGAGGAAGGTTTGAGCAACACATTATAAAAAAAAAAAAAACTAACAAGTAAATTTTTTTATTTTTTTTTTTGTCATTTTGAGTTCATGCGTGATCTTCCTAGGCTATCATAGATACTGGGAAATATTGCAGAGCTCGGTTCTTTTTTTTTTTTTTTCCTTTGCCAAAACAGTCAATTTTGTTGGTTCATCTTTTCTCACGCTAGTTCATGTAGTGTAGACTTTGATATGGTTCTGAATCAGCCACAACATTTGAAACTCTCAGAGACTTTTATTTGTCACGTCAAAAACTGCCATAGATGTACTGTAAACATAAGTTGTTCACAACACTAATTTGTTTACTCTCAATTTTTAATATTAAGAATATGAGCATATGAAAGCTATTAAAAAAAAAAGTAAAAAATTATCGCATAAGAGATATATAATATGAGTGAGAAAACGCTCGAACTGTTAGCTCTACGCATGAATAATAACATATAATATAAAAAGTAGTTTTTTTTTTCAGGAACATAGATGGTAACATTATTGTTAATATGTCAGTGTCCTTTAACAAAAACATCAAAAGAAAATATTATTTGTGCAATACTGCCTTCTGGGAAACAAATATTTGTGGGAAAACAATTTAGGAAGCTATATGTTCTGTAACATTTTCAAGTTTTAACCTGCGAATTATGAGCTTGCACTGTGAAACCGACCTTGCAGAGCCTTTATATATATATATATATATATATATATATCCCCTTGATTCAGAAATTCATAAACTTATTTGTTGTTAAAGCGTCTCTTTTAATTTTGATGCTCACAGTGTCCTATTACAATAACGAAGCCCACCTCGAGTTCATTCTATTGGGAGTTTTCATTATCTTCATTTACTCTCAATGAATATACCTTTTTAAGGAAAAGACGTTTCATAAGATTAGAGAGACAAGATACTGAAGGCTAATTCATTACTTCTTCATGTGATAGTACGACAACAAACACTCACATCTATAGAAGTACACTTAAAAGTTGTCATGTGTATTACATATTCATCACAGGAGACACAAACTTGCATCTCTTTGTGAAGTATTTATTCAAAACACAGTAACACAAGATTTGAATCATCTCCATGTCTCTAGCACTGATTTTGTAAAGAGACACATATATATAGTATGTGAGATTGATTTGAGCTGCAAATCATATATATATATATGATGAACTCAATAACACTTATATCTCACACATATTTCTCTTCAAAATTAGCACTGAGTTCCATAGAGAGAATCCATATTCATCAACCCAAGCAAATGCAGAGCTTTCCCTGGGAACTAGTAGTACAGCTTGCACTCTGAAACTTAGCCTTCAGAGCCTGTTTGCACTGAGCAATGCACTGAGGAAGCGTGCAAGGATTCATTGGAATCGCAAACGCACTTTCCCCACTACGTACTCCAAACACAAAAATACCAGCCACCACAACCATCATCATCAACCATACCTTCTTCTCCATTTTTGCTCCCTTTGTTCTCTGGAACCTTCTTCACTTGAGCTTGATGCGACAATAATAATTCCTTGTACGCTATTTATAGACCCAAACAAGCATCCATATGTTGCTACCCCATTGGCTTAACCCCAAAACAGAAGATTCATCATTAAACTAATGAAAACCTTAACATTGTGGAGGTGTACGTGTATATTATATGTATGTATACGAGAATATATGTTTTTTTTTTTTTTATATTGTGGAATGCTTGTGCCAACTGCTTCCACCATAGGCAACTTTTTCTCCTGAATTTGTGAAGGCGAACCAATGAGAAGACGATCTTTATTACGAGTTATAACAATATTCTCATGATCTTTTGTTTTCCACGTACGTGTAGTTTTTCCATTTCTGGTTTCGTGAAAACCAATACGCAAGCTCTTAGCCGAGACAGTGTCAGTTCCTCATTTGCACATGGCTCATCTCTGCTTCAATTATGTAGGCTTTATAATTAATTGACCAAGGTATAGAGGCATATATATATTCCTGTATATTGGAACCATACGAGGTATGTATGAAATCCCACTATACATTAATTTAAGAATGCCATATACGCAAGAAATATATGAATATGGAAAGGAGGAATGCCCACTGAAAATTTATTACCTGTAGGAAGATGAAATGATAAGTACATATTGTCCGTTTGAATTACAAAATACAAAAGAAAAAGTAACCATTAAAAAAAAAACACTGGCATTTTGAGCCATATATGATTAAGGGGGTGTTTGGGTAGCGCCCGAAGTTCTTTTAAAAAGCCCTTTTCTACGAATCGAAATAAACTCTTCCACAAATTTATTTCGTATACCGTAAAAGCACTTTTAAAACCATGTTTTTATGATTTCATCCAAACACCCCTCTAAATAAGATATATAAATCTTGATTATTTTAAGGTGTTGCGTTGTCTCCTGACCTAACAAAGGAGGTTCTCTAAGTTGGCTCATCCATTTTTTCCTCTGATCCCTTTCGCTAGTCACATTTTCTCTTTGCGAATTAGTCATATTTAAAATCAGAAAAGTATTAATTAGTGTATTTGATCAAGAGTACAAGAAAATAAGACCAGTGAAGAGTCATGCCTCCCGAGTTTTAACCCTCAAAATCAGTATAAACTTTGTATTATATGTGCCTTTTAGTATTAGACCCCCGTTTTTAAATCTAAATTAGTTAATATATGTTTTTTCTAAAACACCATAAAATATCACTAAAATCAGTTTTAAAAAAATTGATAAACATATAAAATAAGTCTAACATAGAAAACCAACATCAATTCAAATTAACATGTAAAATAGATCTTACATGCAGAAGTAAGATCAACTCTCAAATTAAGTCTAAGTACTGGAGGAGTATAATACATTAGAAGAAATCTTACTGTTCTGGCAAAAAAGGTTTTTTTTTTTTAAACTGTAAATGTAAACTTTTTAACTAAGATATTTCTGAATGGTTACACCCTGACCTTAATGGTCATCAGCCCATTATAATACGTCACCAAAAAGTCTAACATTTTGGCACAATCAGTTTCTCAGAAAAAGCTTCAGCTTGTAATTTTGATATGCTCTAATTGGGCTTGAGCCTAGGCTCTCTGATCGACTGAGGATACAGATATTTCTTTAACCCACTTAGTTGAAGCAGCTTCTTGCTAATTGTATCTCTCTCTGAAGGCCCTGAGATGAGCAACCACCTGTTCAACAACTCCAACATCTCAGGACAGAAAGCCTTCCAGTAGAATGTGGTTCTAACCCACCCTGGTTCTGTCACGTACGAGTCTCCACGACAAGCGCCATTCACAATTGCTTTTGCTGCTAAAGCCACGGATCTTATAGGCATCGCACTCACTTGAACCTAATTAATATCCCCAGCAACTCAATTATGATTATGAAGCAAATACCGATTAATATACCCAGAAGGGGGGGGGGGACTTGCTTACATCTCTCATTTCCTGGTCAAGAATCATGCGGCCTTCCTTGGATAGGAACTTGCCTTGGGTCATTTCTGATTCAATCAGCCCTGGACACACTATTGTTATTCCTATGCCTTTTCCTAATTCAGTTTTAAGACACTCGTATAAGTTGATAATTGCTGCTTTGCTTGCCTGAGTCAATATATTGGAAACTATAAAATTAATTACTAGTTTAATTTTCAATATATAGTGGTGTAAGGATATTAAAGGAAGCTTAATCATTAGTTTGTGAGGGTGACGTTCTCTTACGTTGTAGAACATCATTCTTGGTGCAGGCAACCATCCAGCTGATGAAGTTATGCCTACGATCTTACCTTTGCTTTTACTCAAGTGGGGAAGAGCAAAATATGTAGTGTACACCGAACCCCAGAAGTTGATGTCCTGTTAAGTACAGTACAGAGCATTTCAATCAATTTTTCTGTCTAAAGACGCAGTAAACCTGATATCGCAAGATTTGACTTTTACCATAGCAGGTGCAAAATTGGTAACATCAGTGGAGTGTTCAAATAAGCAGACAGGAACTATTCCGGCGTTGTTCACCAGATGATCCACTGCAAGTTTTTTTTTTTTTTTTTTAATCCCCAAAAGGCGAAGGGAAAATTCGCAGCAAGTTTGTGTGAGAAGAGCATTCCCATAAACTTGGAATTCATAATTGCAAAAAGCAGGGTATTGGCTCACATCGTCCAAAGTGGCTTACTGTCAAATCGACGAACCGTTTACAGTCTTCAACTCTGGAAACGTCTGCTCCGATGGTGATAACATCGGCGGACCCCACCGCCTTGGCTTTTCCAGCCACCTCTCTCAGTCTATTCTCTCTTCTAGCCACAAGGGCTAGACGTGATCCCCTCTTGCCATACTCATATGCTAGATGCTTTAAAGAAAAAAAAGGCAAAGTGAAAAGTCACTTTGTTATTATAATGGAGCTGAAACTTTGAAACATATAACCTGAGTGAGTACAAGAACCTCGCCTATGCCTGAGGAGGCGCCTGTGATGAGTACTACTTTTCCAGCCACATTCTCACTGAATATTGATCTTACGATGGAGCTGACGAGTTTGAAGAGCAGATACGGTGGCAAAAAACAGAGCAGAAAAACGAGGACAATTGGAGGAACAAGAAGATTCAGAATCCAGTGAAGGGAATCCATGGATGGAAGAAGAAGGAAAAACAAGAAATGATGGAGGGATTCGAGCTAGAGCTAGCGTGATGCGTAAAAATATGGAGACAGCAGTAATGACGGCCGGTTAAGAAACGTGGCCTTTCTGCATGCAGAGTCTTCAACACGTAGCACTTGCGAGTACAGTCTGGCTACGTGGTGGTGCCACATTAAACCGCGCTATCGCATCATTTGCTTTTATCTTTTCCATTTGACTTATCTTTTTCGATAAACAATCTTGAATCTCCATTTGTCTTTGGATAGAGAAAAACAAAGTTTTCTGCAGAATTTGTTTCATCATTTTTTTACTTGTGCTGGAACTTCCATGCATGCTAGGCAAATAACCTAAATTACATTGGACATTATTAAAACAACTATAGCGGCTCACAACTGATTATTACATCCCCAGATTAGTTTTGACAGTCCAAAATGACCATATCAGTGAAAATTGACAGACTTTTACTCTGCCTTAAGCTGCGAGTTCTGTGATAAGTTCAGATTTTCCTTGTTTTCAAAAGCGTTGGTAGATATCCTGAAAACCAGTCGATGAAGCCAGTCCACAAGTTCTGGAAAAATCACCTTCAAAGGAAATCCCAACCTCACCCATAAAGGGTATGTCACGTACAAATCTCCCCTACACACCCCTTGTACAACTGCTTTAGCGCATTCCTCTGCTGATGCCATTGGAAATAACCTAAGACTAGCCTGCTTCCACATTATTGCAATCACTTAAGAGCTAATATAGCTATAGTTTTAATTATAATTACGCTTACAAACAGCCTAACTGATTTCCATCTACAATATGATGAAGAGAAAATTAAGATAGGGTCACCTCCGAAGCCAAGATTCTCTTTGAGAGGTCTGTTTTGATGAAGCCAGGCGAAACAATTGTGAATCCAATTGCCCAGCCAAGTTCAGTTCTCAGCGTCTCAAAAAAGTTTATGATTGCTGCCTTGCTTGCCTGAAGTGATAAGACAGATTATTTTTTCCCTTCTTTTTTGAAAGGAAAATTGTAGGTTGGAAATTTCATTATTAAGCCTTACTTACATTATAGTAACCAAGTCTTGGAAGAGGGTACCATCCCAAACCTGAAGCAATCACTACGATCTTGCCTCTGCTCCTTTTCAGATGTGGAATTGCAAACAGAGTCCCATAAAGTGCACCCCAGAAATTTACATCCTGAAAAATTAAATTACACACTCAACTTACAAGCAAGCCATAAACAGGACCCTGAAAGTTGCAATCTTTATCTTAAGATCGTTGTGGAATTAGGTTAACCTATCCTACAAGACTTCATCATGATATCATTATATCCTTCCTCCATGTTATACATAAGCATGAATTGTAATCACTTGGAAGACACAAGCAAGAATCAGTTCGCATCATGCATAGTTTTTCTTATGATATCTTTTGTGAGGCTGCTTCTGAAGCAATGATTGCTCACCATAATTGGACGCGGCACAGAAATATCGATACAATCCTCCAACTTTTCAACCATTACAGTTCCAGCACTAGGTATCCACTGTAAACATAATTGCAAAGAAAACAACCTAAGAAATGACAGTTATGAGCAGTTAATCTTGAAAAAAGACTGCAACTTACTCTTTCACTTACTGTGTCCAAAGTAATTAACGGTTTCATCAACAAACCGTTTACAATTTTCGACCTTAGATACATCAGCAACGATTGTGATGACATCTGGGGAACCCAGAGACCTAGCCTTATCGGCTACTGCTTTCAAATTATCCTCTCTAACGTCAACCAGTGATAGAACTGCTCCTCGCTTAGCATACTCGTAAGCAAGTTGCTTTTGATTTTGAAATAAATAAAAACAAATATAAGACTGAAGATTTGAGCAAAGGGTAACAAGCCATACAAAAAAAATAAAAAAGGTAGATCTATGCACTGACCTCGCCAATTCCTGAGGCTGAACCCGTGATTAGTACGACCTTTCTGGTCAGATTTTCAATGCAAACCAACTTTTTCACAGAAAGCACTAGCTTGAAGAAGAGAAAAGGTACTGTGATAATGGGGAGGACAATTAATGTTACTAGAGGCAATGCAATGTTGAGGAACTTGTGAGTGAGACTCATTGCTTAATGCTTTTGGGTGAAAAGGGGAATCAAACGAAAGCTCTAAAACTTTGGAATGATGCAAGAGCTAGACAACAGGGAAGCAAGGTGTTTTACACTAAAAGGGGGTACTTGAAAATACTGTAGTATTTATATAACGATACCAGAGCATGTTTTTTTGCTGAGACAGTGAAGGTCCCACAAAACCATACAAGCTAGATGTTATACTTGCCGGAGTGATTCCGGTTAAATGCTTCTCATTGATTTATTACATGGGGGGCCTTCTATTGAATTTTTGGTGCAAGCAGTTGGAGGATGGGGCACATTTAATTGGCATTGAATGAGATATAAGTGACATTAATTGTAGAGGCCTTGAACGCCAACAGACACCTAGTCATAGTAGGACAACAAAATCTGATAGGCATGCCATGTATTGTAATTCTATAATAGAGAACAAATGTAATCTCATATAATATATTGATTTATTATACGTATATATGTATTTTAAATAAAACAATTGTTTTCATGCGTTATTTCACAAAGTAGTACCATCGTTTTGGCAACTCACTTGTTTATATATATATATATATATATATATATATATATATATATTTATTTATTTTAATTTCTTGTCTCGGTGAACCCAACTACCCAAGCCCAAATAGTGACTGTCACAACTTGTCTTACACCAAGAAAATGGAGGATAAGTGGTGGGGCAGGCATAAATATGTAGCGTGGGCCATCCAGTGCTGATGTAATCTCATATATGAAGAAAGCCAACGGTCAAATGGATTTAAACTTTACTATTCAGACTTAAACGCTAATTACCAATTTGAAGTATTATCTGAGAATTGTAGTGCTTCTCAGATTCTAAATATAAGACCTTTTTTATAATATAATTTATACTATAAAAAGAGGTCTTATATTTAGGACCAGAAGAGTATTTGTGTTTGCCACTCTCTCAGTATTACGTTAAGGAATCAGAAAAGTCTTAAACAAATCTTGCGTCTCAAATATTTTTTTTTAAATTTGAAATTTATAAAATTAGTGCACCTTCAGCGTGAACGTCTAGTAATTTTGATCATAGTTAATTGTTAACTATATATATATATTATATACTAAGGTTTTATAATTAAGATAGGAGGTAGTACATAGATAAGAAATTGTCACTCTACACTTTGTATTTATCATTGATGACTGTAAAATATCTTTTAATCTAAACTAAAGATAAATTAGATGTATACTTTCGTTTTTTTTCCCCCCTTTTACATTTGAATTTTTTTTAAAACAAGAACCTATATCATAAAAAGAAGGGACAACTGGACAAGAATACGGGAAAATTTTCCACGGAATCATAATTTCTGAAAAGGCAATATTTATTAAACAGCTTATAGGATAAGCCAACAAGTCTCTACAGACCAAATCAAATTAAGAAGAAAATAAAAAGTGATTAGCAAGACTAATGACCAAAGCAACACTACTGGGAAATGTAAAAAAATAAAGCTTAGCAATCCAAATCAAACTTAGGACATGACTAAATGATTACTACCGAAAAAGCAAGCATGGAAACTAACTAACTAACTAACTCGATCCCTGCCACTCGTCCCTCTTGTTATTCCTGAAGGCACAGATGCCAATGGCGTACACAATAATCATTAATACGAGGAATATTATGTTAATGACAGCCGACTTTTTCCAGTTCATCTTAACGTTCTGCAGCAACCCAGCTTTGCATGAATTACAGTTGAAGCACAAGACCTTAGGATCATTGTCCCAACTACCACAATCTGGGCTGCTGTAATTCCCGGTTCCCGTCTTGTTCCATACCGTTGGGCTTTGATACACAAATTTACACTCACTCGGTGGCTTGCAACACCCAGACTGCACACGAAGAACCCAACACGTAAGAAACGTAGCAACTAAAAAGCACATATAGATGGATGAGATCTCCCATGCACGATACCTGAAGTGGTGATAATTTCTCTGCATAGAACTTCTGGAAATCGTCGTTCACGTACTTGCTACCGTAGTCGGAGCAGAGTTCACCGGACTGAAGACAACTCTTGATCCTGTTCCAGTTACGTTGGTCGATCACTCTATTCTGCAGCCAACGAGAGTAATCGCCAAGCCTGTACTCCTTGTAAGCTTTACCGGGTAAAACCACTCCGGACCCTGTGCTGGTCACGGCGAAGGCGAAAATAATGAAGATGAAGACGAGAACGATGAGCAAGAACATGACGGCGAGGTAAATCCACAGGAGGAAGGAGTTACGGCACCAGGCGCCGGCCACCCCCAACAGCGACACTCCGACAAGGAACACACCCAACACGATGAGGGGCTTGTCGAGCCACTTATCACACTCGGTGGCGCCTTGTTTGGCCAGCCAAACACCGGTGCTGAGAATGGAAATCGAGAAGATAAACGTTAAGAGATTGAGGCACCCAAGCAAAGCGTTGCTGAAGCGAAACATATTTTGAGAGGTTTCACAGAGAGGAATAAACCAAGATGATGAAGATGCGAGAAAACACACGAGGGTGATGATGGAGTTATATAGCGATCGTCTTCATCAAGAGGTAGAAAACGCGGAGAAATGAAATCGACCAGATTCTCACGCGGTCCGCTCGAATTGGTATGGGAGGACATGAGGCATCAAATTGTGGAGTGACTTTTGAAATATTGATGTCTCGTGAGCTTTGATGCATTGTTACGTACATTACAAGTTAGGGGGTTAAAAATGATCCTGTATTAATTAGTTACACCTCGTCTAAACTTTAAACAAAAGGCGTAACTTATGATATGTGGACAATTTGTGTAATAATAATGATTGTGATAGTGATTATGATTATGTATATATATTGATTGATAATGGCGGTGATTTCCTTTCTATACATGGAGAGTGATGCTAGTTTTCAACGGTTGGAAATTATTGTTTCGTTTTTTTTTTGTTTGGCCGGTAATTGTTTCTTTAATTATTGTTAATAAGTGAAAAAATTATGTAGATTAGTCAATAATCAATTAGTTATATTGTATCACTGTATCAGGGTTTGGAAACGTTTGTTAACAAGAATACTCCTAATGGCCACTGCGCTACGCACCAACACTCAAATGGTGTAGTAAATTTAAATATATTGATTATTGGAAGCTTTTTTTTTTTGTTGCAATGATTGAAAAGCCTTTATATAATACTCCTCTAGTCCTTAATCTAATTAACTAATTTGAGTAGATTAAGAATATTAGTTAATATGATATTTTTTTTCAAAACACTTTAATAATCTTCCTTAATTTTATTTTCCTCTCTCCTACTTGATTATTATTGAGAGAATATCAATACAGTTAATTTGAGAAAAAATTGATAAAAATGTGAAAGAAATCTTACATATAAGACCGACATCAATTCTCAAGTTAAATCCTATATTAAAAATCAGATAAGTCCTCACTAAACTATAAGATTATAAAATATACTAGTGACGTGTGGTTTAAATTAAGGAGGGTGACTCATATATATGAAAACTTCGTGTAAAAATGATGATAGTGATAATTATTATGATTATGTATTGATACCGTATCACTATTTCTGACAATAACCCCTGGAATCATCATGACTGTCTTGATACTTGCAGTTTAGCTGAGAACACATTAAGTTCGCTGTTAATGTAAAACAAAAAGGGGCTCTTCATATTTGAAAAAGATTAGACCTTTTGGGAAAAAAGCTCGTTGTTAATGAAGAGGCTCCGGTGATGATAGCCATTACGAATGAAACCTTCATTGAAATTTCGGTATGTGAGGAGTTGAAGGTTGGCACAGAAGTCAGGTCCATGTCTTGTTTATCTCCACCAGTGAAAAGCCCATAGGATACCCACTATGTTCGCTCAAGTTTAGCTTTGATACAAAACTAAAAACTGAAAACTCAAGCTCAAATTCTAACGTGAATAAACATTCCTTCATGGACAATGCTTCTGCTAATGAATAACTCTATGCTTGCCTAACAGAAAGCGAAAACACCAATCCACTGGAGCAGCTAGAAACCACTTCAACCACATCAAAGTTCTCGTCCATGATGGCTCAATCAGATACATGTCACCCCTACAAGTGCTCTTTACTATAGCCTTCGCACACCTTTCTGCAGATTCAAGTGGCACTGCGAATGGCAGAGTTTTCACGCCCATCTATCAAACACATTAGTCAGAATTTCAGGTTACCCCTGTTAGTTACCTTTGAGTCTTGGACAAGTCACTGTATATATCAAGACAAAGCAGTGGTGATGGTGCTTGTTGTGTATGGCCTAGAGTTTCAAGTTGGCTTCTCTGTTTCCGACATTTTTTTATATTAGAAGGTTCCCATGGGGGTGGAGTTCCAAGTTAAGATAACACTGCAATGTGTAAATTCGACAGGATAGAAACTACTAGTGCAGAAAGAAGAGTATGCAAGCTGCTTTATCCTCGAGTTATTCAGTTGATTGTTGGCAATTACAATGTAAATGTAATTTCATTTGTAGTGAGAAATGGTAATTACTCAAAAGGCTACCTGTTCTAGAAGCTGATCAGATGTCATTTCCGTCTTAGTGAACCCAGGAGTCACTATAGTTATCCCAATATCAGGACCGAATTCAGCCCTCAACGTCTCAAAGAAGCTTATGGTTGCTGCTTTGCTTGCCTGAAACTCATCCCAATCATACAAGTTATAATCTCCACCACAGAAAACAGGACATTCAAACGTGAAATCAGTCTTACATTGTAGAAGCTCATTCTTGGAGGGAGGCACCATGCTGCGGCTGAAGAAATCACAACAATCTTTCCTCTGCTCTTTCTCAAGTGTGGAACTGCAAAATGTGTAGCATACGCTGAACCCCAGAAGTTTATGTCCTACCAAAAACAACATCACGTAGTCCAACACAATATCAACAATAATACTATGCAAGTTTAGTGATCATGACATAAAAAGTCTCCCCTAATTTAGATAAAATCCAAGTCCAAGTTAAGGACGGAATTTAGTAACCATCATTGGAGCCAGATCAGATAGCTTCTCAGAGAATTCGTCAAAAAATTTGGCTTGAGCGATCCCAGCATTGTTCACCAAATGATCCACTGTCGCATATGTTCAATGGTAATATAAGTTCTTATTTTCATTATGCAAACATTTGTTTATTCATGTATAGATTGTACCTACATTGGCCAAAATGGTTGACGGTCTGGGCAACGAAACGCTGAGAGTCTTCAATATTGGAAACATCAGCAGGAATGATCATAGCATCTGGCGAACCCAGTTGAAGAGCTTTATCGAGGACTGAACGAAGGCGATCTTCTCTTCTGGCTACAAGGGCTAAACGAGCTCCTCTTCTCGCGTACTCGTAAGCCAATTCCTTTTCATTTCAAGATTACATTATGAATCAAAAGTCAAAAGGGGCTCTTTGTAATAATTTGACGAAAGATTACAGTTTTGGAAGATTGAAGTGTGGAATGAAAATGAATGGAAAAATATGAACACAGACCTCGCCAATTCCTGAAGAGGCTCCGGTGATGAGGGCGACTTTGCCGGCGACGGATTCATGGTTTAAGCAGCTTTTGAAGAGTGAAGATAAAAACTTGAGCACATAAAAGGGAGGGACAAGCAAAAGCAAGGCGAAGAAAGTTGATGGAATAAGTGTTATATTCAGCAACTTCTGAATCAAATCCATTACTCGTTGCGCTGAAAAGCTAACAGTAAGTATGGCAACCTGATGCTATCACCCCCACAGCAATTCTCTTATTATTTGATGCAGAAGGTGACCTGCTGTTGCTTCACCCGCCCTTCACTCCAGAATTGTCCCTCAAAAGCATAATTCTGGATCTTGATATGATTTACGCCGACGAATTAATTAGAACAACTTTCTAGCGGAACTCTAGAAGCAACGTCGGATGTCCAGATAAACAGCTAAAGAAGAGAGCAACAACGCTTATGTGCTAGAATTAGTTATAGAAATAAACGAAAATTCGGTATTTATGCCCAGATAACAGAGCATACTCTGTCAGCAGGTTTATAAGTCACTCTTTTGCTGAAAAGTGAAGGTTTAAGCCACAGCAGAGCGATTCCTCTTAAACGCCTCTCACTGATCTACCAAAAAAGAGAACATACATTAAAGTTTTGGATAACAAGTTGAAAATTAATGCACAGAAATCAGCCGCGTGTCTTACTTTTGTTTACCCCTAACCCTGACATTAATTGCAAAGGGATGGAGCTTATGGTTTGCTGGTTCTGGGCGTTGACCCGCTTATGTTTTTTCGGTCCTGTCTTAGTCTTTCTTTCCGTCGTATCAAAACAAAAAAAGCCAGGAGGAAATGTGAGGAGCCTTTATATTCAGAGTTCAGATAATTTTTGTCACTATAATTTATTTATGAATAACAATTTTCTTTGGCTTAAATTGCATCATATACCCTGAAATATTTTGTTTGGTACGGCTAACATCTGAAAATATTTTGCAGTGCGTTTAACACCTTAAATTATTTTTTTAGGTGTGTCTAATATTCAAGAGTATTTTATACGCACCCTAAAAAATACTAAAAAATATTTTATAGTTCTTGTGAGGAGCCTTTATATTCAGAGTTCAGATAATTTTTGTCACTATAATTTATTTATAAATAACAATTTTCTTTGGCTTAAATTGCATCATATACCCTGAAATATTTTGTTTGGTACGGCTAACATCTGAAAATATTTTGCAGTGCGTTTAACACCTTAAATTATTTTTTTAGGTGTGTCTAATATTCAAGAGTATTTTATACGCACCCTAAAAAATACTAAAAAATATTTTATAGTTCTTGTGAGGAGCCTTTATATTCAGAGTTCAGATAATTTTTGTCACTATAATTTATTTATAAATAACAATTTTCTTTGGCTTAAATTGCATCATATACCCTGAAATATTTTGTTTGGTACGGCTAACGTCTGAAAATATTTTGCAGTGCGTCTAACACCTTAAATTATTTTTTTAGGTGTGTCTAGTATCCAAGAGTATTTTATACGCACCCTAAAAAATACTAAAAAATATTTTATAGTTCTTGATATATATTCATTTAACTGACACTTTGAAAAGTTAATGACTAAGTTAAAATTACTCACGAAATAATATTTTAAAAATACAATTGCTTTTGAAAAAATTAATATTTTAAGAGTAAAATTATACTGCAAAATATTTTAAAATACTGAATGTAAATAAAAAAAATACTTTAAGATATTAAACGGATGAGAAAATATTTCAGATTACTGAATATATCTAACAAAATGCTTCAAGTTATTGGATTCACCTTAACCTATTTTTTCTCTTGGTTTGAAGTTATTTAAAGCTCCCTGCGAGAGAAACTCCTCCGAGCAATCACCCTGGTTGTTCGTATACTCACACCCAACTCAATCCCCAAGACATTGCAAGCATAATCTACTTAGGGATTTTACATTTCTATTTTATTTTATAAAAATATGAAGAGATCAACATTGCATGGTTAGTTCTTCTGGAAAAAAGAAAAGAAAAGAAAAGAAAATTATATGTAATACTACCTTCAGTCCTAATTATAAGAGCTAATTGACTAATTTGAGGATATTAAAGAAAGAAGTTAAGTTAGTTATTTGTAATAAATGGATGTTGTCTTTCCTAAAATATCCTTGTTATTCAAGTGTATTGGCTAGAACTACTATTGCTAGAAGGACTACATTAGAAAAAAATAGATAAATATGATAGGTAAAATGAATTGAGGTCTTATATTTAGAATCAAAATAAAAGTCAAATAAGGTCATATATTAAGGATCGGAGATAGTATAATGTTACGTAATCATTGAATAACTGAAAAAACTGATCCAGAAGCCTCGATGATACAAACTTCAATGTATTTCAGTGTTTCAACCATATACTTCTAGTAAAAATGATCTTATCTTTATTTATTTAATATACTAATTTCGGTGTTTCATATAAAATCGAGTTAGCCATTTAAATTCAACTATAACTGAAAATAACTCGGCATTGCTCTTTGCCTGGTTCTAACTCATCTCTGTTAAGACTAAAAATAACTCAGATTTACTCTTTGCCTGGTTCTAACTCATCTCAGTTACAACCGTCCTAGAACACACTAAGTATTCAAATAGAAGTGATCTCAGTTCTAGTTTATAGATTCATATTGTCATACCTTTTCAATAAAAACATGATATACGTATTTTTTTTATCGCACAACATTGTATAATACTGATTCTTTCAAAATACCACCTGATATGCATTATGCTTGTTCATTTTTTTCCCGTGATGAAATGTTCAGGTGTATATAGGTTTGATTCAAAAGCAAAAAATTAAAACTCAAATTTAAGTTCTGAAGTTACAAACATTAAACGGCTGATCTGTCTAGCATATCTCCCATTGATGCTTGTGCTAGTTAATCATTCAGTGATTCTTCTTTGCAGCTTTAGATGGGATCTTCACAAACTGAAAGTGGAAACACCACTCCACTGCAGCAGGAAGAAACCACTTCAACCACACCCCAGTTCTCATCCAAGATGGCTCAATCAGATTCATGTCACCCCTGCAAGTGCTGTTCACTATGGCCTTTGCACACCTTTCTGTGGATTCAACTGGCATAGTCTTCAGGTGAACCTATCAAACGCAATGGTCACAAGTTCAAGTTACTCATGATGCTTTCTTACCACTTGTTGGCAGTGATGAACTTGACAGACAGAAGAATATGAGAAAGCTGGTTTATCCTACAGTTATTCTATTTATTGTAGGCAATGCTAGTTTGAACTATAGTTTCATTTGTAACAAGGAATGAGAATTGCTTGAAAGGCTACCTGTGATAGATATTGGTCATCCACCATTTCTGACTTAATCAGCCCAGGAGTCACTATAGTTATCCCTATGTCCGCACCAAATTCAGCTCTCAATGTCTCAAAGAAGCTTAACATTGCTGCTTTACTTGCCTGAAACTTATCCCAGTTATAATCTCCTCCATAAGACCATGACATTCCCAAAATGAAAAATATGTTAGTGTCTAACATTGTAGAAGCTCATCCTTGGAGTGGGGTGCCATGCTGCTGTTGAAGAAATCACAACAATTTTTCCTTTACTTTTTCTCAAGTGTGGAACTGCAAAATGTGTGGCATACACTGAACCCCAGAAGTTTACGTCCTACCAAACCAAACATCATCAAATCCGACATGAGCCTGGAATGATAATGTTCATGAATTGATTAATTTCACGAGCAATGCAAGAGGTGATAGAGTACCATGATAGGAGCTAAATCAGACAACATCTCAGAGAATTCTTCAAACAATTTGGTTTGATTGATCCCAGCATTGTTCACCAAATGATCCACTGTAGCATATGTTCAATAATAATGTAAGTTTCTATTTTCATTACCCATAACGAAATCATAGTTTAACACATATACTTTTATGCATAAAATTGTACTGACATTGGCCAAAATGGTCGATGGTCTTGTCAACAAAACGCTGAGAGTCTTGGATATTGGAAACATCGGCAGGAATGATAATAGCATCTGGCGAACCAAGTTGAAGCGCTTTATCGAGGACCGAACGAAGACGATCTTCTCTTCTGGCTACAAGGGCTAAACGAGCTCCTCTTCTCGCGTACTCGTAAGCCAATTCCTTTTCATTTCAAGATTACATTATGAATCAAAAGTCAAAAGGGGCTCTTTGTAATAATTTGACGAAAGATTACAGTTTTGGAAGGTTGAAGTGTTGAATGAAAATGAACGGAAAAATATGAACACAGACCTCGCCAATTCCTGAAGAGGCTCCGGTGATGAGAACAACTTTGCCGGCGATTGATTCAAGGATTTTGCAGCTTTTGAAGAGTGAAGATAAGAACTTGAACACATAAAAGGGAGGGACAAGCAAAAGCAAGGCGAAGAAAGTTGATGGAACAAGTGTTATATTCAGCAACTCATGAATCAAATCCATTACTTCTTACGCTGAAGTGCTAAGAGTTAGGATGGCAAACAGCCTAGAGCAATTCTTGTTTCATCTGCTGCACTGGTTGATCTGGGGCGGCTTCACCAGCCCATGACGAATCTAAAAAAGAAACCTTGGATGTGTGGATGAAAAACAGTTGTTTTTTTGTGTTGTGGCTGTCGGATAAATCTATGGGGAAACAATGGGATTGGCCAAAACAAAAAAATGTTGCGAATTCGAAATTTCCAATGTCTATATTTTGAGAAGCCATCAACCCCTCCACTACCAATTGCTGCCAAAAAACTGTCATCAACCACTCCACTAACAATCAATTCTTAATCTTTTTTGTATAATCCGTTATTACATCCATCAAAGTTACACGACGACTCTGAACAATAACCAAATTTGTTGCTCGTATATGAGTAACTCATTCATATGTTCAGTATCACAACATGAACTATCACTGCAAATAGATTCAAACACTGCTTTGTCATTTCTTCAATTGTAAAATTATAATGAAGAAAAAAGCAACACAGTAATCAATATTTTTAATAAAAAAACTTAGTGATTAATGGTTTCATTAACAAATTGTTTAGAATCTTAATCATCAGCCTATAGGCATAGTGTCTGTTGGGATTAGCAGTGAACAACTGTGATTTTAGATCATCATAAATTTTATAACTATGTTGGTTAATCATAATTTATGTTCAGATTTTTTTTTAATAAATGACTTTAAGAATTGTTATTATGTTTGGTTTTTATTTATTAAAATCATTTATCGATGTATAATTACCAAAAAAGCACAAATTTAATAAACATTAATAAATATAATCATTTGGGTAGAGATTTTTGGAGGAGTGTGGGAGGATAAATTAGAGAAAATTTAGTTAACAAAAATTAATCGGGATTTTTCAAACTCATAAGCTACTCCTTAGCGCTTATCCTAGAAGTGCGGTGGAAGAGTGAAATTACGATTTCTCAGGATTTCATAAAATTATCCAAACATGATAAACATACTTCATAATCACTTATTTAGATTCAAATAGTTCATCTGAGTTGTCACGGGTTAACCAAACAGGCACACAGGCTTGCCAGAAATTGCGATTAGACTCAGAAAATGGCCCAACATGCCACTGGTTAATTATTTTTCTTTGCGGCAGCATCCGTTGACGTGCCCATTAGCCTGAAGTGAAAAAGCCGCTCTGTTAGACCAGGAAAGAACCACTTGAACCAGATTAGAGTTCTGAACCAAGATGGCTCAATCAAATACAAGTCACCCCTGCAGGTGCTCTTCACAATGGCCTCCGCACATGTTTCTACAGGTTCGATTGGCATCGTCTTAGCATCAACCTATTAAATGCAATGACGTAATATTAAATAAACCATCATAACGATTACTGCTTTTTACATATGAATTCCATCAAAACACATTGATTGAGTTGTTATTAGAAGTAAAAAGACTTATATGTACATCTTTTTTAAAAACTTATTTTATGTTACACAGTTACACTAGCAAGATCGATGAATATAATGGAGAAAAGGAGGTATAGCTGTCCAAGTGATGTAAAACAGTTGTTTTTTCGTGTGTTATTGTTGTCCCATAACTCTATGAGAAAACATTGGGATTGACCAAAAATATTGGTAGCTCCGAATTTCCTACGTCTACTTTGAGACGACATCTATCACTACCCACTGCTGCTAAAAAAAACTCTTCCATCTTTATCAATTTCCATAATCTCTTATTATATCTGTTAAAATTTGTTAGTTTTGATATGAATAGCCAAAATGAACCATCGCTTGCAAATAAATACACACACTGTGTGAACTTACTTACGTAAACTTGTTTAAAAGTCCGTTTTGAACGGAGCTACAAACAAACGCTTAGTCATTTCTCTAAGCAGCCTCAATTAGCATCTTTTAAAACCCAAAGTGGAAGCACAACATTAGTAAAATTATCAGTAAAATTATCAGCTAAATTATCTAGTTGTACTGTGAGATATAGTTATAAAGCACAATATGATAATATAGATGTGCCAATAATTATACATTTGACAGAGAAATAAGCAAAGCTAATTACAAGTATTCTAAATATGTTCGGACACTTTATTTTTTGCAAGACATAGTCATAATATATCTAATTAATGAATGTTATAAACAATTACTCCAGGTGTGAATCATCAAGATTCAGCAGGAGTTATCTTTTCTGTCAATACAGAAACAACATTGTTACCAGATAATTCATTAACATAATCATATCAATTTCTTTATTATAAATTTATAATGAAGGGAAAAAACCAACACAGTAACCATTTTTTACAATAAAAAAACTTAAAGTGATTAATGGTTTCATCAACAAACGGTAGACAATCTTAACCATCGCCCAGAGGCATGGACTTATTGGAAACTAAGACTAGACTTAGAAAATGGCCTAACACTTCAAATAAATTCACATTCTGGTTAATTGCTTCTCTTTAATCTATAGTGGAAAAGCCACTCTGTCAGACCAGGAAAGAACCACTTGAACCAGATCAGAGTTCTGAACCAAGATGGCTCAATCAAATACAAGTCACCCCTGCAGGTGCTGTTTACAATGGCCTCTGCACATGTTTCTACAGGTTCGATTGGCATCGTCTTAGCGTCAACCTATTAAATCGAACGACGTAAAATTAAACAACCCATCAGAAAGATTATTGCTTCTTACATATGAGTTCCAACAAAACACATTGAGTTATTAATAAAAGTTAAAACGTTTCCGGCCGAAAGATAAAGTAACGATGAAGTCAACAAGGGAACCACTGTATAAGACATGAAGATCCGGAACAAAGTTGTCTACTAACTTGTCATATAACAAATGTGGTGAGAGATATGCTTACTTGTTCAATTTTATCTTTGGCATCACAATTTCAAGCATTTTTAGCTTTATTTTCTGATTGGAACATACCTGTGCCATGTACTCATCGGTAGTCATTTCTGTCTTAATAAATCCTGGACCGACTATGTTTATCCCAATCTCAGAACCAAATTCAGCCCTCAATGTCTCAAAGAAACTTATCAATGCTGCTTTGCTCGCCTGAAAATCATCATAATTACAAGTTATGATCTTATCTTCTTAGAAATCATGACATTCAAAAATTGAAAACAATCTTACACAGTAGAAACTCAGCTTTGGAGATGGCAACCATCCTATCGATGAAGAAATCACAACAATCTTTCCTCTGCTTTTTCTCAAGTGTGGAACAGCGAAATGTGTTGCATACACTGAACCCCAGAAATTTACATCCTACCAGACAAACCATCACACATAACCTCAGAAATGTGTTGCAACGAATTTGAGCATTGAAAATGGCCTCTGACAATGAATGGGACTATTCACAACCCCCATACTTCTCATAAGTTCTATTGATTAATTTCATAAGAAATGCAAGAATTGAGTAATAAATTACCATCACAGGAGCCAAATCAGAGAGATTTACGGCGAACTCTTGAAATAATTTGACTTGACTAGCCCCAGCATTGTTCACCAAATGATCCACTACAGCAGAAGTAGAATAATAATTAGTTCATAGTTTGCTTAGGATCACAAAAAGAGTCGCTGAGTACAGCCAGGGTTAAATAGAAAATGAAATCATGTATCTAAAGCAAAGTTACGTTGGCCAAAATGGTCAATGGTCTTGGCAACAAAATGCTGGGCGTCAAGAATATTGGAAACATCAGCGGGAATGATAATGCCATCAGGTGCACCCAGGCGTAGAGCTTTATCAAGGACTGCACGCAGGCGATCCTCTCTCCGGGCTACAAGAGCTAAACGAGCCCCTCTTTTCGCATACTCGTAAGCCAAAGCCTTTTCAGAAACACCATTCACCCAAATTGCATTCAGCAAGCCAGCGTGGTAAGATTACTCATAATGGAATTAATATTTGAGAATAATGTAGATGATGAATAGGGAAGACAGTTACCGACCTCGCCAATTCCGGAAGAGGCTCCGGTGATGAGGACAACTTTGCCGGTGAGGGTCTCACCGCGCCTGAATATTGCGATGATTGGAGAAAACAGAAACTTGAAGAAGTAGAAGAGAGGGACGACCAAAAGCAATACCAAGAAACTCGATGAAATTATGGCTATATTCAGCAAATCTGCCATGAAATCCATTCTCTGTTCTGTACTCCAAAAGCTCATTTCAATGGCACCCACATACTAGCATTTATATCGTATGCAGAGCTGTTCATTTCTGACTTTTAGCTGTAGCTACCACTCCATTTTTGACCAGGATACCTACCCAGTGCAGCAGTAACTCTATCTACTTCTTCAGTGGGGGTAGTGAATGTTGCAGTTAAGAAAATCAGCGGCAAGTCTGCAGAATGAATGATTTAGAAAGAGTTCAAATTTTCTGTGGTTCTATTGAAGTTTCAATTTAATTATGAGAGGGCCCCATATGAATCACCCATTTGGAGAGGAAATCAGACAAGCCAGATCAATACTCTTCGAAGATAGGGCTTCCAATTGAGACACTCTCCATGTGAGACCATGCAAGAGAAGACTCGCTGAATTTGCTGTTTGAAGTCCCTAAATAGAAGAGGATGGAACTGGATGTTCTGCTAAACTTTTGTTTTAAATTTTGTTGTCTCATTTCTTGTTTTTACTTGCCTTCATCATTCCCGGAAAAAAAAAATGCCGGCTACAAGTTACAAAAACGTTATGGCATATTTCTTAGTAATGTAAATTTAATTATTGTGTAAATATTTAAGCAAGTAATTTCTATAACAAACGCGGCCTTAAGAGTTTGGTGAAATCTGAGTCAGGATCTTGTCAATATATTCTGCAACATGTTCTTCCATCTTCATCATTTTCATGACTTCAAAAATAGGAATCTGAGGCATTCGTTGGCACTCGTCATATTAAACATCGGCAGGGAAGTTTTGAATAAAATGTGATGAACTTTGGAGGATACTAGAAAGAGAACAACGATGAATTTGGCTAAAACGGGTAAGAACTTTGAGCCCAGGAAGAATGAAGTAAAAGTTGGTATGACACTCAAATAAACTCACATTCCAGTAGAAATCATACAACATTACTAGTAGCTCATCCGCGCGTACGATCAAACATCATAAAATGGCCTAACACTACTTCAAATAAATTCACATTTTGCTTAATTGTTTCTTTTTGCAACAGTATCATTTGGCATCTTGAAGTGAGACAACCAGCCCAATAGACCAGGAAAAAACCAGTTCAACCACACTCCGATTCTGAACCAGGATGGCTCAATCAAATAGAAGTCACCCCTGCAAGTGCTCTTCACAATGGCCTCTGCACACCTTTCTGCAGATTCGACTGGCCATGTCTTGGGGTCAATCTATCAAATGCAATTGTGTAATATTAAACAAAACATTCACGAAAAAACTTTGCTTTTCTACACAGTATCCAACGAAACGCATTGAGCCATTAGTAAAAGTGACCATGAAGCCAATGAGGCAACTCCTATGAAAGCATGGAAGACTTGGAACACGAAAAGAATGTTATCTACTAGCTTGTCAGATAGCAACTGTGATCAGAGATGTATTTAGAGAAGAGTATCAAAGGCACAAGTTTACCAATAACATCATTTATCTATGGACATGTTTTTTCCCCCCCGGGAAGAGCTACCTATAAAAGGTTTAATTCAAATGAATTTAGTTTCCTTATCCTAAGATTGCTAGGCATGCAATGCTGTTAAATTTTTAAAAGCTGTGCGGTTTCTTTGGAATTAAAATTTAGGATAGATGTGTGTGTATGAGAACTCGAGAAGCTTTAGTCTTTCACTAGTCCAACTTATGTTTAGCATTGCAAATTTCAAGTACTTTGGTTTTCTATTCAGACTCAAACGTATACTTCTTATACATACTAATCAATTACCATTTCTGACTTGACAGGTCCTGGAGTTACTATGGTTATCCCAATATCAGAACCGAATTCAGCCCTCAATGACTCAAAGAAGCTTATCATTGCTGCTTTGCTCGCCTGAAACTCATCATAATTATAAGTTATCATATCTTCATAGAAAATATGAAATTCAAAAATGAAAATAATCTTACACTGTAGAAGCTCAGCTTTGGAAGGGAGCACCATCCTGACAATGAGGAAATCGCAACAATCTTTCCTCTACTTTTTCTCAAGTGCGGGAGAGCAAAGCGTGTAGCATATACTGAACCCCAGAAATTTATATCCTAAGGGACCGACCATCACAAAGTGCGACGAAATCTTAGGAATAATAAGGTTCCGTAAATGCAGTGAACAAGAGAATTACAACTGGCCTCTAACAAGAGTAGACACTGAGCACTTGCAAGGAGCTTTAAATAAATTGAATTGCAGTGTTCATAAGACACGGAAGAGTTGAGTGATATAGTACCATTAGTGGGGCTAAATTAGAGAAATCGTCGGAGAATTCTTCAAAGAATTTGACTTGATTAATCCCGGCATTGTTTACCAGATGATCCACTGATGCAGAAGTAGACTGGTAATTAGTTCATTAATTGTTTTGTTTAGGACCACAAAAGAGTAGCTGAGTGCAAACACAATTGAAAAAAGAAAATGAAATCTTGTATATTCCCATCTCCTTTCCTCCGATCTTTAATACTACCTCCGGTCCTTAATATAAGACCTCGTTTGACTTTTATTTTAGTCCTAAATATAACACCACAATCTATTTTGGCTCTCATATTTATACTTTTTTTTTTTCAAAGTAACCCTTCTAACAATGATAGTTCTAATTAATACATTTGATTAGCAAGGATATTTTAGGAAAGACAACACCTATTTAGGACAAATAACTAACTCAACTTACTTCCTTAATCTCCTCAAATTAGTCAACTGGCTTATAATTAGGACCGGAGATAGTATAAAACTCACTTATTAATTTAAAGATATTAAAAAATACATGCTAGTTAGATTATACTACTCTCGGTCCTTAATATAAAAGCTAGTTTAATTTTGATTTTGATTTCAAATATAAGACCCTAATCCATTTTGTCTATCATATTTATTTTTTCTCAAGATAATCCTTATAATAATATTAGTTCTAACTAATACATTTGATTAATAAGAATAATTTAAAAAAAACACTTATTTATTATAAATAACTAACTTAATTGTTTTCTTAATCTACTCAAATTAGATAGTATATCAATTTACAAGTCATACAAATTAATATGAAGAAAAACGATAAATATAAATATATTTAAACTAAATTGTTAGTTTTTTTATTTTTTTAAATTAGTCAAAAAAAAGTTTTGTATTAAGAATGGGATAGTATAGTACATACGTTGACCAAAATGGTCGATGGTCTTGTCAACAAAGCGCCGAGCATCTTGAATCTCAGAAACATCAGCAGGAATCATGATAGCATCAGGCGCACCTAGGCGTAGAGCCTTATCAAGAACCGCACGTAGACGATCCACTCTCCTGGCTACAAGGGCTAAACGAGCCCCTCTTCTCGCGTACTCGTAAGCCAAAGCCTTTTCACATACACCATTCATTCAAATTACGTTCAGCCAGTCTGCGTAATGGAGTTAATATTTGAAGAAAGAGTAAAGAGGTGTTTGGAAGAGTGTGACAGTGTAGACGATGAGTAGAGAAGAGAGTCACAGACCTCGCCGATTCCGGAAGACGCTCCGGTGATGAGCACAACTTTGCCGGCGATCGTCTCATTGGGCTTGTATATTTTGGTGAATGGCGAAAACAGGAACTTCCAAAGGTAGAAGAGAGGAACAAGCAAGAGCAATGCGAAGAAAGCTGATGAATTGACCACTATATTCAGCAAATCTGATATGAAATCCATTCTCTTTACCCCTCAAAACCTGAAACACTTTGGCCAACGCGAGCTACTATTTTCCCCCCCTGACCACAACTAATATTCTTTTTTCTTTGGCAGAGAGACCGCAATTAATATTCATATCATATGCAGAGCTGTAACTGCTTTACCTAACCAATTTACTTATCTTCGCCACTGTACCTAACAAAGGATACTCATACATGCACCCTAACAAAGGGAATTATTGGCATTTTCAAATGTAGGCAAAGACGCAAATTTGGTCAAAAAATTTGCCAAGTGCAACGTAAAATTACTGTGGTGTAATTAGTAAAATATGCTCTGCATCTTCAAAGATAACCGAAATGAATAGTGCACAAAGGAAGGGTGAAGAATCCAAGTCCAAACATGGAAGAGAGTTTAAGTTATCAGAACCAAATACAATAACATCAGGGCAAATTTTTTAATTATATAAATTTAATTACTGGCTAAAATTCAAGCAAGTTTTTTTTTTTTTTTTGCGACAAAATTCAAGCAAGTTTTTTAACACCAGATGCAACGTGCATCAGGATCTTGTCGATCCATGTTGGAGACAAGGGATTCGAAATTTCATTAAAGAAAGAGGGCCCACATGATTATTCCTTTAAGAACTTTGGACGAATAATTTAATGACTATAAAAATGGCTTCTTGCCTTTTAGATGTTTACTTACTGGAGAAAAATTCATAGATTTCTTAATTATAAACAAAGTACTTTCTGGACAAGCACTTTAATGTTCTCGAATCAGAAATTGTTTGATCGAATCATACTATACGTATTCCTATTTTCTGCTATCCAAAGTAGGATCAGAAACTGAAACCAAACAAAATTATCTTTTTGGTCTCAATTTATTGAACTCTAAGAACAAGCATTAATTGGTAATGCTTGCTATCCTTCCACTATGTGTTGAACTCACTCTAAGTAACTGCTGCATTGTAAAAGGTTAAGCTCAAGCTTCCTCTGCTCGTTCACTCTGGCAATGAAATCATCAGCCCTTTTGCTCAATTCATCAGAATCAGAAGCCAAACCCAGTTCACCTTCTTCTTCATCCGCATTCTCTTCTTCTACTTCTTCCCCTCTCACATCTGCACATTCTGAAACTTGTTCCTCCATTCCTCTGACTTTCATGTACTGGGAAGTTGGAGCTTGAGGCCTTTGGGTTTGTCTCTCGACTCTACTCTTGATGAACTCGTCATAGTAAACATCAGAAGTTGAAGAAGAGGATTTTGAAGAGAAGACTCTAGAATTTATTATAAGGACAACAATGATGAGGTTGCCTAGTATGAATAAGAACTTTGAGTCCAACATGGCTGAAACAAAACTTGGGACGCATACTATGAAAAACTCTCTCAACACAGAGGCAAAGTAAGGCAGGGACAGAGGGATACAACAGAACAGAATGCAAGTCACAGTAATCAAGGAATAGAAGTACAAATTATCCAGAAACTGATGCCTCTTGTATCTCCTCATGGCTTGAATCTTCTTGATCTGGGTAGGATCCATTGAAGGTTCTTGAGTTAAAGAATATAGGGAAGAGTTAATCAGACCGAACTTAGAGCACCAGAAAATACAAAGTGATTTATAGTTTCGAGAAAAGAGTTTTTGATTGGTCAAAATATTCACATGCTTCTTTATCAATTATTATCATTGTATTTTTTTAAAAAGCATGACTGACTTTCTATAAAGCCAAGGGACATAATGGCGTGGCGTTTAGTAGGCCCTTTTTCCCTTTTACCCTCCATCTCTACTAACTATTCAGACGTGTTTTGCTTTTACCTCATATTGCAGAATGAATATGCCAGAACGATCTGCCAGAATCCTTCAAATTGATTCTCTTATTGTGATCCCACACCAATGTGATGTTGATTCTGTGTCGAACAGTATCATCCCCATAATCTGTTCAGAACAAACATGGCCATAAGGAAACAAGCATAATCTGTTGATTCTGTTCAGAACAGTATCATCCTCATGGAGGGAACATGATTATGTTCGTGGAAATTGAAGTAGCTGATGAAGACTTGGTTTTAAGGGTAACTCAAATGCAAACTGATAAAAAATTACGTAATTAGTGCAGACTTAACAAGAAGACAATCCGTGCAGGTTTCTCTTCATTTTCCGTAAAGATAACTTTCAACAGTTATTGGGTTATCCAGGCTTGCTAGCACGAGTCATGTCAGTATAGCCTCCATTTTTTATTCCCCGGAAATCACAGAAAGCTTCTGTGCTGCAATGAAACTTCTGGCAGGAGCATTGTAAACCGAACAATGTGATTAATATTGGTTCAAACTTCAAAACCAGTGACGAAGAAAACAATATAATATGCATACCAGCAACAAGTGCGGGATTAATTACTTTGATGGCTAAGTCATGTGATTACTTTATTAGTCTCAGGCTCTTTCAGATATGTGATGGGGCGATTTTATTTTATTGGGTTTTGCAAAAGTTGATATAAAGCAATTTGTTTCGTCGGTATCCAGGCCCTACCTTCTTAGAAAGGGAAACCAAAGACCAAAGACAAGGAAACTACGAGGACAAATATTAAAGTCTTTGGGATCAATGTTCATGTTCAAAGTTCTGTAGACTGAAAACAAGGTATTACAACATAAAAGGGGAGTTGTGAGGTTTCCTCATTCCTAAACTCAAATAACGAAACTTAATTCATGAGATATTTAGATACAATAATGCAACCTCCAGTCCTAAATGTAAAATCTAGTAGTTTGTAGTGCAAATTACATTACTAATTAGATCTTATATGTAGGACTAGATGTAATAAGTAAGAAATTTGAAATTCATGAATTAAGCATGTTCTTACATCTCTATTCAAAATTGTTATAAATAGGCTTGAGTAAGGAAGAAATTACAGTACCTTTATGCTATGTTTGGATTAGTAGAAATCTGGATTTGAGCCAAATCCAAGCAAATTTTCATTACAATTTTTTAGATCTTTAAATATCTAATTTGCCCTAATTATTTCAAATCCCAATCATCCTCTTTCAATACTATCTGAACATATGAAGGGGTCACATGAGTAGGATAACTAACATTTATTTTAAATCTAAAATCCATCTATCCAATCGCTACCTTAAAGTAAGCTAGCTCTCCAATTTTTATTATCAAATGATTCTATGCCATGTAGCATTTATGTCATCATCCATAATTCAATGGTTAAAATATTTAGAAAAAGGCTTGGTTGAGTTCTCCATAGCCGAGGAACTGACCATGGTTAATCTCCCTCTAATACAGCTATACAAACTTGAATTAATAACGTATTGGTCTGCTGAAATAATGGCACTAGTTTTTTTAATTTACAGCTCATAATTAAACTACAGTAAAGCCATTGCTTTTCAGCGTGAGTTTATTAAATTTGTTTACATGTATGTATTAACTTATTTTAACAGAAATCATTTAATTTCTCATCGCATCTTTACATTACTGCCTCGTGGACGTTCAGAGTCTCTTGAGTATGGATGATTATAGGCCTTGGTCCTTTTTATCAGAAAATGGATTAGCCCTTTAATTATTTATTAGCGAGAAGGGGATGGATGGCCCTCAATTATTGTTTCCTTTCCTCTTGCTTGTCGCTTCTTCTTTTTTACTCGTGTTTCTTTCTCGCTCCTTTTCCCCTTTTTCTCTCAATTTTTCACATCACCAAGTGTGAACGGAACGAAGGTTTAAGAAAAGCCAATTGTAGCAGTACTGCAATGGGATTACTCATAATAATTCACAATTTCAATGCATTGACAGAGGGGGGGGGACAAAAGGCAACAAGTGGACTAATATAATTGATTGACAGAATTATTTTTAATCATTTCATGGCTGGTTTCTCTTCCACTTTTCTGGTATATGAAATTTCATACGCAGATACCAATATGGACGACGCAGGGACTCTACTTTTCTTCGTTTTTTTTATTTTTTCCCAAAACAAGTGCTCTGAGAAATCTCAATGGGCAGAGTGAAATCAGCTGCATTTAGATGCAGTCAATCTCGCAGCCTTTCACGCCTTGACAGTAGGATCTGTGCAAAAAAGATATGAACGGAAACCGAAAGCACTCTAATTCATTTTATTATGTTTCTTTTTTTCTTTTTTTTTGGGGTCGTATATCGAAGTTATTAACCGGAAACGAGTTGATTAAATTAAGGTAAGCTTGGCTCATTGTTGGAAACATCCTCTGCAGTGAATCCATCTTCTTCTGAGGCATGAACATGATGAGCTCTTGAACAAGAAACCAATGAGAATATATAGAATTCACGTGTGTGTCGGAAATTACATTGCATTACATGATCAAAGAGGGTGAACAGAGTCAACAAGTAGTCATATTTAACAGTGTATTAAATTTAAGACTGAGCAAATGCGAAACCGATGAAGCGAGAAGACTGAGCATTTCGCTGTGCATGCATGGCTCCATCAATAAGCTTCCTGATCTCCCTATTTCCATAATAATATCACATCAATATGACTAAACCATTAATAAACCACAAATGGTGTACATTTTTTGAAGTTTGAAAACTCAAAAAATGCATGAACTCACTTTCTTGTGGCTGATGAAGTCCACAAACTTCTTAGCCTTGCCACCATTGGGTGACCTGTGGTGGCTGTCTCTCCCAGTCAAATATTTCCTGATATGTCCTCTCACAAACCTTTCATACAAGAATGCAGCCCCTTTGAACTGTGGCAGAACCAGCCACGCCACAAATACGAGCTTCACGTCGTACCAAAATGGCATCCTTCATAGTTTCAAACGAACATATTTCGTGTGTCTCTCACAAGTCAGAATATCTAAAACCTCTGAATTCATACAGCAAGAGTTATGAAAAACAAAGACACTGACCATTCCAGAACTGGTTGCAGAACCATTTCAGCAAGGGTGAGGAAAGAGTATAGGATCCAGTAAGCAAGCCACTGTTCATCATCCAACTTGGACGTGCTTTCCATGGCGATCACCGATGCATACCTAACCATTGATAAATAAGCAACCCAACACACACAAATGCATGGATGTTTATACATGAAGCGACAATGCTGGAAGATAAGGAAAAGTAATAGTAGTTGTAGAGAGTAGAGACTTACAAAGGGTACAATAAAGTGACCACCGGCCTGCAAATCAACAGAGATACTCATTCCGGAGATTGTCGACGACAAAGAGCAAAACAACAAAATGAATGTAGAGAGGGGAAAAGGAAGATACCCGGCAAGAGAATGAAGCTGGGTGATCAGGGTCCAGAACTTCCCCATCCTGATCCAAACCGAACAGAGACAAACAACGAATCAACGAGTAAAGTGAAAGCGACGATCCAGCAAACACTGTGAACCAGTTTGAAAAACAAAGAACAAGGCGGAAACTCAAGTCAAGTGGGGGCCAATCGGGTGGTGATGACTGACGATTTATATCCGAGGATGGGGAGGAGGCCACGTGGGAACAGAAGAGCGGGAATCGGATTCTTCCTTTAACGTGTCCTTCATCCCCACCGTCCCTCATTACATATTTTATCCTCCGGGTTCTTTGCCCAAAGAACAAGCCACGTGTTCACGCTTCCCGACAAATCCAGGTCGGTGACACTTGTCGCCACATGGACTCCTCTGTTGACGAGCTGACCATGGGCCTGTTTTCCTTCTCTAAAAACCAGGCCCAAATGTTAATGAAATATCCCCGGGTGGTGAAACTAAAAACCCATATATAGCAACATTTTTTTTAAAAGTAAAATAAAGTTTTAATGCAGATAACCTAAACAAAACTAGAGCTTTTTTAACTCTTGCTTTTCTTCCACTTCTGAGCCACCTTCTAATTTCTTTTTAAATAGTGATGTGTTTCCATTTTCATAGCTGGATCACGCTACGCTTGATTTCCAGTGTAAATTAGGAATGAACTTGAGACAGAGCCAACGCAAATCAACACCCACCCAAATAACCATCTTTCTATTTTTGCGTGCAAGTTAACGATGGAGGCTTCTCCATTTTTCCCCCACCCCCACAAGGTGCCCTCTCCGAAAATACTAAATTTATTCCACCAATGCATCAGAAACACAGAGAATGGGAAGGTAGTCGAGAGAATCCAATTCCCGATTCTTCTCAATCTTAATTTATCTCAACGAGTAGTTACACCTATACCTTGTTAGTCTTCGAAAGTAAATCATTTGCCCCACTTGACAAGATACCCGCATGAGCTACGTTTTATATGGACATCACTTTCATTTCCCCCACTTAGTTGAGTCGTTGATCTTCTCGTTTTCTCAATTCCCTTGTGGCTGGCTTGCTCATTACTTACTAATTAGCAAGCAATCATACGTTCATGGCAGGCACGGCCAGCATAAGGTTAAATTTTCCTGGAAAACTGATCGGCAGGAAATTAGAGAAGCAAAACGGTGATATCTTGCATGTGGCTTCTTGTTCTTCTGGAAAAACACCCTCATTAGGTGACCAACGAAGATTGTCATTGGTAAGCGCGAGTGCTCAGATTGATGTTGGGATATCAGGCACCGTCAACGGCAAAGAGGTGAACGGAAAACATGTCGCAGAGGAGGCTGTTCAAGTAGGAAAATTGGGAAACGAAAACGCGGCAGACGCAGCACTTGTTACCAGCTTGCATGGAAGATTTGTGGAGAGCAAGTTCGTATACAGGCAGATTTTCGTGATCAGGTCGTATGAAATTGGACCAGACAAGACTGCCACCATGGAGACTCTCATGAATTTCCTTCAGGTTAGCCTCAACAACGTAACTGTCACCTGCTCATATTTATACCCCAACCTTCTGTTTAATACCACCTCAACACGACACAAAATTCGATATATCATGAGTATTTATGAGCTAGTGTCGAAATGATTTATAGGAGACAGCTCTAAATCATGTTACGAGCTCTGGGATTGGAGGAAACGGATTCGGAACGACCAGGGAGATGAGCATCCGGAAACTCATATGGGTTGTTACCCGTATCCAACTTCAAGTGCAGAGATATAGCAGCTGGTAATTATAACTTTATTTAAGTGACTTCACAATGAACTGTGTTTTGAAAAGTGATTAATGCCTGCGACAGGGGAGATGTGATTGAGGTTGACACATGGGTTGATGCAGCCGGCAAGAATGGAATGCGCAGAGATTGGGTCATCAGAGATCACCACACCAAAGAGATCATAACCAAAGCAACAAGGTCCGATATATTTCATTATTTCATGGACGAGAACTAGAAATTACAAATGGATGGTACTCATGTTGATGTAATATATATACATATATATGACTAATAGTCAAAGAAAAATTCCTTGCTGGTGTAGTACATGGGTGATCATGAACAGAGAAACAAGAAAATTGTGTAAGATACCTGAAGAAGTGAGACAAGAGGTTGTCCCCTTCTACCTCAACAGAAGTTCCATTTCCACAGAACAAACTGACTCTGAAAAGATCGACAAGCTCACCGATGATACTGCTGAGAGAATTCGATCCGGATTAGCTGTAAGTTAAATTACTTGGTTATGAATTAGACGATGTTGTTATTCAAATTCAAATTGTTGCCTCAATGTAATTAGCCAAGGTGGAACGACATGGATGCTAACCAACATGTGAACAATGTGAAATACATCGGATGGATCTTAGAGGTAGTGATTGAATTATAAGATATTGATTTTCCCGAAGAACAGAAAAAGTGTTAGTAAACTAATGAATCGTCACATGTATGTGTTGCAGAGTGTGCCGATCAAAGTTTTGGAAGATTGTAACATGACGAGCATGACTTTGGAATATAGAAGAGAGTGCAGGCAATCGAATCTGTTGGAGTCGTTGACGAGTCCAACGGCAAGAGTGATTGGTGACTCCAATAATAACTCCATTAACAGAAAACCAGACCTTCAGTACACCCACATGCTTCGTCTTCAAGGTGATAAAAAAGAGGTTGTCCGAGCAAGAACAGAATGGAATTTGAAGCCCTGACACAGAGTGATTAATTCCATGCCCGAAATAAACCTTTTAATCTCCTGTCATTTCTACTGTGCTTCCTTGTTTCATTGTCCCTTCCTTCTTCTCTGTTTTAATTTTGTGTTGAAACCTTATAATCCTTGTACCGTTGAAAAGAGCCGATGCCTGATGAGTGTTATTTAGCAATAAACTGATAGTTTTGATGATGTTATTTGTAAATATTATCATGTTGATATGAAAAACTGTCAATGAAGAAGTGGGCTTGCCTTTCTTTAGCAGTCTTAATTGGATATAATATAAATGGAGGATCCATATCCACAAGCTAGCTAGCTGGAGGTCGAAGAAAAGAAATGGAGGGAGGTTGAGGTTGAGGTTGATCAACTAAAATTACTGATGTTCTCAACCACCAGGGATGGCATGTTACTTCTTACTTGAACCAACCAAATTGAATCTGCCAATTCTGTGAGAATTCCAAAGAGAAATCAGAAAGGGACAATTGTTGTAAGGTGAAATGGACGAGGAACATGATCATCCATTAAAAGCACCCCGTTACCAAGCAAGTCATGATCTGCATATTTCCGGTGAGAAGAACCTCACCTTTTCTACGGCATATCGAACCCTCTTGGATCCTAAACGGCCCAATCACTTGTTTTAATCCCGATGGTCTTTGCCCGATCACTTTTTTTTTTTTTTTTTACATTCGTTCAAAATATTTAATACACCTACGAAGGCGGATTGAAATTATAAATAAAGGAATGGACGAAACGAAGAGACATGTGAGGAAAAGGAAGGAATTTCTTATTGATGAGGCGTCTTTTTCAACTGAGCAGGCAGTGGTAGCCAAACTGTGATTAGACATGTGAGCCCGAAATGATTAAGAATCGCAATGTTCTCATCATTTTGATCTGACCACACATAATTATTCTCTCCTAATTATTGATTCACCCTTGCTCTTCTTTGTTTCAAAGTTGAATTTTTTTTAGGTGGTACAATAGCAAGGTTGTACCTTGGTTTCTGTGGTGCATTTAACGCAATATCCACAGGAGCCATGTGAATCACACATGCCAAATAGCAGCCCTCGTTACCTGTTTATTTAACTGTCACAGAAGGGGCATATTACTTTCTAGGTTCAGAAGAACGAACAAAGAGACCGGGTTCCTTAATTGTTTCACTGTGGTTTTTCGCATGCCTTTTTTTTTTTCTCCCCAATACCATCCGCGTAGGCGTTTCACTGTGATGGGATTTAGACTGTTCGATTTTAATCTAAACACTCCATATTAGTGGTAATGAAACACTTTCACGTTGTTAAGGCACTTTCAATAATTACCAGTGCTTTTGGATCTAAAAAGTATTATAATTAATAAATAGGAGGCGATTAATCGGAATGCTTGGATATGAATCATTATGCGGCCTTTGGATGATTCTGGGGGCACCACGTGATTCCCACAGCCCTACTTCCCCCACTTTGTTAGACCTAAAAATTAAAATCATAACCTGAGCCTCATCTCAAACTTTACGCCCGGTTTAAAGTAATCTTACTGCACGGCGCATTTCTTTCATGCGTTCGCATGTTATTTATAAGTAAAATTTAGCATATTCAGTGGGGGGGAATATTTCGAGCTTTAAACAATCTATCTAATAATAAATTAAGAATAAAATACAATGTTAAAAATTTAATGATGTAACTTATATGTATATAAAAAAAAATTCTCTCTCAACTTTATAAATAAAACCAGGATATTAAAAGTAAATTACAAACGTGTTCTTCGATTTCCTTTAAACCTGTAACACGCACAGGTGATAACACAGTTCTTCATTACTATCAACCAAGCTCGTTGCGTCAATGCAAGCAGAACTTTTTGTGAAATTTGGGCCCATCTCAGCCTGTATTGGGCTCGATATTTGTCTGTACAGTTAAAAAATTAAAATATTTTTATCACCATTATAAATAGGAGTATATATGGGATATATTCCGTTGGCAAAAAAATATGGTATATATCCAATATCTGACTTTTATTTTGTTAAAATATCGAAGTTTTTTCCGGGAATAAGAGAATCCTTTTACTTATTTTATTCACATCTTCTTATTTTTTTAAATTTTTGGCCAGACACGTCTTCTCCTTTTACTCATATGCCTGACAATAACATTTTTTTCATTTTCCTGGATTTATTACGTAAAATGTGATGAAATGGAAGGAGGCACGAGGTGTGCGAATGGAATATTCTAGACTTCGGACGTCACTCGTGCCCTTTCCCTCTGCCAGCTTGTCTTCGTCGCTGGGCCCCCCCTATGATGGGGTCCCCACATCGCCATCATTATTTCTCTTTGTAGTAATATTCTTAAATATTAGACGGAAAAGGTCAGGTATTGAATTATAAAAAAATTGGTTTTATTGGAAAATAAATATAAATAAAAGTTGCCTAAATTTTTCCCTTTGATCTTGGTAAAAGGATGAACTTTATTTTTCAAAAAAGAAAAAGAGAGAACATATCAAAAACTTTCCAGATATTTGATTTTTTTTCACATGATTTAAATTAACAAAAAAAAAAGTAGTCAGTCAATTAATTTAGGAGAGGTTTAACGAGAATAAGGGACTGCGTTGCCATTGGAAATTGAACCTAGTGCGAATTTTTAAAAAGATGCGTCGAAGGCGTGGACAAGGCACCCTTTTCATCTAATGTTTAAACAGTTCAATTTTTTCCCGAAAATTCCCAAACCACACTTTTCATGAAAATTAGAATTCGAGTAGGTTAGATGTTTTTATTTGATTCTTTTCTAGTTAGGTTTTGGACAGTTTTTTTGGCTTACATATACAAATTAAGTAAGAATGGAAACGTCAAAATTTAGGTAGAGAGGATTCAAAGGTCTGTGGGTGTAAAGGAGAGCCTGCCAGCACCTTACCTTGGAGTTTATATTTATCCGTCTTCCTCATCCTCCCAATTGTATTTCTTGGCATCAATTGGGCATTTCATGAAAGGACGTTTCAGTTTTATGAATATTTTCCCCAGAATTGAAAAGGGGAGAGAGAGAGAGAGAGAGAGAGAGAGCAATGAAAACTGAAAAGGACGTATCCGAAGTGGGGGAGGATGATGATGAATAATGCAGGCGGGGCATGGATTTTGTAGTTTTGCATACTGTGCCAGAGCCGTTTTGAACTTTGAACTCTCCCTCCACATTAATTACTTCACCATCCACCCTATCTCCAAATTCTCCTCATTTATTACGTATTCGCGACTTCCTTCTAAAATGCTGCGCATTTGACCACAAAACCAAATCTCATTAAAAATCAAACACACTACTATAATCAAGGGTTTTCATCAACAGTGACAAAAAGCATATTCCCTCTTTGTATAGTAAAAAAGCTCTCATCTTTTGAATGCCCCTTCTCAAAACTTTTAAAATAAATTAACAACTCCATGGGCGTTGAGACTTTATTAACCAACACTGGTGGCAGGAAGCAAATGAAAACAAAAAACAGAGCTCGCTAATCTGGAACAACCATGTGAGGCTGGAATCTTTAGTCCCCTGACCAAACTGAAACTAATGAAAGAATTTTAAGCGATTATTAATAATAATAAAAGGGAGACATTAGCATAATAATGTATGTGTATATATAGTACTACACGGCTGCATGATTGACTGGTAATGTGTTTAAGTGGTGGCCATTGGCACAACTCTCCAAAAGCCACTTTCGAAGACACACGCGAACAACAACAAAGCATTCCATGTGCCGATATCCCACACCCATTATACATCACTCCCTTCTCTGTACTATTATTTGGTCTTACTCCCTCTCCCTCACCAGCCAGCCCCACCCCCATCACTTTAACTCCCAGCAACTTTGTCAGAAACCTCCAGCTCTTTTCTTTTTTGAGTCTTTTCCTGGTTTTAAAAAGTCATTAAAACTGACGAAAATCAAGCTGAGATTTTTCTCCTTAGATGCTCTTAGTGTGATGAAAACTGAAAAGTCAGAACTCAGAAAGCAGTGTTGCCCAAGTTGTCAAAACTAGGATAGATTAAACAGACAGGTAGAGATTTAATTTCCCATAACACGAGAGGCTAAAACAAAAGGCATGTAATGCAGGACCCAGAAGACTGACATATACTGACTTGCCAATTACAATTGGAATTATGTTGTATGAACAGTAAATGTGATACTAACTACGGTAAGTGAAAATGGGGCCTATTAGTAGTGGGTGAGATTTGCTAATGGAAACAAATGAAGATGACTAGAGATGCTTTTGAGTTTAGATTTCCCAAAATCACAGTCAATTCGGCTCTTATCTCCTTGCTTTTCAGCTGCTCATTGCCGAGTGATTTCCTACGTGGGAGATAGAGAACCACCCTGTTTGATCTAGTAACTCTCTGTTACAACTTCCATAAAAAAGTGGACACTTCCGAGAATTTAAGGTGAAAATCATGAGTGAAAAGCCATTGTACGTACGATTCTACAGTGCAAGAGAGAGACAAACAGAGGAAGACGGATGCACAGGCGTAGGCAATTCGAATCCTTGCCCGAGAAATAATCATACAATAATCACTTAGATGGTCGTGCCCTTCTGGCATTCTATTCCCCACACTCTTACAGACACGATTCGCTAGTAAATTGTACGTACGTATATATTTATAATTCGGATGCGTTTCAAATTTGCTCCCTAGTCCCAACGCCGCCAATCTCTGATATCGTGCTTTCGTTCCAGACCCTTATCTCTGAAACCTACTAAACCAAACACACTGGATTCAGTTTCAGATTACCTAACCCGTATGTCATCCTTCTTCCACAAAAGGCATGGAACAGACGGCAGACCCCCATGTAGTTTAAATGAAATAAGGAAGGTGTAGGAGTGTAGTTATTCATATTTTCATTTATGAAACAGTTCAACGGAAAGTACAAGCAATACAAAAACTCTACAGCGGCTGATCTGTAGATTATACTTATACTTCTAACAGGGGAAAAAGTACAGGGGCCACATGCAGTGGGTGCAGGACAGATAGGGCAGTGGGGAGGAAATCACCCCCACTTTTCCCTGATCCCCATATTACCCCTCTCATTTATCAGTTTTTACATAACAGAGCAAGCATTTGGATTCTCATCGCTGAAGATCTGAGGCGGGTAGGCGTACATCTCCATGGTATACCTGGGAGGATAATAGTAGTATTCGTTCTTCCTCAACTCCACCACCTTGGTCTCTTCCGTTTCTGCACCTTCTTTCCCTTCGCCCTCTCCTCCTTTCTTCTCTTCTCCTTCCTTCGCTTTCTCTCCTTCTTCCCCTTTCTTCTCCTCCATTTTCTCCTTCTTCTCGTCAGGCTCTTGCTTCACTATCACCGCCTGTTTCCCTGTGCGTTTGTGCACGTATTCAACCAACTTGGCTGTTTCGAACACCCCCTTCACGCTCACCTCCGACTTCTTCAGGTCCGGTTCCGCCGATTCCACTCCTGAACACAATCATGGAGTATTTATTTATATATAGATTCGATGCATTATTAAATTAGATTGAATGACCCAAAGTTGGCCTCAGCTGGACCACTTTCACCGGAATCTCATGATTGCAATCTACAATATATTAATAGTCTAAAAATTCCACAAGACCGTTGCTTGATTTGCATGAAACAGGGGAAATAGTGTGAATAGAAAGGAGCAGAAAAGAAAAAAGATGGCGACTTTTTACATACCCTTCATTCTCTGGATGCGTCTCTTGATTTCTTGCGCGCAAGCTTCGCAATGCATGTGAACTTTCAGAACGACTGTGACTGTCTGGGGCTGCTTGACATGAAGAAGAATATCGCTGTTAGAAGCAAGAAAATGCAGGGGCATGAGAACAAAGGGGACCGAAAAGTTAATAACAAGTAAAAACCTCTTCTTTCTTCTCCTCGGGCTTGGGCTGCTGTTTCTCTTCGGGTTTTTTCTCCTCCTCTGCCGGCGGTTTTGGGATCGGAGAAAGAAGTTCGACCTGCCTGTGACTCTTCCTCTGTACTCTGTCCAAGACCTTAAGCGGATCTGCCTTCTCTCCTTTCACAACCACTTTGTGAGTCTTACAGTCTGTGATAACATCTTCCACGCCTGAACCAAAACACCCACAAACACGATTTCATTACATGAATCAATCAGAAAACAGTACGTAACAAGTAACTCGATCACAACATCTCACCTGGGAATCCTTTAAGCGAACGACGAACCTTGCGAGCACAACCTTCGCAATGCATGTAAACATTAAGCACAATATCAGGAGGCGGCGGCGGAGTTTGTTCTTTAGAGTCCTTGCCGTCGGCCGCATCTTTGGAGTCATCCGGTTTTTTGTCGCCCTTGTTGTCGTCGGCCGGTTTCTCCTGCTGTTTAGATTCCTCCTTGCCAGCTTTCTTCCCCTCCTCTGCCTTGTTGGGCTCCGCCGGCTTTTTCTCCTCCATTTTGGTTTCCTCGGGTTTCTTCTCCTCCTGAATTCAAAATCAAAATATATAAGAACAAAAGAAAGAGTTAAGAAGAAAGGAAGGAACAAGAGGAGAAGGAAGGGAAGACAGATGAAGACCTCTCCCATTGGTTTAATTTTGCCTGGGAATTGCTGTGTTAATTTTGGAGGGTAGTCTTTTGTTTTTCAAGAAGGTGCGTGTGAGAGTGTGGGACTTGGTACAGTTTCTCTTTGTCGCGGAGACTAGTGCAGGTATAAATATACAAAACAAGTGTAAAAAGGCGAGAGAGTTTTCAATCTCTAAGGGATGACGAGATCTAGTGCCACTGGCATTATCATCATTCATCATCCTCATCATAAGGTGACGTGGCACGTGCGACGGAGGCGCAGTGGAACTGAGACACGTGCTGCTCTCCGGTTTATTGGTGGCTTTGGGGTTTCACTGTTGATCTGCGTTCGCGTGTAGAAATCCCTAGAATCCCTCCCTCACACTTTTGAATTTAACGGTACAGTTTCTAGAATTCCCAAAGAAACAAAAAAACGTTTCACGCATTCCATTCCAAGTTCCAACCCCAGAGTTTTTATTCTATGGGCCGTCAACCCCTCAAATTATTCATGGCCGTATTTAATAAACAAAGAAGGAATGAAGGGAGCCTTGGAGCGTAGAGTTTAGGTTATTATAGCTTTTTTTTTTTTCTGGTCATATTCTTGTATTTTGTCTGTTTTTAATCAAGTATTTCTAATTATTATTTTTTATTTAATGCTTATGGTTTTGAAAGTAGACATTTGTTTTTTTCTTATCAGTCACCTGAAATTATAATAAGTACTGGATTAAAAAAACACATGAAATTAAAAGAACCTGTTCAACAAAAAAACACGATGAAAACTTAATAAAAGAAGAGGGAAAATTTATAAAAACTTGATTGAAAATTACCTTTTTATCGTGGTTATTGTAAATTAATTGAAACGATAAGGGCTTGTTGACTAATTATCGAAGGAATAATAAACTGATGATGATGGTCATTCATAAAAAAACTGTGTGCTCCTAATTGGTCAATGATGGAAACCAAATCGGGAGATGGTGAGTGAGAAAATTAATAATGTGAAGAAGCATGAGGAAGAAGCTAAATGAGAGGAATGAAGAAGGAAGTAATATGAGTGGTCCAGATCAGGCGCATAAGAAAATGAAACGCCCCACTGGCCCCCGGGGATGGACCCCCATATCTAAGCTCCTAATATGGCAGAAATTCTTGGGCGCACCTCGTCATTTGATCATTTGTACTCTCATTCAATAAAAATCGTTAATTCCCTTTCGCTGGTCCCCCAAATTTACCTCCCATCCCATCCTCGAGAAATTCCTGCATGCATTGGGAGTTCCATGTCTCATTATTGTGTTCTCCGAATGCTCTTGTCTTTAAGTGAGATTAGCTAATACTACTTTCAGTCCTAATTATAAGAGCTGGTTGACTAATTTGAGGAGATTAAGGAACAAAGTTAAGTTAGTTATTTGTCATAAATAGGTGTTGTATTTCCTAAAATATTATTGCTAATCAAGTATATTGGTTAAAACTATCATTGTTAGAAGGACTATTTTAAAAAAATGCATAAATATTAGAGACAAAGTGAATTGGAGTCTTATATTTAAGACTAAAATAAAAGTCAAACGAGATCTTATATTAAGAATTGGAGGTAATACTTCTGTAATTCATATGAACATGCTCCACTCAGAGAAAAGGACATGTCTTATGGTTTTTTTTTTTTTTGGATTACTCCATCCGGTATCCCAGGGAAATAGGCGTCTTTCAGCCGTGACAACGTCCCCAGACTAATCCGGATTCGGGGGCTTGCAAGGATCCATACGGACGGCGCCCCCTGGCCCCTTGAAGTGCTGTGTTCCCACGTCTCGAACCCGAGATCCGTGGTTAAGCTAGGATGACCCCAGCCAGTCGATCTAACCCCGCGGGGTTAGCATGTCTTATGGTTATTGATCAGCAAAGAAGAGTCTCCACTCTGAGTTACCCATCGGGAGGGCTACATTAAAAGACAGGTTTTATAAGGCCTTAGATCAAGAGTATGGTTTTCCAAAAAACTTACATTCGTTACAATAATATGCTTTTATTGAGAGCTAATTAACCTAAAAGAGGGGAACCTTGCCCGAGTTTTTAAAAAAAATAAAAATTGGAGAGTGTATAATTGACTTGCTGCTCTCAGAGCACCCAATAATTTCTCCCTCATACGGCATCCAGAGAACGTTTTCGCTTGATATGTTTGGCTGCTTCATCTTCCTGGCTATCTTTCTCTCTAATTTCCTCCATATTTGTTCCCCGTCACTTTCCAATCCCACCACAAAAATTAATCTAAATGTGCATGCGATATAATTTATTTATGAAATGGTAGTATTCATTAACAAGTCTAGAAGCAGCAATATATTATTTCTTCATCAAGATCTGAATGCGGAACTCTATCGGACTTAGAGTATATCATTAGTCACTAATCCCAATTATGACACTGATCATGCAAGTCACATGCAGCGCTTTAACTACATGATTCAGCTTCAGCGTATACATCGCATATTTTTAATAAATATTCACCCACGCTACGCTTCCATCTGCTGGGACGCCTTTTTAAAGCCATCACCAGCACAGGAAATTACATCTCAAGTAGAGACGAACCAAAAATTTTAAAAATTTTCTGTTGTTTCTGGAACAAAATAAATGAAAGTTGACGATATAATAACTCTTGTACTACTTCCGGTTCTTAATATAAAAACTAGTTTGACTTTTAATTTGGTCCTATATATATAACTCCAATTTACTTTGTTTTTTATATGTATCTATTTTTTTCAAAATAATTCTTATAGTGACTATACATATTAAAGATTCTATTAAAAGATAATTCTAGTTAATATACATGATGAGTAAAGATATTCTAATACAATATCTAATTATTACAAATAACTAATTAACTTAAACTTTTTTAATATGGTCAAATTAGTTAACTATTACATTAAGGAGTGGAGGAAGAATATATATATGTGTTGTGTAAAACATGGTTAATGATAATCTTGTGCTCTTTGTTGGGGGGGTGGTTTTCATGATGGGACGATGATTCAACCTTATTTTAGTCGATGTATACCTAACTGATGGGATCAAGGTTCGTTCTCATCTCATCACTTCCCGGCATCATGAGTGCCGGATAATCTTAATGATTAGCTTCCAGCGGCGATGAAGTACTACTCCACACAGACAAAAATAGTTTTTAACTTTTGACGCAATAGATGATCATGTGGCAGTGTCTTGCTCTTGCCCACTGTTTTGAGCCATTAGTAATAAACCAAGACTGTGTACTTGACAAACTAAAAAACTGATGAAATGACTATGAAGATGTAACGGCCATGTTAATTGTTTATTTGGATTTATCATTTACATATGCTTTAAATTGGACCACTCATCAACTAACGCATATATATTCATCCGCAAAACACGACAAGAACAAGAAATTAACCCCATCATCTCACTTGATTGATCGATCGATGCAGACAAAAACTAGCCGTATTTGCAAGCCACTCTCTAGCCACACGAGAAACTGTGAATCTGTGATAATTCCATCACGAAGAATGAACATATCAAGAGTCTAGAATTCACTTACGTGAACTGCTTTTACGCCAACAGTAGTGAAACTCAGCAATCAATGTTAAACAGCAGTAAGGACAGATGGGATCACCTAATTACAGGACAAGAGAGGGAAGCGACCAAGACTTCAAAAAGGTGGGCAATAAAGCTTACGCTTGATGACGAAGCAGGAGAATATGGCGGTTTAAGGGATGGGATAAGAAGGCAATTAAGTGGAGGCCACTTTGTTGCCTCTCATTCCTATCCAAAAGTAATGATCGATCACATACATCTGTCTGTATAGATAAGAAAAAGGCCATTAGAAATCGCATATAAAGTTTGTCACTTATCTTAAAATAGATGTACTCACCACTCGTATATATAGGTGTAATCAACCATTTAGGGTGTGTTTGGATGAAACCAAACCGTGGTTTGGAAAAGTGATTCTGGAGAATAGATTATGGGGAAAATAGATTTTGTAAAAAAGTGATTCTGAGAAGTGAGAGTGTTTGGATAGTTGTTATCAGAAGCACTTTTTATATATACAAATTACTAAAAAAAAGACATAAGTTAATATGATAATTACAGAAAAAATAGATTTTATAATATATTTTAATTTGAAGGAGTAAAATTGTTAATAATATGTTTTTTACCAACATAATTAATAATACATAAGATAATATAATTAATAAATAATTAATGTGTATATATTTATAAAATATAAGATTAAATATATTTATAAAAAATATGTTTATAAAAAAAATAACAAGATACATATCATATAGGCCCTCACACTCTCCCTTTTCTCTAAAAGCAAAAAAATTTTGCTTTTTCCAAAACCATGGTTTTGGAGTCAAAACCATGGTTTTGGTTTTTAGAGGGGGTGTTTGGGTAGATTATTCCCCAAACCATGATTTGGGTCCCCAAACCATAGTTTGGGGTGTCACCCAAACACACCCTTAATCACACCATCCATGTAGGATTTCAAAAGAGCATGTATTTCAGTTAATGAGCGTGTGTGAAGAAGCTAACCTTCTGATTTGACATCTAATATTTTTACATGTCCGCGTTCATTCTCTCGTTGTTTAATTCACACACACACACACACACACTCTATCTCTCTATTCTGAGGCTTTCGTCACTTTGATCTGACTCTGCAATGATATCAAGAAGTCATCAATGTTTAAAAGGACAATAATCAAACTAAGCAAAAGTTTCAACTAAACTGTACGTGTATACATAAGGGCAATACATATTGACCCTATTGTACATGTTAGGGACACGTAAGGCCCTATATATGTATGCACACACGCACATGCAGTCTACACCATCAGCCGAACAGCTAGTAAAGTGCTAGTATGAATAGGAATCAAACTATTTACTTTTTCCGTTTCAGCTAGTTTTATAGACTTTCTTTTGTGAAAGTAATGCTCCCAGTGTGCAACGTCAATTGACGAGCAACAATACAGTTTGTAGTTACTATATGTAGATTCCTGTATATAAGAGATTGTTTTTATATAGAATGACAGTGATGCTCTGGAAGGAGACATTGTTAGGATTAACTTTTGACTGAAATTAAATACTCTTCTCACCCTTAATATAAGATTTATTTAGCTAATATGATTAGATTAAAAAAATTAAGTTAGTTAATTATAAGAAATGTTACATGTTTTTCCTAACACTATAATCATCTTTCTTAATATCTTTCCTCTCTCACTTACTTGATTATGATTAAGAAAGTATTCATAAAGGTAATTTAGAAGGAAAAAAACTGATAAATATGAGAAATAGGTCTTATATTTATGACCAAAATTAATTTAACAATTAGGTTCTATATTAAAAACTAAATGAGTATATAGCTAGGTCATAGGGTAGGATTATATGGGTGCTAGTTGGAATATTAATGAGTCATTAGTAGATGAGGGTGTCCCTAAATAAACATCATGCGTCATTAGAAATTATTATCCAACAATAAGAGCCATATGTATAATTTGATGGAAACAAGAGTTTGATTCAAGGAGAATGAACTGGAGAATCATCCCAAAGTGCTGGCTTTTTTCATGCGTGTTTGTCTCTGACACATCATCATCCCTAAGAACACGAGATTTGTCATTCCGAGAAGCAAAATTCCACTGTCTCTTTTTATTCCTTCAACAGTAAGCCCCACTGTGCTCAGTGCAGAGAACTGAGAGAGATCACTGAGGGAAGCGATATTGGGCTTCACCGACGAGGCCTAAGGCAGAGTCCGAGGAATTCGGGTGTTATAATAATGATATGAGCTGGATGGGCCATGTCGTTTTCTTGATGAATCCAAAGCAAACTAGGTTTGGAAACTTTTTTGTTGGGCTGAACCATCAAATCAGTCTTTTTGACTTTTGCAGGACATGTTCGGTTTGACGTCTTTCGCCATGGAAGCCTCTAGTAGTTTTCCACGCTTTCCGTCCCAATTGAGCGGTTCTCGGCTTTTTTCTTTTTTAGGTTCAAGCCACCAGTGAAGCGGGAGCAATTTATTTATATTGAACAGAATTAAGATAACTAATTTATTTTTGCCGACAGAATTAAGATAAATATAATATATCCAAGTTTAAAAAAATAATTAATGAACAGAGTTTATATAGATCTGATATCTATATTTAGATAACCTTGAATAAAAAGTTTGACTGTACTCTTCTTATCCTATTTATAAATCAATTAACATAGATTAAGAAAAATTTTAAATTTATTAATTCCTATTTAAAATTCAACAATTTTTTAACTTTATTTCTATTTAATATATATTATATCTCATATAAACTAAGTCAATACAATAATAAATAAAGGGTAAAATTATATATCCATAAAAAATATTTCTCTCAATACATTATTTATAAATAGGATTAAAAAATATCTTTTTTTGTTTATTTTATAAATATTGATAGGGACGAATGAATAAATGATAGCCCAGATTAAGCATGTCTCGAACACGAAGCAAGCGAGTCATTATAGAATATTCGCATAATAGAACATGCCAGAAGGCCACGGGAGAAATCATGAATTGAAAAATCATATCAAGTTTGTCGATGCTTTTTTCTTTTAACGTGTTCGTTCAAATAAATGATAGTTTTACAAATATCTCTGATATTTTAACTTTCTAAAAACTGAACTCGTGTTGTGATTTTATAACGCCCCAACGAAGGAACACTCAGGATGTGATAAAAATCATGAAAAAAAAAAATGGATCTAACAGGTTTGGCTTAAGTACTGAACCGGTGTTAAACTGCCCTAACCTATATGAATTTGTTTGGATGATTATACTGTTATTACTCCTATTTTTTTCTCATTCAGCTTTTAATATTTTAATTACTTCGAGTTTGAATGAATTTTAATGATGATTTTTATATCAATAATTATTAATTTTAGTTATTGAGAAATCATAAAGATTAAAATTCTCAAGGTTATTGTGTTTTGTTATTGTTATAATCAAATTATTGTTATACTTCTTTAGTTTTTGTTATTATTAATTATTAATGTAATTATATTTTATTATTTTTAATTGAGTTATATTATTTTAATATGACTAATTTGACACCTAAGTGACTCCAGTTTAACCCATTGATTCTTAAATTATTACCTCGACTAGTTGTTTTGTTCATTGATAAAAATATTCTCGGATGTGGACACCACTTTATACTAATTTCTATGGATTAAGAAAGTTGGTTCAAATTTATCAACATTTTTTTAATTATAGTACAATTTTACTCATATCTTAATCCTTGCCTCCGCCGTAAGGGCTTAATAATATTCACACGCAAACACTGTTAAAAAAAAATATTAGTTGCTGTATATATTTCACAAAATAACCTATGGTGACGCTTTTAAAAGAAACTCTTCAATATTCTTACAGTTTTTAATATAAGACATATTTAACTCATTTGATTAATTTAATGAAATTAGATAAGTTAGTTAATTATAAGAAACATGACATGTTTTTCCTAAAATACCATAACTATCTTTTTTAATACCGTCCTTCCTTCTTCCAATTGATTATAGTTGAGAGAGAATATCCATATAAGTAATTTAAGAAAAATTGATAAATATAAGAAATATGTCTTATATTTAGAATCAAAATTAACTCAATAATTAGATTTTATATTAAGGACCATAAAGTATAATTTTACTCATATCTTAATTCTTGCCTGTGTCATAAGGGCTTAATAATATTCATACTAAAACACTATTAAAAAAAATATTAGTTGCTGTATATATTATGCGAAATAACCTATGGTGACGCTTTTAAAGAAACTCTTTAGTACTCTTTTGCTCTTAATATAGAACCTAATTGTTGAGTTGGTTTTGGTCATAAATATAAGACTCATTTCTCATATCTATTAATTTTTCTAAATTACCCTTATGGATATTCCTTCAATCATAATAAAAAACATGAGGAGAGAGAGGGAGTATTAAGAAAAATAATTATAGTATGTTAGAAAAAACGTGTCACATTTCTTATAATTAACTAACTTACCTAACTTCCTTAATCTAATCAAATTAGTCAAATGAGTCTTATATTAAGGACCAGAAGAGTACTTTATAGATATAAGATATTTCAAACATTTTTTTGTAAAGAGTAAATAAGAAGGGTTATATTATGTTATTTGTTTAAAAACGTCCTCATATTTTAATTATGCCCTGACTAATTAAAGGGAAACCTCGTAATGCTTTCTCAAGCTGCAAAAAAGTTGCTGAACTCATGGGAGGTAAAAACAAAACATCATGTTTTGATCGAGTGTCTTATAATCTAGATCAACTTTTTGCTGGTAAAAAGAAAAAAAAGGTCAACTTTAATTTTTGAGAGGTAAATTACATAAGGCATCAAATGGAGTAACTTATTAAAAACTATATCACAAAACTAGTTGAGAATTTAATTTGGTTCTAAATAAAGTACACACATTTACTCTATATCTTGTATTTATTTTTTATTTTTAAATAGTCTCGATGATGATTGTCTATATCAAAAATTTACATTCTAACATATGTGATTAACATAGTATCTTAAGAAACATAACAACTATTTATTACAATAATTAACTGAAATAATTTTCTTAATATTATCAAATTAGTTTAATTCTTATATTAAGTGTCGGAAGTAATATTAAATAATCTGCAAATAGTTTTAGAAGTGCTCTTTGGATTGCAAAACATATATTCTTGGCAGGCCTCTAAAGACTAAACTCATTTCTTAAAAAAAAAAAAGAAAAGGACAGGTTAAATCATGCATAAACTGGAGAAGCAAAGGGAAACAAGAGCGAGTTTTGTTTTGGTCAAAACGAAAAGAGGAGCGAGTCAAGATTGATCATTGGGCCTGGAGAATGAGCGGAGTCCTGCTTTATATTGAAGCTGGGTCAAGAGTCATGGTTGACCAGACATGAGTTGACCGAGGATTTCAAATTCAAAGGACGCCCAAGTGGCCCAACAACACCTCGTCACCCCTCGCTTGCCTCCCTTATTCTTCTCTAACCGAGTAACCGTATTGGGTTGGGTTGACCATCCTCCACCCTTCTTTTCCTTCACTCGGCAGTTTCCCCCTTATTTTCAATTATTCTTCTGCGGCCCCAGAAATACAAAATTCTATTCCTCCCACCCTTCTCTTTCATTCCTTCCTTCTCTTCCCTCTGCAAGCAATCTATGCTTCTTATCTCTCACCTTTATTTTCTTCCAAGATAGGGTTAGAATTACACCTAATCCCTCTTGTTTTCACCCCCCCGGAAAAAAATATCACAGCCACTTGTTAAATTTCAATAAATAATTAAGCCAGAATACTAGACAATAATAATTATAATGTTTTCAAATCAATTAAAGTTTAGTTGTTTTGTTTATGTCTTCAAAGGAGAATGCAATGACATTATCAATAACAATTAATAAATTAATCAAAAGACAGAGTGTTTAGATTTCTTTATTAGCAAACCAATGTGCTTAGGAAAAGTAAGCCTAAACAATTTTCACCCTCTAATTATTATATCTATTCATGTGCCAAAGCTTAAAGCAAATATGGTACCCTATTGTTCAAAGTTATCATCCACTCCAGTCGTAGCCTGGTGAAAAATAAAGTATGTGGTACTATTTATTCATTATTTTTTTTTTGACCGGATACTATTTATTCATTATTACACCTTTTCAAGTGCCCCCCCCCAAAAAAAAATCCATTGTTTTTTTTCACGGGTAATAATCTATTATCTGTTATTTTCCTGTATTTTTCTGGAAAAAAAAAAGTAAATCCATTTCTTTGTTCTTCAACTGTAGACGTCTGTCGGAAGATTGCCTCCGATCTTGACTGCTTGCCTAACATCTGAAGTTCGCGACCTTGGCTCCAAGAATTTGCTCAATATCAGGTATTAGAGTTTTTGGGTTGTTATTTTTATTACCTGGGATTGGATTAATTGGTTTTGTTATTTGAGTAATTCATTTCGGCTGATAACAAATTCCGCGTAAAATTAATTATAATCCCGACAAAACACAATCTCGTGAGTGGCGGATCCACCGTTGTCAGCCCTGCGTGGCTGTTCTCGGGCAAATAGTGAAGAATGTTCGAACCCTAGGGCTTTTTTTAACTCCCAAAATCCGGTGAGATTGATTTGTCCAATCTGGCTATGAATTAGATTTGAATTTTTTCCTCCGCGTCATCTGCTCCCTGGGTAGTTGTTCTTGCTTTGTTTTAATTTTTAGTTTAATTTGGCTTTGAATCTGGTCGTGTAATCGTTTAAACACTGACGATTTTGATTTGGGAATATCTACAGATTGGGTTTAATTTTATTTTTACTAGTTTTTGCTTGGTATGTACTTGGCTATTATACTTCTGCCCTCTTCATTTTGATTACTAGCGACTTGTATGCATTGTGTTGTATTGTTTTGCATTGGATTTTTTGTGCATGGGCATTCTGTTTATTAATCTTTTTTATCATTAATATAGAAAATTCTCAGGGTATTTGTGATGTATGATCTTATAAATGACTTGGCTCGAGTTTTGGCAACGTATCTGGAAAAAAAAAAATTAGTAGGATACTAAATCAGCTATGCATACTTCAAAGATTTCAATGGGCGAAAATCCCCCTGCTCAGTGTAATATAGGTGCGCCTATGACTACGATCAATAGTGGCTCACCAGGGGAAAAATACAACCACTTCTGAAATAATGTTGAATTTCCCGACGAACTTCTAAAATGGTTCATTTTATTTAAGTTTCTGTATGTTTGCAATTATTGCCTGTGCATGCAAAGGAGCATGTGATACTTGTTCTCGGGTTTCAATTTTTTATGGCTGCAAATTAATTTGTGACCCTTCCAGTTGTGAGACGACTTGTCTTAACAATGGCCCTTTCAATTAATAAAAGCTGTGATTGTTTCTGCTGCTGCGCCCATTTTCCTTCCTGAATTCTGATATCCTGATATCTCCCTCTCTTTATGTTCCCAGGCGGCTGAATCTGGGCTTGCGCTCCTTAGCATTGGCTAGCTCATTATAAAAGCATGAGCATATGCTAAAATATGCAGTCTACGGCGCAGATCTCTCTAGATTCTAATTCTCACCTTCATCCAGAGACTGTCTCAATTCAAAATGGTGGTCCTGGAGTTTCCTCTACCGCAAATATTGTCTTGCCACAGCAACCAGGTCAGCTTTCATATTTGCACCTCATTATTATTTTTCCCCAATCTAGAGGTTTTGATGCTTGTGATTGTTGAGACTTGAAGAATGAATTGGTCCATTCTTAACTATCATTTACAGCTCCTAAAAAGCCAACAAGGCAGTGGGCTGCTTGGACTCGTCAAGAAGAAGAAAGTTTCTTCACCGCATTACGACAAGTTGGCAAGGTACATATATTAATTGGTATATTCTTCATGCGATCAATTCATTTGTTGTAAAAGTTTTTGCTAATTACATCACATTATCTTTAAATGTAGAATTTTGAAAAGATCACTTGCCGTGTGCAAAGCAAAAACAAGGACCAGGTATCTATTACTTGGCATACCTCTCCCTTTTCCCATTTGATTTTCCCTAGCAAATTTTATTTGAAATTTATTTTCGATAATTTCTTAAAATGTTCTCCTTTTCCAATCCTTTGTTTTGGGTGCGGGATTGCAGGTCAGGCATTATTACTATAGGCTTGTAAGGCGGATGAATAAGCTTCTTGGACCAGAATTGTGTTTGGATGCCAAAAACTCTAAAGATACAAATGCTGCAATGCTTCGATGGTAAGCTTAACGACACTCTGGCTGACTGTTTACCATATGGGAGCTTATTCGTCAGCAAGATGCGGAGCGCCCTATACTATCACTCAAAGCAGAATGATGGATGATTTCTGCTTATTTTCTCTCATTTTTGTCGCAGGTGGTCATTATTAGAAAAGTATAGCTGCAAAGCCTCAAAGCTTCACCTGAAGCCTCGAAAATTCAAAATATTTGTAGAGGCCTTGGTCAGTAAAATATCTTTAACCATCTGAAGATATCATATTCTATATGTGTTTCAGTTTGTGTTTGAGCTGACTTATATATGTTGCCTTAAAGGAGCACCAACTCATGAAAGACCGGAAGAAGAATGTGCGTAGGAGACCTTTGCTGGGGGAAAATTACCCTCCTGCTGCCCCCAATACTGTTTCAAATCAAAGTAGAACCTTGGGAAATGATGCTCGAACTGTTAAACTGGTTCTTGTTGATAGTCAAAACATTCAAAGCCTTGGAACTTCAAAAGCATCATTGAAGCGCAATGTAAACATGGGTGTTAACCGAAGCAACACTAAGGGAGAGTCAACTGCCATGAAACCTTCAAGGCAACGAAAGAAACCAGGTGATTCTTTTTTGTGTTCCCCTTGTTTCTACTAACCTTCTTGATTTATCTGCTTTATACTATTTTTATACTATTTTTGTCTTTCATATTAGCATTATTGATATCCAATAGAAAACATCCTCCATGAATGCTTCTTTTATTTTTTGTAATAAGGGATTTTGTATGGCCCTTGAGGCATGAGTGACGGATTGTTAGCAGGTATGACCACAGCAGCTGCATATAAAAAATGGGAGAAGGCTGCAATGGCTGGTGTTTCTTTAGTTGCAGATGCTGCAGAACATTTGGAGCGGGCTGCCACTGTCAAAGACTTTGAACATGACCAAGGGGCTCCAGGTAGCACTTTTACCTGTTACTTGCACCCTGAAGGACTTAAAACTTCAGAGATTTATAACTTCACACTGACTCTTCCATTTTATTGCAGTCGAAAAGTGTTCTGAACCTGTTGGCAGTGTTCTGCCCTCTTTGCCTACGCTTCCTCAAAATCATGTTGTTGATAACATACAGAATATTGTGAAGCTCAAGCTCCAGTTATTCCCAATTGATGATTGTACTCGAAGAGCCTTGGAAAGGGTGAGAACAACCTGCAAGCTTCCTACTATAGAATTTTAGATGGCTTCTTAAATGTTATATATATTTATTGTTCTCCAAAATTTCTTTACAGGATAATCACAATCCATACCTGGAGCTTACTCTTAGTACTCGAAAAAAGTTATCATCAGTAATAGATCATCTAAACCGTAAATGGGGTAATTCAAGCATAGCAGTTGGACAAATAATGCTCTTTCCTTATAATACTCAGAAAGAAAACTTGGCTAGTTATCAGAGATGGACACAAGAATCTACAGTTAGCGCAGGAGATGTATATGGAATGATTGGAAGCCCGCCCACATTCCGTTTGAGGTACCTCTTTAAATTTGAAGTGACTGAGCTGTAGCTTTTAAGACATTTAATGAATGTGATTATACTTATATAGTCATTTAGATGAAAAATACTTGTGAAAAATGGTTGTATATGTTTTCATCAAATGATTGTCTCTTAAAAATCATGCTGTTGTGTGTGTTTGACTATTGGGCAGAAGTGTGATTGTTGATGCGGTTGCAAGTCATGACAAAATAGTCAAAAAAGAAAGAAGAGAGATAAAATTAAGAAACATCACATAGACCTTGAATATTTTATTATTTTCATTTTAATTACTCTGAAGAAGAGTTTGAGACACAAAATTCTCATGCAGAAAGCCAGAAATTTTGACATAATCAAATTTGAAGGTTGATTTACAGTCGCATTTTATGTAGTACCCATACTTGTTTTTACCGAGAGAAGCCTATAAACTATGTATTGGTGAACCTATCACCGCAAACTTTCTCCTTACTAGATAGTAGATACTGATTAGATTGTGATTATGTCCACGTTTTTTTGTGAAGGTATGGATGGTTTTCCCATGCTGAACTTGGACCTTCGAATAATCAAGTGCCTGTTGCATTCAACTGTATGCCTGGGCAATCCAACATTGAAACGGTCAGTGTGGAGGGTCACATTGTGGATCCTTCTCTCCCTACGACATCAAGTAATTATCACCAGGATCTTTGTGAAGATCGAGGGACGTCTGCAACCAAGAATCTTGCTCCTACCACTACTTCAACTGATTTGCCTAATGCAAGAGATGACAATGTTTCCCTAAATCCAGGCATTAGGGAGTCTGGTGATGCTACACTCATTGTTTCATCACGAGGAGTAGATGCTGGGGATGAAATTATGACAAAACAAGCGGATGAAATGGTAGCCTCCCTTTCTCTTTCACTCAGATATGCTGGAGATTTTCTTCTTTTTGCATCACATGGCCTTGAAGTGGCACTTGTAGTTTATTCACACTAGGCTAGTGGCTCATACATATAATATATATGATTTAAAGTAAGAATTGTCAATCCATACGCTAGGAATGGGGCCACACATGGTAAGTTCTGCTACCTGATTTGAATATATGTTCAAGTCATGGATATCATTGGAGTCGTGAGATAATTTGTTGGCTCTGATGAAATGATATCTGTTAGAACATAGCTTCTCTCTTTTTTGTGACCTGCCCGTTAGGCCTTATTTTTGTTCGTGAAGTGGAAGATTATCTGTGATTGCTACCATCCAAATCTATATTGTCTTTCTGTTGATGTTTATCTTCCATTGTGTGTTCAGAATGAGTTGAGATTAAGCAGTGGAATGGGTTTCTCGGCTGGTGAATGGGCTGATAGCCTTACCAACATAAGTATAGGAGACCTACTTTCAGGGGCATCCGAGGATCTGGAAGATGTTAATCCAACTGATGCTGAGAATTGTAATGGTCTTCTCCAAATTCCTTTTAGCGCTGATTCTTTTGATGCTGCTATTGCCGCTCACATATCTCGACATCAAGAAAAGATGGGACATCACTTTCAGGCATCCATATATGTTCCAACTGATGGAGCTGAAGAAACATGATGATGCTGCTATTGTTATCAGAAAAGATGGGACATCAACCAACTTTGGCATCACATATATCTTCCATCTGGGACGCTGAAGAAACATGTGATGCATTTTTGTTCAGAAAAGATCCTGTTTCCCGCGAAGCTGGTCCTTGTTTATCTCCCGCTATTTCTGCTGAATCCCACAAACAGGTTCCAGGAAGAAACTCCGATTGCTCTGAGCCTTTGATTCAGGTAGTACTCTATAGTTTTGGTAATCTACTGTTAAAAGTTTATTGGGAATTGATGTTAACTTCCCTGCTTTTTGCAGCAGTCACCTAAGAAAGAGAGGCCTGGGGATAATTTTGTTCATGCAGTCCCTATGGATGGTTTTGAATCCAAGGCGGATTTCCAGGAGCATTCAGCAAAAGATTTCAGCGGGTTAGCTGATATTTACTGGGTATGTTGCTCCTTCCTCCTCCTTTTTTTTTCCTTTTGGGTCAGAGGTCGGTGGTTCTTTTATACTCCAGTTTTACTGTGTCCGTGACCTTGTGCACCCTATTTGGTTCATATGCTGCAAGGCAATTTCAAGGAATAAGTTCACCTCGGCCAAGCGTTGCAAGTTTCTTATTCTCACAGTGTGAATTATTAATCAAATCAGTGGAATCTGGGCAGCTTTAAAGATTTGAACTAGTGATTTAAAAAGAAATTACTTGTATTTGATTTTTGAACCTTTTTTAGTGGCTATTTACACTTATTGGTGCATAATTCCAACTCCTCTTTTGTCTCTATCATGTTGCAGCCTGATTCATTGGGACCACTGGATATAGATATACCATCAACGAAGTACCATAGCCAAGATTTAATTTTAAGTGATAGTCTTGGTGGTTTGAGTCGCCTGATAGCCAGCAGCCTGGATGCATTCCAGAATTGCTCCTTTTTTGGGATTGACAAGAAGGAATCTTGATGAATGATTGAAGTTAGAGAAACTGCCGTCTTTCATATTTTAAAGTTGGAAATGGTGGTTGAGACTCGATCTGCTTGGATGTTATCAAGTATTATCCCTTTTGCGTCGTGGGCTTCGCTGGCAGAAGTTTGCTATAATTAACCCTTTCTCACTCTGACCGACACGAGGGGTTATGCTGAAGGACTGGTTGAAGCCACTGCAACACTTTTTTGTGCTGGAAATTCTTCCGTAATCAGGGTCCCTTCCCGTTTGTACATAGAAACGACCTCGGAGGGATTATACGGTACTTCTCTTTCGGAGCATATGTACATTGTACATTAAAAAGGAAATCGTGTGATCCATGTAGTTTCAAGCTGATGCACAGTAACTTGGATAGCTGATTTTGATTCACTTGTAATTATCATATGATTACTTTATAATCAGTGTTGGATTTAACCATTAACCCATAATGTGTGGGCGCATGCATGCGTGCAACCAAAATGTCATGACAACTTTACCTACTTCAAATATTTGATTCAATGAGTCATGAAAAAGTGTACATACAATGGATATATTGCTTCCGGTTTCTAATATAAAATCTAGTTGATTAATTTGAGAAAATTAATACTAAGTTACTTTAAAATATTTATAGAGTAAAATACGCCAATTATCTTTCTATTTTATCTCAATTACTGAAATCTCTTTTTTATTTTGAAAACGCATATAAACTTTCTTTACAGTTACAACATGTGTTATACAAACCTTTCTCTTATATTTAAGATTTTATTTACATTCACCCAAATCATTAGTTGACCATTATGTTTGACTTTAAATTTTTTTGACCAAAATTTCCCTTTTTAAATTAATAATTATTTAGACATTTATATTTTCCAAAAAATGTTTTTATGAAATCAAAAAATAATTATCTTTAAAATTTCTAATATGGTATAAAATTTATTAATTTTGATCCAAATCATAAGATTTTATAATTTTCATATTTTACTTTAAATTATAAAATCAGTTAAATTTTTAATCAAATCTTTTATGTTTGCCTTAACTGAATGAAATTGATGTAACTGTAAAACTATAATTTAGGAATTTATTAGAATGAGGAGTAAAATGATAAATAAATTTTATTTTGATATAAATTTCAGTTAAAAATAATATTGTTAAAATATTTCTAATAGTGTTAACTAATTGGACTAAACTTTATGTTTTTAAAATAGAGGGGAGGTCTGTGTAATTGATGCAAACCAGAAAGATAATCAGAATATTTTACTCATTTATATTTATAATTTAAAATTAATATATAATCTAATAATACATATAAATATTTTAAAAATTTTTCTTGACAACAAGAAGGTGCCAGAGAACTAGATTAGGAAGGACATGTAACGAGCTGCAGGAGAAAACGAATCTCTTCCGTGGTAACTTATTGTGATTCCATAAAGCATAGGCGTCTATTTCTATTTCTAGAAGTAATTTCTTATCAATAGTCTTATAGTTTAGTATTGTGAATGCTCTTCAATAAAAGGCTATGACCATGTTCAATCCTGCCTGTAACTCTGAGACAATAATGCATGCCTTTTAATTCTAAAAAAATAAATTTAATTACTCGTATTCTTGCTTCGTGTCCTACCCCGCGATGTTTTCTTTGAGAAATTACTGTCCATCAACAAGATGCTCGTTGCGTTGCAACTGTTCAAACGTCATCTTACTTTAAAAATGAAAAAGTGTGTGAAAAATCAAATAACAGATTATCTGAAGACGTAGAAGTTACACATTATGATCATCACCTGTCAGGTTGGGACTAGAATCCCTTCAAATCCACCATAACTTGTGGCAGATCTCAGACAGACTGCAAATACAAGCAAAGCAATGCCAAAGACACCTAACATCACAATATAACTTCCTCCTTTAATCTTATTCCTCCTGTCTGCATCTGTCGCCACACAAACTGAGTCCTCTGCTCCCTTCGCTTTCGCCTCTTCTTCGCCGGACGCAAAAGGTGAAGACGATGACGACGAAGATGAATAACAAAACGACAATGATCTTATCGCTTGACCCATTTCAACTTCACCGTCCATGGCCTCAAAAAGTCGCCGGCCCTTCAACTTCCTTTCGTCTCCGGCGATCTCTGAGGTGCTGTCCTGAAGCTGAGACATGAGGTGTCTTGGAGAACGTTGAAGCAGTTGAATGGCTTTGACAGTTATACTTGAGTCGGGGCAACATCCACGCCTTGTTCTGGACTTAGATTGCTTATAGGCGTTCCAGTGTCGTTCCAAATCGTTGTAAAGCTCCTCCAGTTCCTCTGTTTCTTTTCCTTTTGCCTCCGTGCTTCTCATGGCGGCCTTTGCGTCTTCCTTCTCCTTCCTCACATCAAACAATGGCGTTTTTTTTTTTTGGGAAAAAAAGAAACAGGTGGTTGGACTTGGAACTGGGAGGATGAAATAAAATCAGCGGGGGGTTCAATTATTTTTGAATGGGGTGAGATTATAGCGGGATTATATTATAACGAATTTCGTTATTTCCTTTTTCTTTGTAATTAAAAAAACAGAGAATAAATAGATTTTCTGCTAGTTGGTTTTGATCATCTAGATTTTTATCCAAGTTCTAATTTACAAATCAAATAAGCTATATAATCCTTATGATACAATGAACGAGAATGGAAGCAGAGATGGAGATAAGAAGGATAGAAATTTTTTGACCCAAAGAAAAATCAGTTATTATTTTTAAATGAAATGAATAATTTTCATTGCAAAATACTGTCTCTGGTACTAATTATAAGAATTAGTTGATTAATTTAAGAAAATTAAAAAAATAAGTTAAATTAGTTATTTGTAATAAATATGTGTTGTTTTTCCTAAAATATTATTGCTAATTAAGTGTATTGGCTAGAACCACTATAATTCGAAGGACTATATTGGAAAAAAAAATATAAATATGAGAGACAAAATAGATTGGTATCTTATATTTAGGATTAAAATAAACTTCAAACGAAGTTTTATATTGAGGATGAGAGGTAGTAAGTTATACAAAGTCAAGTGATATACAAGCAGCAGGATTTACATGATTAAATTTAAAATGAAAAAACTTTTCAAATAATGCTTAAATATGTAACACGAATGAATGCTAGTTTAACCCATTTTCATGCATCAGTAAAAAGATACAAAATAATCAAATTTGTCATAAACATACAAGTAATTTTTACTTATTATCCTCATTAATTATACTAAGTTTTTGACATTATATGAATATCTATTCTCTTACTCTATCTTAATTAAATATGAACATTTACGAAAAAAGACATTTAATACTCTTTGAAACTAGCAAATGCTTCAAGGTCAAAGAAACTACCAAATGCTTCATAAAAATAATCAAAATCACCTCCTTGAGTGCGCTTTATAGCAAGGACACGAGGCAATAGTACTGTTAATGATCACTATAACTATCCCAAATTTTGGAAAAAGTAGTTCTCAATTACAAAAGTAAGGAACTGAAAAATTGTAGCAAATTATTAAAAAAGTTTGTAAATAACATGTGGTCAAATTTTAAGTAGTTGACTTACAGTTTATCCATAGCTAAACATGTTTAATATTTCATTAAATGGTAGTTCTAACTAATACACATGACTAGTAAGGATATTTTAAAAAAGATAGTACCTAATTATTACCAATAATTAATTTAACTAATTTTTTTAATATACTTAAATGAGTCATGTAGCTCTTATATTAATAACAGGAGATAATATTATATCCGATCTTTAATATAAAAACTAGTTTAATGTTCAATTTAATTCTAAATATAAAACTCAATGTTATTTTGTCTCTTATGTTTATATTTTTTTAAAAAAATAATCTTGTAGTAGTTTCAGCTAATATATAGGATTAACAAAATTATTTTAAAAAAAGATAATATTTATTTTTGACAACAATCAAGTTAACAAACTTTCTCGCTCTGTTTAAACGGAGATGGTATATTATTAATTTTGTGATGCGAAAGATGATGGCATCAAATCTTACGTTGATCAACCCTGTCATGAAAAAATCCAGGCCTTGGTTTCCGCCAGGGAGGGTGCTAAGGTGGCATGTTCTTTTCTAGTGAGGGGCAATATGACAAAAACATAACATATCCAAATTATGTTCGAGGACATGTGGATTGATTTCGGTGATTGTTGGAATTAGAGTTCTTGGCTTGTCACTTTGATGTGGTGAGTAATAAAATTAGTTTAATTATTTATAATAAACAAAAATTATATATTTTTAAATATTTTTATTAATCATATGTATTAAAATGACGAAGAGGGTGTTTGACAACCTCCAAATCATGGTTTCAGAAGCACTTTTTCATAAAACGAGACAATTTCTCTATATATTTACTTCGTAACTGTAAAAGCACTTCTAAAACTATGGTTTGGTTTCTATGCAAACACTCCTGAAAACTTCTTGGAATGCACAATTATCATAAGAAATATTTAAGACAAAATAAATAACTGAGCTTTCAAGGATGGATATGCATTTGGGTGATTTAATGTTGTGGGATCGGTTCTTCTTCTGTAGCAGAAGCACATACAATAACTGAACTCTGCGACACAACTAACGCAATCACACGAACCCACGCCTTCTGCGTGTGTTGATAATTGATGGACACATTAAATGAGAAATTATGGTTCAGTCCCCCCCACCCCAAAAAACCGAAAAGAAAAAAAGAACAGAGAAATGAGGACAAAGTTAATGGGCCATGTTTGGATGAGTTTGGGCTCGCGAGGAGCTGGCCATCAATTGTCATCGCAGAGTTGGAACCAAACATCATGGGGATGATAAGGTGGGACCCACTATGTTGGTTCTGCTTCTGCCAGAGGGCAGGAAACAGTACCTACACAGTACACACACGCTCGTGAAAGACATGTTTGGGCGAGTTGGGAATTAAATGCAAATGAACGGCTGTAGGGGTGCCTATGTGACTCCCGTGGCGCGTCCCCAGGTCAAGTCAAGTCAACTGAACACGCATACCTTGTGGCTTTGCTTAATGCAAAACTCTCAAATTTTGTAGCAGCCAATACAATAGTACAATAATTCCAGGACACCCAGCGCTTCCCTTCAGCTCGGATATCAGCTCTAAAGTGCAACTTCTTAATTAACGATGGTGTCCAATTTAATATCAGCTCTAAAGTGCAACTTCTTAATTAACGATGGTGTCCAATTTAAGCCGAACAAACCTTTTTCATTTTAACACGTATTATCGTACTATTGTATTGGCTGCTATTAATATCATTATCATCACCATCATCATCAGAAGCACGCATATATTCTTTTTACATCGCGGGATTCAAAATTTCTCTTTAACGTTTGAAACTTCTTAATGACATCGAATCATGTTATGTACGTTCTTTGCACTGGATTATATCGCTCAAGAGGGATAAATAATTTGTTCAAAACATACTGTTTTTTAAATAAATTTAAACGAGAAATATGATGATATTTGAGATCAGGATGAGGTGGAATGCTGAAATATAGTGAAAGTGATTGATAGGAAGGAGGCGAGCAGTGGAAACAGACTGACAACAGCAATTACAGCTGCCACACTGACTTGCGGTTGTTGCCGATTTAAAGCCCTTGTCTCTCTTTTCCATGGCATCCCCTACTTTACCTTCCCTCCCTCCCTCCCTCTTTTTACCAATTCACCCCAAAATTGCTCCTTCATCTCATTTAAACCCCACAAAAACAACTCAATACGAAAAATAGAATAGTGATCGATCACGTTATTCCCACTTTTCACGTAAAAGGGTTTTTGGAATTATCCCATAAAAAAATAATGGCCAGCACAAGTAAAGGGAGAGAAAAAAAGTGACCAATACGCAAGCCACTTTGACTGTTTAAGCGTGAAAGTTGAGTTCCGCTAGTGTGAATGTAAATATGTCTTGAAGAAAGTCATCTCCAATTATGTCACCAGAAAAAAAAAAGGTTATTTCTAATTAAGCCCAATTATGTTCAAATCTGACTTAATTAGATAATAATAGAGGGTTCTAAGAAATAATTTTTCTGCGGCATTAAGGGGATTGTACGCCACAAGCTATTGTTTAGTGTCGTGAAAAAGACGATGGATAAAAGTTTAAGGTACGATCAATAAACAAAATGACATGCTTATGCTGAGATGTGAAGATCAGAAAGACACTTTAGAGTTTTGAGCATATTTGGAGGCATTGTTCACCGCTGCTTTTTCTTTTTTTAAAATTGAGATAGGCAAAAGAAACAGGAAACATTGGAATTGGGATTGGAATCTGAATAAAAGTTGGTTTAAGCAAAGCAAAAAGAAAGTGAAGTGATCACATGATGGGTTTTGGTTGGGGGGGAAAAAACTATCTAACCTGGAGGCCTCTTCTTCTATTCAATTGTGGGTGAGTCTGCTCTGGCCCCACCATCACCCGTCATCATTATGCCTCCGCCTCCAGCCTTCCATTTTCAAATTTGGACCCCACGTCGCCCTTTATTTCTCTCTTTCTGTTTTTTTTTTTGTGAAAATTAACAAGTTACTTCAATTTTTTTTTGAACTAAAGATTACCTCAATTTTAAGTTGGATTTCTATAATTTATTTTGTTTGAATTGTAGTTTTATAATTTATTCTGCTAGGCATTTATTCTTGGATACACAACTTGTTGTTTAACTCTCGGAATTGAGGTGGGGCCTGCAGATTATTTTCTTGAATTATTATAATATTCCCCTTAATTCTTTTTTTGAAAAAAAAAAAAAACGAAGGAAAGACATGCCATCAAATGTGAAACACAACGCCACATGGCTTGCCTTGAGCATCTCATTCTTGTACTTATTTTCCCTCATTTGTAAAAGTTGAAAGCAACCCTCACCACCCACCTCCTCTTGTCCTTATTAATTTATTATTATTATTATGTGTATATCTGTCTATATTCTACACGCTTGCTTTCTCAGCCCTGTACATACTGGGAACAGCAGCCCCTATATATGGCATCATATATAATATTCACTCTAACCATATAGTTCCGCTTCGATTGCTTCGTTATTCTCAACTCCTTTTTGCCCTTCCTTCCTCGTCTTCCTTTCTCACTATCCAGTTTTTCTTCCCCTCTCTTTTACGTTATCCACTCTCTCTCTGCACAGACCCATTGCTGCATCTTCGTCTGCGACTGATAGGTGCGTTTTCCTTTTCTATTTTCCTTTTTTTTTTAAAAAAAATATCTGGATTCTCATCTCACGTCTCTTTTATTTGTTTATCCACTTCGTTTGGTACTTTAGTTTCCTTTTCCTGCAATTTTCTGCGGCTGCGCTCTTTCCTTCTTCCTATTGCTTTCAGTTCCATAGCTTTTCCTTGTTCGCTTCCCATTTTTTCACTCGTGACTCGTCTCCCTTCTGGATTCCCGCTTCCTCGGAACTCTACTTTTGTCGTTGCTATCCCATTCAGTCATTATTACTCCTTATAAATAACCATTTTTATACACTCAAGTGTGCCTACTCGTGGGTGTATAGCTAGCTAGTTTTCCCATATATAATATATAAATATATATATCTATACCTCTCCAGTTTAATTGACTTTGAATATCTGTTCGCCTGTAGTTATATAGATTTTCTTTTCTCTGCCGGTTTCTCGCTGTGATTGAGGGTTTGTTTCGGCCATCTGGACTGTAATCGAAGAGGCTGGTTTTTTACTGTTGTCTTGGATGCGACTGTGAAGCTTGGGATACCATCCAGGAGGTGAAGAAAAGAAAAAGGAAATAAATCTTGATGGATTGGAATTTGAAGGGTGGCTCGTGGGATATGACTGAATTAGATGGAGGAGGTTTACCCAACATAGAAACAACAACGGCTGATAACTATGACGGGTCAGGCCGATTTGGATTAGTGAACGGAAGTGGAGGCGAATTTTGCGTTGATTTGAAGCTGGGTCAGGTCGGCAATTCTGGAACTGAGTCTTCAGGGCCCAAGTGGAAAGTCGCCGCCGCTGCTGGCGGCGGCGGCGGAGGCGGAGTCCCCAGGACGGCAGCGTCGACTCCTTCAGGATCATCGAAGAGAGCTCGGGCAATTAACAACGGGATCCAAACGGCGTCGTGCCTTGTGGATGGGTGCAGTTCAGATCTCAGTAATTGTAGGGAGTACCATAGGCGTCACAAGGTGTGCGAGCTCCATTCCAAGGCTCCTGTGGTCACCATTGGTGGCCACAAGCAAAGGTTCTGCCAACAGTGTAGCAGGTCTGTGCTTTCTTCTTAATCACATCTATCCATATCTACGCTGCCTTCTCACTTACTCTTTGCCATCATTTCTTTAATCACAGACATTCAGAATTTGTGGTTGCCGAAAGAAATTTAAAGTAACCGAGTTCATAGCTTTCTTTTGCTTTGTTCCAGTTTTAGGCAAAATTCCCTAGCAACAAAAGAATCAAAGTACAAAGAACCTATTCTACTTCGATACTTTTTCCCAGATTACAGAATCAAAGTCCATCTAAAATATTTACAACATTCTTTATGCATGGAATCTCATAAAGGCGACTTGCCCGTATTATTACTGCTATCTATTTATGTATGTACTTCTATATATACTAACCAATACAATAAACCGTTTTCTGGCGCATCTGGTCTGTGTAGGTTTCATTCACTGGAAGAATTTGATGAAGGGAAGAGAAGCTGCAGGAAGCGATTAGATGGGCACAACCGACGGAGAAGAAAGCCCCAGCCAGTGCCTCTCACCCGGTCTGCTACTTTATTCTCGAATTACCACCAAGGTTAGTATAACTTGCAGGATATTATCCTGTATTTGACTTGAAGTAGTTGGTTTTGTTTGATAGTGTCTGGTGATTTACATTTTCAGGGAGGCAGTTAATACCCTTATCATCGGGCTCAAATCTCTATCCTTCAAGTGCTATGGTGAACACTGGTTGGGACTGGGAATGGGATGCTAGGACGACGATGGTTCATCATAATAATAAACACCAGATATTTCTTGGGTCTTCTGAAAGCGCCAGAATTAAGCAGGAAGTGACGACATATCATGAGAAGCCATGTGCCGAAACTGCTTCTGGGTGCCACACAGTTCTGAGGACGACGGTGGTCAGGCCTGCAGGGTCTTTCTCATCGGCGGAGGAGTCTCCTCCTCCGCCTTGTGCTCTCTCTCTTCTGTCATCACCGCCGGCACCCACGTACCTGTCACAGTCTCTTGGCCCCACCACCCTCCATGATCACGGCTTACAACAGGCCGTGGACACCACGCTTCTGGTGAGCAATGGGACTCAGCCTTCAATGTATAACTTGTTAGGGTCTGATGCATCCCAGGGGATCCATACTTCTCAATCACTTCCATTTCAGTGGGAATAAAATAGACGCCTCCTCGGAAGCACTACTTTACTTCCAAGTTTGAACCCACCCACTTACACTCGAAAACTCCTATTACATTTCATTTCAGAACAGTTTATGTTGATGAAGGCAAATATGGTTCCAATAACACTTTCCTTATTCACCAATATGATTGTATGAATTTTTCTTTTTTTTTTTGCTTTCCTTGCAAAAACCCTTTTCTGGGGCGATTTTTCCGGACGTTAGGACCTGGGGTTATAATGTGGTAGGACTTGGACATCTTTGATAATGAGGACGACCAAGACTTGAGGGGGGTTGGGGACAGCTACGGAGGAAGTCAAATCTCCGTTTTACAAACGAAGTTTACGAAAAGCACATGTTTAGGGGTGATGATTGGTAGCAGACGATTTCTGGATTCCACACCCACTTCCAACCTGAGTTTACAAACGCCAGTTTACAACAGCTTTTTTCTCGAAGAAACTGATTTATAAATTAAAAAAAAAATATAAAGAGGCTTCAAGAAAGGGAAATTTGATAAAAAATCTTTTGTTTAAGAAGTTAAATTTAAGCGTGGGTAAATATGATATGAATGCAAATATTTTTTTCCCAGTATTTCTTTTACTGTGTATAAAGATTTTTATATTGATAATTATTGCAAATCATTAATAATATGTTACAATGAAAAAATAGTTACATTCGTTATTATAGTTGCGTTTGTACAAATTTAGATTTTTGTAGCTAATTAAATTTTCAAATAGCAACTTTTAACCAAATCTCCCTTCAGCAAATTCAACTTCTACCATTTTAATTTGCGAAGGATGCAACCGGAATTCAATATATAATTTGATTCATAATATGAATTTTTGAGAATTTTTATATTTAATTTTTTACTCAGAGCTTATGAGTAATTTTTCTTTTTATTGAATTTAGGTTTTATGCTTCCTTCATAATTTGGCTATCAATTACTATTACATACACACAAACACATCAATATTTCCCATTGAACTAATTAAAAATTTAGGATGGATCATGAAATGGGCTTCGTAATTACGCTCAGTTGTTTTTTAATTTTACTCATTTTATATTAACTGTGAGCATTTGGCAATGCCTACTATTTTTCGTTAGCAGCAGTAAATTCGAAGGGGGAAAATAACAAAGAAGTCTCAGGTAAAAATTTGATCAGTAATAGGTCCCAGCCTGTGACATCTATATGTCATTATGTGATATTTTGTACCAGTTATATCCACTGGTAATTAAATTTTAGCTAAACTACACTTTTAATCTCTTAACATCACATAAAGTTTCATCTTTTAACTTTAAAAAATATATTTTTAATCATTTAATCTTAAAATTATTAATAAAAAATGATGATATAGAGATTGATAAGACATTTTCAAATGCTAACATATTAAGTTTAATTATAAAAACAATCATAATTATTATAAAAAAAATCATCATGTAAAATTAGTTTGGAATAAAAATGTACAGCTTGAATTTTTTTTAATCTCGGACTTCTATGCAGTTTTCTCCAAAAAAAAAAAGAATTACGTGGAATAAAAACAGCGTCTCAAGCCACAAGCATGAACGGGTGAGATTCGTGTTTGTCATGGACAATGAAAAACGGAAGCTCATGTGCCAAGTGATTGTTGTGAATATCGTTAGATCGCTGGTCTAAAAAAAGAACATCGTTAGATCACTCAAACGGTCAAGATTTATTGTGGCATCCGGTGAATTACTTACTGCAGCGACGTAGAGAATTTGCATCCCATTATTCTATTTTCTATCTTTAATATAAGAGTAAGTTGATTATTTTGAATAAATTATAAAAATTAGTTAATTATTTATAATAAATAGATATTATTTTTTCTAAAATATTTTTATTAATCAAGTACATTGGTTAGCAGTACTATTATTACAAGAATTATCTTAAAAAATATAAGAGATAAAATGAATTAGAGTCTTATATTTAGGATCAAAATAAAAACTAAATAAAATTTTATATTAGGGATGGAGGTAATATTAAGTTTATGCATGCATCTATACAAAATCCAAATCATTTATTATCTAGTCAACTAAATTAATTATTAGCAGTTATAGATGTCTAATTGACTGAAAAAAGATTAAAAGTCCATAAATTTTGAAAAGGACAACACATTCATTGTACTTTGATTAGAAATATAATAATTTATTAAACAAGAGATTTGCTTTAACAAAAAAAAAGAAAAAGAAAGAAAGAACGGGTGCATTCATGTTTTGAAAACTAAACGTTGGTGTACCTTTTTTTTTTAAATTAGCATTCCGGCCAAAAAATAAACAAATAATTCTGGAAATAAAATTTTAAGTGGGTTGAATGTAGGAGTTCATCAAAGTCAATACTAATATGATAGTTTGAAACTGTTGTCCCGAAATATTTTCATGTCGAAGATTTAACTTTAAGTTCACCTATGTCAAATAATCAAACACATATCCAATCTACTTGCCTCAATGTCAATACCCAGTCATTCTTAGTACTACTTCCACCAGTGTGATCAATATGAATAAATTAAAAAATTTGTTAAGTTAATTATTTGTATTAAATATATGTTGTCTTTTTTAGAATGTATTTGCTAATTATGTGTATTAGCTAAAACTACCATTTCATGAAACATTTAACATATGTAATTACTACAATCATTACCTTAGAAAAAAATGAATAAATATAAGAGACGAAGTGGATTGAGATCTTATATCAAGAATTAAATTAAAAATCAAACTAGTTTTATATTAAGAACCGGAAGTAGTATTTAAATAAACTCAACTGCAAAAACTTGCACAAAACATTAATACAAAATCTTAAACAAAAACAAACATTTTTCACAACAAACAATAATCGAGAATTTTGAAGAAAAAGTCATTGAATGTTTGCCCGTCAAATTAAACACCTCACTAAATAGTAAACACCACTGCCAGTATGATTTTTTTAAACAAGAAAAAATAAAGTAGAAGCCGGAGGCCTAATGCACATGACCCAATTCTTGGAAAAGTCCAAAACTAGCCATTTCAGTTTCATTATCCATAGTATTAAATAGAGAATCCATGAAAATCTGGAAAATTGAGTGATTTCATTAAAGATAGAAGCGTTTCATGCTGACGTATCAAGCACACATTGATTGACAGAACCCAACCCCTTTACTGCCCACATGAAATGAACTCCTCCTATATATACAGCTAAATCCATTCAGATCACCTCACCGTGCATGACCACCGGAGCATACGGAGGAGGCAGAACAATGAGGCGGCTCAACGACGATATCATGGCCAACATCCTGGCGAGGCTCCCGGCCGTATCATTTGCAGCCGCAGCTTGCGTCAACAAAACTTGGAATCGTCTTTCCTCCCAAATTCTTTCTCGTCCCAAGCTCGCTTCGGCTCTCTCCCTCAATCCCTCCCTCATTGTATTTACTACACCCACCTCAACACTACTTTCCCTCTAGTTGAATCCTTATTTTGATTTCTTATTTTATCTGAATTTTGGTGGTTGACAGCATGCTGTGAGGGAGGTTCTTGACAATGTTCTGAGCAAGCCAATTCGTCCCCACTTTGCCATCGCTTTCATCAGTGAAAAATATGGCTTGAGATTGGCTCACATGCTTGTACATATTCTTCCATCTTTAGAATATTCTCTTTACTTTCATTTTATGTATTGATTGCTCTATATTCTTGATCTGATTTGAACAATGGTTTATATGATTTTGCAGATTAATGACAGATTGAAAAACAGAGTTCCTTTGGTTGTTCACATCAGCCATGGGGTGATGGGCAAGGATGTTCTCTCAGATGAACTTCGAGAAGTATATTTACATAATTACGTTTGTCTTGATGAGCTGCAAGCTTATATACTGTGTGTGTGTGTATCACTCTTGTCAGCAAATATTTAAGATAGTAAGGAACGTAGTAAATATGCAGGTGAAATGGGAGTACTTCGATTATAGTGGCGATCATCCTCGAGAGTGCAACGTATATGGCAATATAAATAAAGGGGTTGTTCTGGTTCTGGGATTTGTCCCCGGACTCAAAGTTGATGCTATACCCTTATTTCGTCCACGCCAGGTATATAAATGGTCCTATCATTAATCTTTTGAATATGGTCTGTTTTTTTTTTAATCTTCAGTTAAAATAAAAGAGAGAGTAAATTAGAGTCATCATTACGCAAAGATTGAGTTTAATATTTATTCGTTGATTTTTGTGTGCGGTTATTACAGGATCCTGGTGGCGAGCAGGCAGACAGATTTTTAGCAGATATTAAGGCTTTCACAGCCGCAGCTTCTGGCCATGAATCTCCAGCTGCCATCATGATGTTTGGAGTTAAGCATTGTTTTGTTCTCCAACTACTTCCACATGTTCTGCCATTGATGATTTTCCTGACATGTTTTGCCTTTTCTAATCTTAGGATCGTAGGAGTAACATGAATTCTGTTGTTGCAAAAATGGGTAATGCATCACAATTCCCTTTTTCTATCTTCCCGCTGCCGGAAAATTATTGTTATTTTACTTTGCTTACATATATAGAAAATCATACGTGGCAGATCATGCTCTGCCAAAGGAGACAGTCATGATTGGAGATGCAGGCGGCTGCTTTTTGTTCAACAGTATGAATCACACAATAACTACTCCGAATTCCTATGTATTGGACGCTGTTGCGCTGGTGTTTGCTGAGGACAAAGACAAGTCTCCTGGTACAATGAGATTCCTTAATGCAGTCAACACATTATTTATTAAACCAGATTAATGCTGATGGTATTACATAAACTGAGCAGACGTGGGGGAAACAGAGTTCAATGTGGTCTTGGCGGAGGGTTTGGTGCCATTTGGTCCACCATTCGAGGTGATTGTCGTGGGAATGAATCCATCTCAAGAATGGACCGTTTTCTCTGCTAGAATGGAAGGATGTGATGTCATTTTGAGCAGCGACGCAGTTTTTGAGACAGTTCTTGACACTGTATGTTGTATCAACATTTCACAAAACCCATGACAATATGTGCATTCTAGTTTCCGTCTTTTAAATTAACTGTACAATCGCAGGTGAGTGATCCCAACTTTGAATTGTACATTGGCGTCACTCAAAGAAGAGGGGAAGAAGAATCCTTATTCTTCTATCGGGTTTTATCGTAAGACTAGTGTGATTAACTTGCTGATACTGATATGACGTATAATTCTGATCGTAGCTGATGATATTTGTGGCATGATACGAAAACAGGGGAGAAGGAATCCACTTTGTGGTTGATGGGATAGGCTTAAAACCTGGAGATTCCTTTGTGTTCTACCACACAGACAAGGACGGTGCAGTTACGAGCAGAGACATAGCCTGCGAGAATCTGGAGACGTTGAAGGAGATTGGTGATGAGAATGAGAGTGACGTGTTTGGGGGATTAATATTCGCGAGCAAGTTTCGTGGGAAGGCGTACTTTGGAGAAGAGAACGGTGATGTGATGCCATTGAGTGAGAACTTCCCAGGAGTTGCAATAGCGGGATCATTCTGCGACGGAGAAATAGGACGAGGTTGGTGTAGCTTCGTTACAGAAACAGAAGCTGAAGAAGAAGAAGATGAGGAAACCAGTGGTCGTTGCTCTCTTCGTGCCTTTTCTGCTCTTTACTTGGCCATGTCTTATGTTACTGCTTCCGCAGCAATCCATCGCTGACACTAGTCTTTGGATTTACATGTTGCTTACATAATTTAGTCAATTTATGCAGTTCATCTGTTCTGATATTTGCTCCCTTTAGACCTATGTGTTTGCATTTTTCAATCGTTTAAATATAAGTTGCGACTTTATTCTTTTCGTTTGCTTAATTTGCTTTTGTATTTTTGTTTTTACAGAACACAAGGATTTGCTTAGTCACCCAATAATACTAAAAAATAAATAAAATTATTTATGATAAGTGAATGATGTAACTTATATATATACACTCCTCCGGTCCTAAATGTAAGACCCTTATATGTAAAAGGGTCTTACATTTAGGACCGGAGGAGTGTATATATATATATATAGTACCACTATTATTCTCATTAATATATTTTAAAATAGCAATTCAAATTTTTTTAAAAAAATTATCAACAGCCATTTAAATAGGGGTTATATTTGTGCATTACACAGCTCAAACGAGTCATATTATTTATAATTTTACAATATTTTAAAATAGGAACTTAATGGTATGCTTTTTATTTTGGGCATAAACAATTTGGCTACGTGCTTAAAGATGTCATATCGGGTAAAATTCGTAGATGCAATATATTCAGAATCTCCGGAAGGAATATCCTTAATTATGATTAACAAGAATAATGTTAATATTAATGGCAAAAATATATATCCATTATTCTAGAAATCCCCACCTTCGTCTTCTTAATTTTTCCCCTGCCGACGTAGAAATCCCCTTCCATGTGATGAAGAATAGCGTATTATTGGGTGTAGTGTCAGTATTCTTTGGTCTTTTTTTTTTTGGGCCCAAATATTCCTGTTTTGTTTTTCGGGATACACCACGTTAGATGCATTTTGGGCCAAAACAATGGGCCATAAGCCCAGTAAGGAAGATTACATGCTTTCCTTCACCGCCACTTCCACCAGTCATCGGAAGCTGAATTCAGGCCGGAGGATACCGGGACCGATGGAGGAGACCCCATCGTCATCGATGGCCAGAACCAAAGCTAAGGCAAAAGATTCTCAAATGTGTTTATCGGGTTTTGATGGGATGAACGAGGACCTTCTCCTCAACATTCTGAGCAGGCTTCCCGCCCAATCCTTTGCTTCAGCAGCTTGCGTTAACAAATCCTGGAATCGAAATCGCGTCCTGTGTCGTCCTAAGCTCGCGTCTGTGTCGTCCTAAGCTCGCCTCTGCTCTTTCTCTCAACCTTCTCTCATGTACGTTTCTTTGGTCCACGTCTCTGGTCATGTGCATTTCACTTTTTCTGGCAATATCGCAGTCAGGAAGAAATGAAAATTCCGCACCTTAGATTGCGTTCCATTATCAAATGGTTATATTTCTACATTTCTAGGCATTTAAACGCTGTTAATGGTTTCAATCACCATTTGTTTCCCGCTTTGCTCCGAGAACACAATCAGGGCCAAGGAAGCAATGGCAAATCGGCCGTTGATACTGAGGGTGTTGATATGTTCAACGTTGGTTAAAAATGAAAATATAAGAGGTTACTTAAGTCAATAAGTACTCTCACCTAGTAGAGCTGGTTTTGTGGAATGAGCTCTTCTTATGGTGCAAGTCATTTAACGGGAATCAAGGCATCCGGCGTTCCGGTTGGTGTCGGCGTTGCTCTCTTTGCCTGGGGCTAGGAAACTAGGAGAAGCCAATTAAATGGGCCTCATGGTGGATTAGAGACCAAAGGACCCAGTTTTTCCAGTTTGTGAATCTTAGAAGTTCATAATCAATTATGCAGAATATACTTATTTCCTTAGATGATTTTTATGTTAAAATTTTCTTTTTTATAGTGAACAATGAAATATACGTCGTGCTTGCCTCACTTTGATGATAATTTCCGTTCTTCACAGATTGCATTAACTCTTGACTTTTTCCGTACTTACTTTAACAACTTACAACTTGCTTATTACTCTTGGAAATTATTGTACCTTCAAACAGGAAGCTTTAAAGGAGGTTTTCGATAAGATTCTGTCTGAGCCCATCCGTCCACATTTTGCCATTGCAAATGTTGGAAGTGGATTTGAACTACCGAAGACTCTAAGGCTTGTATGGAATTGCTCTCGCCTTCTTTTCTAAGTCCAAGAATTGTTTGTATTAAACCATTGACCTTCAGGTCTTCTGCACAGATTGGAATGAAACTGGGACGCTCTGTTCCCATCATTGTTTCTGTGGCTAACGGTATTATTGGAAGGGACACTCTTACCAATGAGCTTAAAGAGGTTAAATATCTATCGACCTTTGTTAGTTTTTATATTAGGAGTTTGATAAACTCAAGTGCTGACCCATGATTATTATGCAGGTCAACTGGCACGCTCTTTTGAGTGACCTCAGCGATGAAACAGATGCTGTACAGATAGGTGAAGGCATAGTTATGACCATTGGTTTTTTCCCAGGATTAAGAGTTGATGCGTTGCCACTAGTTCGACGATCAACAGTAATAAATTTTCTCTTTTGCTTTTTGAGTTTCAGGATACGTGTTGTGCTTTGTCAGATTTGCTTGCCTCGCTATCCTGATTGTTATGCATGCAATGTATTTTATTTAGCCACTTTTAAAAATGAGAAACCTATCCGTTCAGGATTCCATTAGGATAGTATTGAGCTTGTTGCTGTTCAAATTGTTAAGGTTGTTAGCTCTTATCCTACCAGATACCTGCAGAGTCAGCCATTGACAAGTTTGTAATGGATGTCAAGGAGTATTCTGCATCTGTTTCCAGGTGCTCGTTTCCTCAGGGTATTCTTTTATTTGGAGTAAGTAGATGGTAGTCACTTATTTATCAATTATTCATTTTATTTTGATTAACTCTTTCCGTTTTTTATTCACATCACTCTTGGTATTGTTGCTAACGGTGAGTTGGCTGTGCAGGAAGGAAGTACTGACATGAAACAGTTATGGAGAAGTTGGGTATGTGACAGTCCATATAATTATACACATCATGTTTCTACACTATGCTGCTGCTCATATTCAAACTTGCCTTTTAGTTTCTGGGGAAAATCTGTCAGGCATTTTGTTGCTTTGTTCAGTAGAACGTCTCAAAATTGGAGTTGACCAGAGAAGATTCAAAGAACTTATTATTTAGAGGCGTTTTTTTTGGTGTGTGAGCGCGCGGGGGGGTGTGAATATGATTTTTTAGAGTTGACAGACTCTTCACTTTATGATCAATCCATTTAAGAATATTATTGATTGCTTCCCTTGTAATAGTTTTGCTTTACAGCTTCTCATTGTGGGGGAATACATAAGTAGATGGAAACATGGAACAAATTTGTATTTTGTGTTAGTTTTATAACTGTAAAGTGAGAACTTCAATGACTTCTACAATTACAACCCTCTGTTTCTTGGCTTGTACTTGGCTAGTCTGTCCTGATGGTAAATGTTTTTATGCAGATTATGCCATGCCCAAGGACACGTTCATTGTTGGTAATGAGAGGGGCCGCATTACATACAGAAGCGGAAATGACTCTAGAAATGCTTATGCTAGAACAGGGTACTCAATAGAAGCTGTTGCTCTTGTTTTTGCTCGGGATAGGGACAGATCATCTGGTACTTCTTGCTATCTTTCTGGTAGATCTTTCTGCCGATACACGGTACAACTGATACAACTGCTACAGTTCATACGATTCTATTTTTCAATGATACAACTGATACAATTGCAGTTCATATCCCGTAAGACTAAACATGTTTGCTCTTTCAAAGGAAAGTATATGCCAAATGCAACTTTGTTTCTGTGTTTTTTTTTTTTGGTTAAAAATGATTAATGAAAGGAAGAAAATATTGCGAGTGCTGCTTTTTATGTCTCTTTATCTTGTTTTGGAAACTAGACCAGATCGGCGAGTTCAGCTGTGAAACTGGTAAACTGGTTACTAATTTGGTCTGAAACTAAGCCTAAATTGGCCCAAAGGGAAGCCGGTCATAGATTGGAGTAGTCAGTCAAAAACTGGTGAACTAATTAAGAAGCAGGCGGGTCATATAGGCATACACAAGCCCTCAGACCATAGGCTCATAAAGGGAAAAAGAACCTGATCCGAGGTTTACTAAACAAGGCCGCCTCCTCTTCCTTTTTATAGGCTCAATTACCCCACTTTCCTTGCATGCTTACCTGATGTGGGACCATGACTAAGAAGGCTTGCGAGCTAATTCCATTTCACCTGATGCAACCTTTGGGAAAAGTTTATTTTCTCCCAAATAAAGCACTCATGCAAGAAGCTGCTGATTGTGGAACAGATTCCCTTTAAGGCTCAAGTCTTTATGTTTGAGAATCCTAATTCCATATCCATTATTGATTATACACTCTAAATTCCGTTGACTACAAAAACCACTTAGCAGTGTGTTTGGTTCAAGTGCTATGAGACAATATTATAGTAATATGTTGCTTGAAAGTCTTCTATTTGATTTTTTTAATATATTTTGCTTATTACTTATATGTGCCGTGGAGTAATTAATGCTACAGGAGAAATTAAGTTTCACGTTGCACTGTCAAATGGTGTTTTACCTGTGGGTGGCAAGTACAAGACAGCTTCAGTCCGAACAAGAAGCGCTGAGAGTTCTACATGGCTGACTGCTAGGAGGGAAGGGCAACAGGAAATTCTTGATGGTCAAAGAATATTGGATGATGTTAACAATGAGGTTTCTAATGCTTTCGGAGTTTGAAGTCTTGTTGCCCTGTTTTTCTGATGAACCAAAAGTTTATGTTAATCACAGAACAGAACTAAGCTTTTTCATGATGCCGTTCATCTTGTTCTCTTTCCCAATATTCAATAAGACCAAGCCAGCAAGAGGCTTATGATTTCTTTAAAGTTCAAATGCAGTATACATGAACAAGTAAATAAATCTAATTGGTGATGATGCTTTACTGGTAATGGACTTTTAACTGATCCCTTTGTAATGAAGTCTGCACATACTATCACGTCAGACTGTGATTAAATGATCCGTTACATTTTTTTATCATCTCTCACATCAGCATTAGTTTGAGGGAAAAATTAATCATTCACTTGATTGTTGAATCTTTAGTATGCTGCGTTTTTTTATAGGAAAAGTGGAAGATAAAATATTATGATGACTACTTTTACTCTGCTTGGTTGGGAAGCCTTAATATTTGAGTATTTTGATGATAAACTTGATATAAACTTGCGTTAGCTCCTGTTATTTTTCCCCCTATATTTGCTTTCTTATCTATGCATGTTTTTGGACTTCAAAACATGTTCAGCTGCTAATCATATTGAGATGCCTGATTTGTACATCGGAGTATACAAGCGAAGAAAACTGTCCGTTGGATCAGAGAAGCCAAGACAAGAACATCTATTGCTTTTCATGGAGTTATGACGTATGTTATGAAACTCATTTGTTGGCCTTCTACTTTCTCATTGATATTTACACTTTTCTAAGGACTTCTGGAAAAGAAAATCAAAAAGGCAAAAGAACAAAAGAAAATTTTGCTGCAATGGCCTGATGAGCAGGCTCTATTTCTTATTCATCTACTACACTATTTTACTTTGTTCATTTGGCTCAACCAGCGTGGGTCATTGGTGATAGTTTATAGTTAGCATACTACATAATAATTAGATTAGGGAGCAATTGGTGAGTTGTCTAAATCTTTTTAATAGAAGTTTTAAAATTTGTTAAAGTCAAATTGCGTGATAAATAGATAAACGATTTCAGCTCCAAAAAAAAAGATAAATAGATAAACGATGATGGGATTGGTAAAACATCTAAGTATATTGGAGATTGGATTTCAGACTCAACAATGTTTTTATTTTTTATTATTTTGCTCCAGCAATCTTCTAGGCCCCAAGTTGTAATTTAGGGTTAGCAAACTCTGCAGTAGAGAAAAAGCATTGACCTATGATCTTCCAGCATTTGCAACCAAAAAAGAAAAATTTAAGGTCTCTTGTTTTGTACAGAGGAGATGAACAGTATCTGTATGTTGATGGGATCGGCTTAAAGACTGGAGATGTCTTTCAATTCTACCATTCAGATTGTAATACAGCATTAGCCTCATGCGCTCGGGTGTCTGATGAACTGGAGAAGATTAAGCTTGAAGCAAATTTCAAGAATCTCAGTGGTGGGGCCAGCAATGCTACTTCTGTGTTTGGAGGGTTTATTTTTGCCTGCTGCGGTCGTGGTGAATCATTCTTTGGACGACCCAATGTTGATATTTCCCCTTTCACAGAGAATTTCCCAGGGGTACCATTGTCAGGAATATTCTGTGGTGGGGAAATGGCCCGTTCTTCGTTCACAGAGAATGGCCAATGCAAAGGAGAAAACTCCATTAGTTGCTGTGTGCATGTTTACAGCAGCGTGTATCTGTTGATGTCTTGTGCGCCGTCACAGTAATACTGGAACCGTTCATGGTTCTCAATACGAGCATTTCTGAGACGTTGATGTTTTTTCTTGCCTGTGACCTTCTAGTTCATAGTCTTCAACATGTATATGATTCAGCTATATGCTTTTCAGCGCGTTTAGTGCAGAATCTTGTGCAGCTACAACAAATGCAGGTGAATATAATATCGTTTTTTTTTTTACCGGAAAATATAATATCGTTGATGCATATGATTATGGAATAAGTTCCCCCTTTGTATGAATTTATTTGTCATTTGCTTTATCATCATAAGCCCGAGTTCTTAGGGTGGAAAGCTCATTCTTTGAGATTTTCCCACAAAATTGAGCTTTCGAGCACATCTTAGTGGATTTTTGATCTATCATTTTGCTGAGCCAGGTTTCCCTCATCATGTCCAGCTAATGGTCGATTGAACTTGGAAAGATATTGGCCAAGCAACTAAGCAAAACAGAGAGAAAAAAAAAAGGGCGAAAATTGAATCTTTTTGAATCGAGAAAGAGCCATTGATATCACGGTCACAAAGTTTAAGTCATAGAAGGTTGATTTGTAGTGTTTTTTTTTTTTTTTAAGTATCCTTCTAATGGAAGACTAAATGTGAACACATTCTTAATTAACTAAATCTAATCCCGTTGGTGAATTCTAATATATTTTTCACATGTTTCACTGTTCTCAAATCATTTAGTCTTTTAATTAAAAAAAAAAAACTTATAAACACTTTACCATATATGACACGTCCTCCAGTTCTAGATGGACGACCATAGTACTCGCTAAAAATAAGCTCTGGAGAAGGCAGATCATGGAACATGATCAAAATAAAAATAAACTGCAATTTACACTGGAACAGAAGAAAACTCAAAGGGGAAAGTGGGTTACAATTTATAACTGAAAGGCAAGCATACTGAGAGTTATGTATGCGATCAATTAACAGTCATCGCACTGTGTCAATGGAAAGATATTGGCCAAGCATGCCTTAATTCGTCGGCTGCAGGCCTACAGATTTTCAGTGCTCTTTTTGTGTTTCATCTTTCAAACAAATGGAACATACAGCACAAATTTGGGGAGAAGGACACTTCAATACTAATAGCATGGTATTCAAAGACATCCCTTGATAGTTACTCTAGTGATAATACAACACAAAACCATCAGAAGGGAAAACACTGCAAGACAAAAGCTTGCTCTTTGTTTGGATTCTTATTTCATTACAAGCAAAATTCCAGTTAAACGATAAATTGAAGAATGACAACGGGGCCATCTCATATAGAAATGCCCAAGGACTTCTTAAAATTCTCAACCTCCAAGTATACTGTGGAATAAGGAAGGAACTCTGAGAAATGCTCTTTGCTAAGATCATTTATTGCTACCGCAAGTTTGGGGATTTCTAAGGTTTCTTCATGGGTCAAAGTCCTTACAAACCTAGCTGGATTTCCTGCCCAAAGTTCACCCGATGGAATTCGCCTCCCTGGGGGAACCACTGACCCAGCTTCAAGGATTGAGTGTGTCTCCACTAATGAGCCTTCCATCAGGATGGAATGCTGGCCAATAATGCACTCTGGCTCAATTGTGCAGGACCTCAAGAGGCTATATGCACCGACTGTCACAAACCTATCTATCAAAGACTCAGCTGGCAGGCCTGAATAACAGAAGGATGCATATATAATCAATAAGAATACATCCATTCATGATTAATTGTATATAGGAACACCCCATTTACATTTTATAAAGGATCTTAAGTTCCATTTGAAAATTAAATTCAAATCCATAAAACTAGAAGAAAAACACCAGCAAATAAGCACGCTGATTACTAACTCCACTAAATAATTGGTAAAACTAAATGAAGGCGAAACACAGAAAGCTTGTTTTAGGGAAGTTAAATATCTATAAGAAATATGTTACCATATTAATTCCGACTAGTGACCCAATATCATCTCAGGTAACAGTACCTTGGTGGCTCCAAAACCAAGGGAATGGAAGTAACGGTGTGGTATGCATGGGGACATAGCTCTTACAGGTTAGGTGTCAATGAGATTATTAACAGAAAATCAATCCAATAGAATTAGCTATCCATGGAAGGAGAAAAAATATCAAAGAGTACACACTTAAGAAAATAATACGGGGGCTTGTAGCTATTTAGAAAATGAGCAACACTAAAGAAGATAAATGCGGCTAACTTGTACAATTCAAACCAACAAAACTAAATTTTTGAACCAATGCCAGGGAAAGCGAGATTACAAAAGAGTAAAATAGATACTCCTTCAGTCCTAAACATAAGACCCTTACACTACTAGTACAAGGATTTTATATTTAGTAGTAGTATAAGGTCTTATATTTAGGACTGGAGGAGTACTACAATAATCAACCAATCTACAGCAGCTAAGCCGGAGTGATTGAGGAAAAGCACCCAGGACTAAGGAAAGAAAGCTCAGGGCATCCAGCCTCGAAGCAGCAACTATAAAGTCCTCGACAATTCTCAAGGAGATCTTTCAACATAGAATGTGCACAACCGATTAAACCTTCCTCTAGATTATTTATCACCGTTTCACTTAAATTAGAATCTAGACGGCCAAAGGCCTAACTATAATATGCTTAAGCTTTCTATTCATAGGAATTTTAGGAATTTCATATATAGTCATATTGGATTTCATTTTATGAGAAGACTAGCAACGCATTAGGATTCCGTGGCGAAACAGAATTTCCTCCTTGACGTCACATTTCCTCCAATTGTAATGTTAAATGCACCAACAATCAAAACCATTAGGACAAACCTGTTGGAGAAGACCAGGCGGCGTGAATAACACAGCGCTCCTGAACATTGGAGCAGAATCCGACTGTGATCTTATTGAGATCACCACGGAGGACGGAGCCTGGCCAGACCGAGGCTCCGTCGTAGACGGTAACTTGGCCAGCAAGAACCACGTTGGGCGCCACGTAAGCATCGACGGCGACTTTAGGGTTCCACTGCCCCAAGGGGATGATCTTGCGCTGACCTCTGTAGTCCCATTTCACGCGATCTGCCGAAGGCGTGATGGCCTTTGTCGCCTCCGTCGAAAGAGCACGGCCCAATAGCCGCGGTTGTAGATGGTGTTTTGATGCAAGCACGGTTGCGAGAGCTCTTCTGGAGAAGCGACCTAGAGTTGCCATGAGTCACAACTGAAACACCCAGTGGCCAACGGAGCAACACGACAGGACAGCGAAGTGAAGGGACCCGTTTGTGGGCTTGAAGATCAAGCAGCCAATGGGCCTTTAGCCCAAACCAAGCCCTATTATAAATAAACAGGAATGGCCCCACAATTCGTGGATCTGACGAGTTTATCGGAGCTCGGTGGCAAATCCAAGAGTCCAATTTTCTTCCGACGGACGAGGTGGGATTTTTTATCATCAAAAGATTGCTTCTAAATCACATAAAATTAATCCATTTACGTAATTTATTCATACGAAATAGTAGTACTATAAATTTTGGTGTTTGCTTCCCATGTCAGCTCTTCTGCTACATGCTAGCAGGCTAGCAGCTCCACCTGAGAACCATAAATTTAGCCCAACAAAATTTATTTTGGTTAGATTTTCTTAATAATTAAATTAAAAGACGTCATTTTTAGAGTGTATTACACTGTCTTTTAAGAACTAAATAACTAATTCACTTTAAGTTTATCAAACGCACACATTGCGATTTTATAACACAAGTCTCTCTCTGGTTTATTCTAGACAGCTTTAAATCAAGATTAATTAGAAGAGTTTGTGCAAAAATCAATTTAAGATATATTTTTGAGTATATTTAATAAGAATAATGTGAAACGGATTTGTACAAATTACTTAACCATCTATTTAACGTAAACAAATTAAAATATAACGGATTAACTGTTGACATTCTGGATTTTATTGTTGACACTTTGGATTTCACTTAGCTGCTTTTACAAAAGGATGTTTATTCTGTTGTGTTATGATTTTTTCTAATATACTCATTCAGTTCTAAATATAAGACTCTTATACACACTAGTATATGAATATTATATTTAGGACTGGAGGAGTATTTATTAAGAATAATTTGATTCTATGAGAGGACGGGTCCAAAACAGGGGTAAATTGAGATGTTGGTTTATAGTCGGATGATACAGCATATATTGCAGAGGAATCATCAATCCTTGGTAGTGAGTGGAAAAGCATCAGATGCCTGCCCATACATGCCTAGCTTTGAAGCTCGTAGCTGCATAATGTTGCACAATACTCCTCCGGTCCTTATTATAAGATCCAATTTGACTTTTTATTTGGTCCTAATTATAAAACCCAATCCATTTTGTCTCTTATATTTATGCATTTTTTTCAAGATAATCCTTCTAATAATGATAGTTTTAGCCAATATACTTAATTAGCAAGGATATTTTAGGAATAACAACACTTATTTATTATAAATAACCAACTTAACTTACTTCCTTAATCTCCTCAAATAAGTCAATTGGGTCTTATAATTAGGACCGGAGGAGTATATATATATATATGCAGCTTCAATTATAGTCGAAATTCACTCTCTTTTTTTTTTTGGTGAACAGTCGAAATTCACTCTTTTGTCAAGACAAGGGTTTTCCTCCTGCAGCTCCCTAACCTGCATATATATCTCAACAAAACTCTACATTAATTCATTTTTCTTCATAGAGCTCGTGCAACTTTAATTCCATCACAATCTTATCCTTCTTTTAAGCGCCTTCATGTTCTCTGCGCTGACGCGTCTCTGTCCACCATAACCAGATCGATCCGCAAACAATGCTCCTGTGTATCACATATATGTTTCCTATTGAGTTGGGATTACCTTTCCAGAGACGACGATCTCAACGCCAGTCTTCATTTAACACCAATCACACATATTCATCAACAAGCGCAATCATTCATTTACTCGATTGAGGATAACGATGCATAAAGGTGAAAATCTTAAAGACCACCATCAATTAAAAAAAAAAAAACAGAATATATATACCTGGACGGCTCTGAAAAGTATGGATATTAGAGTGAGAGAGTCCCCACCTGACAACGATACTTGCAAATAGTGCTGTGAATGCCGCGGAGAGGATCGTATTGATGATGGATGATAAGTAGTAGAAGTTGCGGTAATGGTATGTGAAAAAAAGAAGGGTAAGGCACTTATATATATACTCCTCCGGTCCTTATTATAAGACCCCATTTGATTTTTTATTTGGTCCTAATTATAAGACCCCAATCCATTTTGTTTCTTATATTTATGCATTTTTTTCCAAGATAATCCTTCTAATAATGATAGTTCTAGCCGATATACTTAATTAGCAAGGATATTTTAAGAATGACAACACTTATTTATTATAAATAACCAACTTAACTTACTTCCTTAATCTCCTCAAATAAGTCAATTGAGTCTTATAATTAGGATCGGAGGAGTATATATAGAGAGAGAGAGAGAGAAGTATATATGCGTACTCGTGGCCGGCAAAATGGCAGGACTTGGCAGAGGAAGAGAAAATGAGAAGAGCGACCTCGGCGTCGCATAAGATGGAGAGCTCATTTGCCTTCTTCATCAGCCCTTTAGCGTCCTGATGAATCCTGATTCTGGATGAACACGTTCGCCTACTACTAAACTTGCATTCAGTTCATCTTTTTCACGCTTCTTGTTGTCCCGATCATTTCCTCAGTCACCCCATTTTTAACTTTGTATTCTTTTTTAATTTCCAAGCACTACGTAGTTCTGTACAAAGACCCATAATCACAATATATGACGTAATTTGGAGGGCTTCCAAAATTTGTAATTGGAGTATCGACCTCACTACGAGTGGTTCACAAGCACAGGTCATGAAGTAGAACTTGAAACCATCTCACAGTCAGGTGTCCGCCGCATTTAAACGCTCACGTCTCCCTTTGGTGCGTATGGATGATTAATGCCGCTTCATCCTCGTCCATTATTCAAAGCTTTGTCTAACCTTCTGTAATTATGACTCCCCATTTAAAATAAGGCTCTCATATTTTTTAAAACTAACCAAACATACACGTCACTAGAGTATTATTTAGCCACAGAATTCCCGACTTAATATCGATAAACTTTGAATCAAATTGTCACTGCAGCTTAACATCAAATGGTACGGTTCTAATTATAAGACCCAGTTGACTTATTTGAGGAGATTAAGGAAGTAAGTTAAGTTAGTTATTTGTAATAAATAAGTGTTGTCATTCCTAAAATATCCTTGTTAATTAAGTGTATTGGCTAGAACTATCATTATTAGAATGACTATCTTAGAAAAAAATGTATAAATATGAGAGACAAAATAGATTGGGATCTTATGATTAGGACCAAATAAAAAGTCAAACGGGGTCTTATATTAAGGACCGAAGGTAGTATTACTTAATGTGACGGTTGGTTTGAAGGAATTATGATAAGGGAGTTGCAACAAAAATGGAGATGGAATCTTGAGAAATTTTTTTGGTGCCAGAATTTCCCTGCACTATCATGGTCGAATGAGAAACTTCATTCTCATGTTTGGACAATACGACAACGTAAGAAACTAATTTCTTATAACTGACAAATCAGAATTTAAATCTCTATTAAAAAAGATATTTTTATTTAATGTTTAACAATGCTTCAAATAAAATTACTTTTAAAAAATGACAGTCTTTTCTAATAAAAAATGGCATTTTATTTCTGCGTGACAATTTTTATTACAAGACCGAAATATCCCCCGTTCTATGATCAAACTAATCCTTTATTCCTCCTCCGTGATCTCTTCGCCGAATAACTCATCGGACTTTTTTAATTCGCTGTACAACTGACATCATTTTTACGCAAAGTTGTTTTTCACTTGCTTTTTTTACTCAGTCAAGCAGAAAAAAGCACGCAAAGGTGCTTTTTCAATGTGAGAACTAAGAATCAAGGTCACCTTCAAATCTTTAACTCAACCGAATTATATTTTTGACTTAATAATTTGTAATTAATTAGTTACAGTTATCTTTATTTACGTTTTATAGCATCAGAAACTGAAAAAAAAAATTCATGAAAAAAAAAAGAGCACGTGCGATGCGGGTAGAATCCTGATTCAGAATAATGATGTGTCCTGCTCTTGCGTCATTTGCCGCAGAGTGTGGCTGATACTGTCAAAACTAAATCCGCGGAAGTTACATAAATATGCCAACATGAAGATTTCAGAACTACTTTCTTCAATGTGAGATTGTACTTATTCAAGTGTTCTAGGTTGAATACTAACGATGATGTTTGCCAAATAGGGGAATACAATTTAACTTCAATTAAGCGGAATCCTGCACTTATCCCAATTCCAAATTCGACGCCCACAAACAGAAAAGCGCACCACGATTAAAACCATCTATGATTTGAGACCCGACATTTGAAAAGTCGAAATAAAAGTTCAGAAAAGTGAAGCAGCACCATAGCGCCATCAGTGTAACCAATCTTTTTTTTTTTTGAGTGAAGGTGAAACCTCTATCAACGCAAGAACTACCAGAATATTTACATCAAAGTCCTAAAAGTCCTAGTGTTGCTTCCATTTTGATCAACACTGAAATCAGACCCGCCGTCTTGAAGCAAAGTACAATAACTCTGAACATTTTATTATTCGATTCATTTCTTCCTTCCACTATTCTTTCATCCCTTTTAAATTCTCGTTTTCTTTTTTTAGGGTTCAACGGGAGATTCGAAGATTTTGGGGAAATAAAATTGAGAACAGAGGGGGAAAATAATAGTAAGAAAGACGAGCATCCAAATCAAGCATGCAAACCACACGAATAGACCATCCATTGAGATCAAGAAGACGTAATAACAGTAGCAGATTAGAGACATGCAATCTTAAATTCATGATCCTTAAGAAGTTTATACCCAAGAAGAACAAGCATAGATAGTACAGTCAAACTAGTCAGTGTAGATGTGAACCCCAATGGCGATGAGGAAGATGGTGATGAGGCCAAAGTAGATGATGGCGTGAACGAGGATAGAAGCGCCGCTAGTATGCATGTTGCCGAACTCAACAACCTTGCCTTTGGCCGGAATCTGAAACAGAAGACCTGGGCTCAGCAGCACAAACAGGAGCACCGCAATGATGACCGGACCCCAATCCGCCATATTCTTCGAGCTTTTTGAACACAGCGACAGAAAGGATCAGGGGATCTGGCAGAGAAAAGGCAGGCGATGAAGGATACAGAAGAGAGAGGGGCTCTGAGAAGGAAGGATCTGAGACGCAAAAGTGGGAGTGGGGTACAGTTGTTGAAAAGAGGACATGGACCGCCCAGTGCATCGATTATTAGGAAAGAGGAACCGGGAAGTTTCGCGTGACACGTCAGGCCAAGAGTGATAGCTGAGCGCGTCAATCGGGTCGCGTGGGACGTCAACGGCTCTCATACTCCACATCGGTCTTGGGAGAAATGATTCCAAACTTCGAAAACCTTTTTGGAGTTGATAACCTCATTTTTTCCTGATAAAATATTCCGGTGTACCGTACGTTCATTCCCCAGTTCCGAAGGTAGGTGCGGCCAATTTCCCCACCCCCCACACCTCAGCTTCGGAATCAAATCAATTAATTATGGGCCCAATTGAATATTCTGGGCTCTGGTTTGCAGTCCAGTGACAATGTGATCTTAGTAACATTCCCCCACGTCTATTGTCTTTTCAATACTTGATTTAATAATAATAAAAATAAGCCTATGTAGCAATCGCTCCTTATTTGAAAGAGGAACATATTTGCCAATTGCAATGTTCCGAGGTTTTGAATATTTTGATATTTTTTGTATAGTTAAGTCCCGATAATTGAGGAAAGAAAGAAAATTGCTAAATTTATTTATCATCAATAATCAATTTCACCATCCGAAGTTCCGAACTCGAACATTATTTGAATACATGGTTTCGCTCCAAAATGCAACCAAAGTATGGAAAGACATAACAGAGGATTAAACGGTGAACACAGTTAACAAGAAAAATAAAAGAAGGAAAAAAAAAAATTAAAACTAACATGGTCTCATCGAAGAGTTCCGTCACTTACATAATTATAAGAATGACCAACGAAAAGAGGGGGGAAAAAAAAGCATGGATAAAAAAACCTGAAAGCTGAAACAGGGGAAGGTGGGAAGAACATGAACGAGCAGGGAAGCAAGGCTAGCCAGCGTGAATATGGATACCGATGGCCAAAATGAGAATGGTGAAGACGACAAAGTAGATGAGAGTGTGAACGAGAATAGCCTTGCCATTAGTGCGAAAGCTGCCAAATTCCACGAAGCGTGCGTTTCCCGGCATCTGGAACAGCAATCCAGGCGAGAGCAGTATGAATAACAGTAAACCTATCACAACAGGACCCCAATCCAACATGGTTGCCTCTCTTCTCTTCTCTTCTCTCCACACTTTCTCAGCCCTCCCACTCACCCACTTCCAATACTTCAATTCTCAACAGTTACTTGTATTCTTATCTATGCTCATCATGCCTCCGCTTTCTATTTATCAATATTCTCACGCAAACCCCTTTTTACATTTTCCTTTCCATCAAAGAAATGGATCCTCTCCCCAAAAGAGTGCGCTCCAAGTTTAGCACATATTATTTCCCTTTTTTTTTTTTAGGCTCTCATTTTATTCAAGAACCAAATTAGTTTTAAGCCATTGCAAAAATGTCAGCAATTATTATGTCATTCGATGGAGATCAAATTTGCCAACGAAACAATGGCCCAAGTTAGAATTTTGAGAGGCCAGAGGCCACAAACTTCGTCCCTTATGCCGAATTCACCACTCGTCTCGTCGATACTGAATTTAGAGGTATTTTTGATCAAGGCTGCTGACGTGGAAGATTGCTATTGGCTCCACTGTCCTCGCTTTAAATTTCTCCTACCCCAATTTCCCAAAGTCCTCTTCCCGCGCGCGCTCCCTCTTTCGCTCCCTCTCATCTTTCCCGGTCGCCGGCTCGTCGCGTCGGTGTGCCTTTCGGGGCGACAAGAGTACCGATCGCTACTGTGCCATTGCCCGGACGAATTCGTGCACTTTTGAAGTCACCATATCTCTTCGGTGCATAAACCCGGCATCGTAGTTTTTATGTAATTTTCAAATTTGACGATAACTTGGAATTTTAGTGATAATAATTACGCCTCCGTTTGATCACGAACGCATTAAACCAAGATCGTAAAACCGGATTTATAAAAGAATACATTGTTTTCCCCCCTTCCCCTTGAGGAAATCATTTGGTGCCGCTGTTTTCTTGGTGCTACGTAGAAAGAAAAGCAATGAAGGAGAAAAGATGTTTCACCACATAATATTGCTTTTGTTGCAGCTGTTGGACCGGATTGAGTCAATAAATCGGAAAAGATGTCAACTTCAGGAAGCCCTCTTAGAAGAAATAACTCCTCACCGATCATTGGGCAGGCAAAGAAGAAAGCCCATGATAATGGATTTCCAGAGTCCCTTGCTCGAAAATCTATTTCGTCTTCACGCCCACCAAAGTACGTTCTTCAGTTGTTTTGTCTTGTTATTCTGAAGACCTATCAATTCTTTATTACTGCATATGGTTGCCTCTGCGTAGTCTATGCTTGTGGTTCTTCCAAGAGATGGTCCTCGTTACGTTGAATTAATCCTATTCTTACCTTTCCGAGCATTGTCTCTCTATTTGGCAAGAAATGTATCAGGATTGAAATCATTTTCCATTAAATTTGAAATTAACGTATACCTCGTCATCATCCTCTGTTCTTTTTCTTCCATGCAACAGGAAAACAATAAATAGCGACATTTACGAGAAAAATCATTATTTTAGCCATTCTTTGTTATCAGTTTTAACTTTGGACTCAGCTTGTACATGTGCCGTAATTGTGAAGATAGGTGTTTTCAGAATGTCAGCATTACACAAATGCCGCTATATGGAGCCTTGTCTAATCGATTGTTTAATGATGTTAACAGAGGTCCTTGATGTTATACTGCTTTTGGATTAGACTCTAGTCATAATTTTCTTGTCGTCATATTCTCTCACTCCATTGCCACACGATGATGTAATGTGTTTGTATCAGGAAATCTTATATCGCAGATATTGCAAACTAATATCTTATATTATTAAGACGCTTTGGTTTAGAGGTGCTTTAGATAAATACCCGGAGATTTCGTATGTAGAAGCCTTGTTGCTTCATTCCCCTGTCTGACCCATTAAAGAATTCGAGTGAATCATCGGTGATAGTGAGAAAAGATCATGCAATGCTATCTAATCTAATTTTAATACGAGATAAATGCTCGTGACAAATTAGTTTTATCTAAAAGCTTGAGCATGCAAAGATGTTTGAACCCTCTTCACCTCGGAAAGAGTCCAGGAGTTGGTAAAAAGAAAACATTTATTCGGAGCTTACTTTAAGCACATTAGGGACAGTTCCTGCTCATATAATCGAGAACACAATGGGAAAATGAGTTAGTGAATCTATAATTAATTTCAATCATGCAGTCATCTCATCCAATTGATTGTTTTGGACTTGGATTAGGGGATTAACTGGAGAGAGAACAGTAAAATCACTTAGGCTTTCAAAGGCCTTGACAGTACCTGAAACAACATCTATATATGAAGCTTGCCGTCTGATGGCTGCCCGTAAAGTTGTTGCGCTCTTACTAACAGATTCTAATGCTCTACTTTGTGGAATCCTCACGGACACGGTATGATTTCGCCTGCAAAACAAGAACAGTTTGGATCTATTTGTTTTAACACTCATGAATCTTTTTTTGGTTGTTAAAGGATATAGCAAAAAGAGTTATTGCTCGTGAGATTAATCTCGAAGACACGCCTGTTTCCAAGGTTATGACAAAGAATCCAACGTTTGTCCTCGCTGATACTCTTGCTGTGGAAGCCCTCCAAAAGATGGTGCAAGGTTGGTGTTTTACGGGGAGGCACATTTACCTTTAAATGTTACTTGCTATCCTGTTTCTTGATTTTTGAATACAAGGATGATACATTTCACAGGGAGATTCCGACATTTACCAGTGGTGAACAACGGGGAGGTTATCGCTTTACTTGACATAGCAAAATGTTTGTATGACGCTATTGCTCGATTGGAGAGGGCATCCGAGAAAGGAAAAGCAATCGCAGCAGCTGTTGAAGGTATCGAAAAACAATGGGGAACACCGGCTTCTGGTTGGTTTGCCTAGCTCTTGCATTTTTATTCTGGGCATACTTTGGTAGTAAGGTTCTGATTTCTTATTAAACTAAGCACTAATTGCATTGTTTCATGTTAATTGGTCATTGTGCAGGCTCCAATGCATTCATTGAGACGCTTAAGGAGAGAATATTCAGACCATCATTGTCTACAATCATCCCTGAGTTTCCAAAGTAGGTAATACCTTCTTTTATTTGGATTAAAGAGGGAAAGTTATGTTCAATAATATGTGGGCATGCTTGGATTACCAGCCTATCCTAGTTCTTCCAACCGATGGTAACATCTTTCAGGCTCGTAAGAGTTTCACCAACAGAGTCAGTTTTGAAAACAACAAAGAGGATGCTTGAACATGGTGCAAGCGCTGCAATTGTAACAGTTGACAACAAACCTCGTGGAATCCTCACGTAATTATTTTTCGAGTGAAATTAGCTTCTGTCCCCTCTTCTTTTAATTTTACACAAGTAGTTTCAATTTAACTTTTGGTTCCAGTTTATGAGACTCGAAATTTTAGGTTTTTGTTGCCACTATGCATTCTTTGATTAATTCTAATGGAATATAATCTACGTAAAATTCCAGCTCAAGGGATATCTTGATGCGGGTAATTGCACAACATCTGCCCCCCGAGTCAGCCCTTGTTGAGACGGTACTTTTTTCTTTTCATGTGTACAGTTTCATGAGATACTTTATTTCGTTAGCGTTTTCCATTCTTAGATGATGAAACACCTCGCAGTGTTTAGGACAATGTCTTGCGTGCTGCGTGATAGAGAAAACGTGGCCATTTTGGGTGCTCACCCTTTTCTCGTCTTCTTCTCTCTCTCTCTCTACTTTTTGACGTCTATACAACAAAATCTACAGGTCATGACCCCAAATCCAGAATGTGCAACAGTCGATACACCAATTGTTGATGCACTTCACACTATGCATGATGGAAAAGTTTTACATCTTCCGGTGCTTTATAGAGGTAATTCAACAATTTTTTTTTTGGGGGGGGGGGGCGACAGAAGGCTTTAAGCTTTGGGTTTCTGTCTTTTCTGATTACGCTGGTTAAAAACAGATGGCAGTATAGTTGCTGTGGTCGATGTGCTTCACATCACTCATTTTGCCATTGCAACGGTAAGTCAGATGTGTTAGACTCCACTATACACACTGATGACTTCTGAGTGCCTGTGAAATCCATTCCTACTCATCTGCAAAGACATAAAGGCTGGTGGAAAGAGTTTTGAAGTTGAACTACCTGTTTCTGATTCAAAACAGTAGAAAGAATGAGGAAAAGGAAGGGGAGAAAGAAAACTCGATAAATGAGGGGATGAGTACATCTATCTCTCTTTTTCTTAAATGCTTAATGCATAGGAGTAAACATGGGTTAAGAAATTAAATTGGGAGCTTATTAAGATGTATTTTGTCTGGCATTGAGAATCAACATGCTTACTGACTATGGCTTCTAACTAAAATACTCTGTTAACGATCAAGGTTGAACTAGCGGGCACTGTGATACTAAATCTAGTTTTCAGAGATGTAAATGTAATCTTTTGAAAAATTCATGTTGATTGTTTCGTTTTCTTACACTAATCAGGTGGGAAATACCACTAATTTAAACAACGAGGCAGCCAGCTCAATAATTCAAAACTTTTGGGAATCCACCATGGCCTTAACTTCGAATATTGACGATGATGATGATGAGTCACGAAGGTTTTATATCTGAATTGATGTTGCTGGGAGAAATGATCTCAATGTATTAGTGTAGTACTCATGCATTGTTTATGTCATATCAGCAGCAGTTCCTTGAAGATGACTTCTGAGGCTGGCGAAATTGGGAGATCTACTGGGCAAGCCTCGACCAGGATGCCAAATGCATTTTCCTTCAAGTTTCAAGATAAGAAAGGCCGAAAACATAGATTTACTTGCGGTATGGTACTTAACTTTGACAGCATGCAGATGACGACATTGACCTTCTATGTTCATTTACATATGAGAAGATTCATATTGAAGAATTAATCTGCATCTGTCATTATATTTTTATTCCATGTTGCTCTGCATCAGCAGGAGTAGGGCTGTGGTGATAAGTAAACATTTCTTTGTGTTTTGTTGAGTATGATCAAAGCGTGCTACTATACGACTGGATTCCATGTCTAGATTTTGTTTCGAATCAGTAAAAAGCTAGGAGTTGAATGATTTTGATGCTGTTGATTGCAAATTCAGATACTGTGAGCTTGGTAGAGATTATGACTTCAATCATCCAGAGAGCCAATGACATTGACCCACGTTACATGCCCCTAATTCTGGTATGCTTCCGCAAGTTGTTGTATTTTATCCAGCACGACTCAACGCTTCTGCCTCTTTAATGCGAGCTGGTCGAATTTGTTGTTTATAGTACGAGGATGAAGATCATGATCACATTGTAATGGCTTCAGACAATGATCTTGCTTCTGCCGTGGACCATGCAAGGATGGCTGGTCTTAAGGTACGGTTGATATTTGTGTTCGGAGGCACACTATGTAAAAGAAGTTTTATTTAGAGCAGGAAAAGATTAATGGGCTGTTTTGACTGTTTTCTTTTATTAAAATCTGAAATGGGATTGAGAGGAGTTCCAAAATGGAATACAAAAACCCATAACCTGATTTTGGAGTGATGGGATTTTGTAGGCCCTGATGTTGCATTTAGACTACTCAGAAGTACCAAGTGTTGGGAGAAAAAACAGCGCGGGAAGTCTGGATTATGCTCATTCTTCACATAGGTGGAACTCAACATATGGTGCCATAACCGCTGGAGCTGCAATTCTTGCTGTCTTGTGCGTGGTTACATACTTGACATTAGACGGCAGCGACAATTTTTTGACTCCAAACTCTAAACTGAGGTTCAGACAAAGCCTTGAAAAAGAAAACAAGAAGAATTCCAAGCAATACAAGGAATTTGAAATATTCTGACTTTTTTGTGACATGTTGGTATCCCATTCTTTTTTTATGACCGGCCAGTTGCCAATGTGTTATTTCTTGTACCTGTACTCATACACTAAAAGTTAATGTGTATTATTATACCATCAGGTCTAAAGTGCATTGGGTCGTTGATAACATGTCAAGGATAAATAATCTTTAATGTAAAGGACATATATTTTAAAATTTTGAATTTTTCCCCCCAATTTAAAAGGGTAGTTGTTAATTTTCCAATACCAATCCTAACAATTTACGACTATAAACATGTGTGAGGGGTTTGTAGTTTCCGCGGAAAAATACCCCCATCACCCTTGAGGCCTCATTGCAGAAGTGGGCACATGAGCACCATTTCATGTGCCAACTTCTTCTCCCCATCCCACGTGTTATTAAATAAAGCTTGTCTAATCTTGTAACAACCAATAATGCCTAACATTTTTTATTCTCCTTTCCCTCTCTATCTGTAACTTCTGTGATTGTTACTTGGTCCAAAAGAAACGGGGATCCGGATTTGACTTCATCACAGCACTGTACTCTCTTAACCAGGCGGAATAAGCTCTGAAGGTGGCTTCTTTCGTAATATTATCAATTAATATAAAAGCTAATTAAGTAATTTAAGTAGATTAAGAAAATTAGTAAGTTAGTTATTTGTAATAAATAAGTGTTATCTTTTCTAAAATACCTTTGCTAATCAAATGTCATTTGATTAAACATTTAACGTGTGTGATTACTATAAGGACTACTTTGAAAAAAATAAATAAATACGAGAGACAAAATGGATTAAGATCTTTATATTTAGGACCAAATCAAAAATCAAATTAGCTCCTGTACTATCTCCGGTTCTTAATATAAAACCTAATTAACTAATTTTGGGAGATCAAAGAAATTAATTAAGTTAGTTATTTGTAATAAATAGGCGTCATCTTTTCACCAAAAAAAAATAAATAGGCGTCATCTTTTCTAAAATACCTTTATTGATAATGTGTATTAACTAAAACTACTATCTGATAGAACATTTAACATGTACAACTATTATAATAATTATTTTAAAAAAATAAATATAAAAAATAAAATAAATTATAATTTTATATTTAAAACTAAATTAAAAGTTAAACTAAGCCGGAGGAAGTATAAGATGTTTTATTTAAGAAGGGGTGGAACCGGCACCACGGCACCAACCAGGGCTTCACCTACCAGAACGAAGCCCCCTTATGAGGCTGAGAAGTTAGCCCGGCACCTCAACAAATCGCTCTGCGCTCCCGTGTTCCCTTTTTAAAATAAATGAAGTTAGGCTTATAATCCCAACCCTCCATCATTTCTTATTGTATTATTTGACCAGGACCCGGAAGAGCACCGACAGTTTAGTGTACTGTTGTTTGGTACTTCGGGGGTTGAATTTGATAAGGACCAAACTTGTCAACCAGTTCTCCTCCGTCGACTTTACAGTCAGTTTCCATCTCCAACATATTCTTGGATGCATTTATTTGACAAAAACTAAAGTATAAATATGAATAAATGAATCTAAAATATATATATATATACTCATTGTTATATGCCATACGTTACGTTCATTCATAGTTAATTTGAAGCAAATCATTTATATATTGAGCAAGTGTTTCGCGTGCTGCATTGTCTATTAGCGGCCAATCTGACTGAAGTTGGCTTCCAATCATCGGCCGTGCTCTAAACGCGCTAATTAATAACAGTATCTATTACTTTCCAGAAACGCCTCAGTATCAAACTTGTATTATTAAGTCACAAGCATATTAAAACAGGGTCTTCATCTTATTTTCAAGGGTCTAAGGTTCCCCCAAAAAGTCCCGGTCTCTTCACCGTATCGAAGTTGCTTTCATTCTCCATTAATATGATAATTAAGAAAACACGGCCAACTGAAACGGCAGGAATCATCAAATTTATCAAGAAGCCAAGAGCCAACTCTTAGCTTTAAGATTCACGTACTTCAAATCGATTCCTTCCAAATGCACTCAGAATCCCCCCTCAAATTCTGCTCTTTTTGTCTCGTGAAGCCAACTCACACCACGCCTATAAATATTTTTATTATTAAAATAAAAAATTCCCCTACCAATATTTTTAAAATCGGGTTCTTCGGTGCTCCTTTTTTGTCTTTAGAAAAGAGATTCTCTGTGAAAGATAAAAAGCCGACATTGTCTGCCTCACATGATTGTATTTGATCCCCCTACGCGGCTTGACTTTAGCTACGCAAGAGCTTTGAGGGGAAAAAAAGGTAATTGAAAAAAAAAAGAACACTTGATCAATTACTTCACTTCTTTCCGTAGGCGCCACCAAGCATTAAGGCTAAGCTGAACCGCACTAATCCCATTTCCCACGAAACCAGATGCTTATAATCTAGTCTCTACATTCGAGCTCATTAATTTAGTAGAGAAGCATCTCGGGGTGACTGGATTCAAAAGCTCCTATTTGTCCAGTGAACTGCTTCCCGAATTGAACATTGCAGAGAGACAATTCCATTTTCCCAATATATATATTTTTCTGAGCGAGCATGAGTGGAGGAAGAGCCAAACCCAGATCACTACATTTCCTTCCCTCGATTTTCTTCTGTTTTCTCATTTTGTCGTGTGTTTTGAAACCATACCGTGTTTCAGCTTCACAACCCATCAAAACTATCGTAGTTCTGGTTATGGAAAACCGGTCCTTCGATCACATGCTGGGATGGATGAAGAAAGCTATCAACCCATTAATAGACGGAGTCACCGGACGAGAATGCAACCCGGTTTCTACCAAAAACCCGACCGATGACTCCATTTGTTTCACGGATGATGCAGAGTTTGTGGATCCGGATCCTGGCCACTCGTTTGAAGAAGTGGAACAGCAAGTGTTTGGCTCTGGTTCCATTCCTTCCATGTCTGGATTTGTTGAACAAGCATCCTCAGTGTCTCCCAATCTCTCGGAGATAGTCATGAAAGGATTTCGACCCGAATCCGTGCCCGTTTATGCCGCTTTGGTTAAAGAGTTTGCGGTGTTTGATAGGTGGTTTTCTTCGATTCCAGGTCCAACCCAACCAAATAGGCTCTTCGTGTACTCTGCTACTTCTCACGGTTCAACAAGCCATATCAAGAAGCAATTGGCTAAAGGGTATCCTCAGAAGACCATCTTTGACTCTTTGCACGAGAATAAATTGGACTTCGGAATCTACTACCAGAACATTCCAACAGCCTTGTTCTACAGAAATTTAAGGAAGTTGAAATATATATTCAAGTTCCATCAGTATGATTTGAAGTTCAAGAAAGATGCCAAGCAAGGGAAGCTTCCATCATTGACTGTAATTGAGCCCAGGTACTTCGATTTGAAGGGCGTACCTGCAAATGATGACCATCCATCCCATGACGTGGCAAATGGACAGAAGCTGGTTAAGGAGGTGTACGAGACACTAAGAGCAAGCCCTCAGTGGAACCAGACTCTTCTGGTGATTACATATGATGAGCATGGTGGATTTTATGATCATGTCAAGACTCCTTTTGTTAATATCCCTAGTCCAGATGGGAACACAGGACCTGCTCCTTATTTCTTCAAGTTTGATAGATTAGGTGTTCGTGTACCAACTATAATGGTTTCTCCTTGGATCAAGAAGGGGACTGGTAAGTTTCGTCCTTACTCTCATTATCTCTTTGTCATCTTCTACACTGACAGTTAGTCTGTGTTTAATCTGCTCTTAGGAAGACAAACTGATCATTTTACTCTACTCGACTAAGTTTACTTACTTTCACAGGATCATTTTTCTCTGTGTTAGCTGATAATCGATACCTTTACTTTGTGATATAGCTCTGACATGAATTTTGCATCTAAGTGAATAGTTGTCAAGCATGCGTGCTTATCCTTTCTCCTGGGTTTTGACTTCTGAGTGGATTACATAGCAAGGGCTATTTTAAGTTATGTGTTTAAAACTCTTTTGCATCACTGAAGAATCTACGTTCTTTGTGTTCGCATTCTCGACCTTCTACCTCATTGTTTTAATTTGGTGATTTTACAGTGATAAGCAGCACCAAAGGACCTGCAGAAAACTCGGAATTTGAGCACTCTTCCATCCCAGCCACCATAAAGAAGATGTTCAACCTCTCATCTAACTTCTTGACTCACAGAGACGCTTGGGCTGGTACATTTGATCACGTTGTTGGGGAATTAACTTCGCCCCGAACAGATTGCCCAGGTATCTCTCAACTTCTTCAATTCCTTCATGATTGATGGATTCACCTAGTCGGGTTTCCAAATTTTAGTAGAGTGAATTAAGAGGGTTGACATGTGTGATGCAGTGACATTGCCAGAGGTGAAGGATCTAAGGAGCAGCGAAGCAAAAGAGGAAGGCAGGCTATCAGAGTTTCAGAGTGAGGTAGTCCAATTGGCTGCTGTTCTGAACGGCGACCATTTCTTGAGCAGTTTCCCAAACGAAATGAGCAACAAGATGAGCGTGAAGCAAGCTCATGACTATGCGAGAGGAGCCGTTTCAAGGTTCATCAGAGCCAGCAAAGAGGCTATCAACTTAGGTGCACACGAATCTGCCATTGTAGACATGAGATCATCCCTCACTACTAGATCCTCAATTCACAACTGAGAAATATGAAAAAGCAGCAACGAAGCACTACACAATTAAATTAACTGTGACGTGGTGTTCAGTGGTTGTCTTTGTATTGTATTTAGCTAGTCTAGAGATGGTTCAAGCAGTGCAATGCATGCGGCGCTAAAAATGGGAAGCAATTGTTTGTTGAGTAAATAGGTATATCCGTGAATGAGTTGGTAATTACGAACGGAGTCATAGATATTGAATATATAAGAAGTCAGGCATGTTATGTAATGAAACAACTTTGCCATTGTTTTCAAAGTTTGTTGAGATTTAATTTTTAAGATGAAAGTGAAGAGTATTTTGACCTCCGCATGAACTCAATTTCCCGAGTTTGTCTTGGCATCTCAGCAATGTGGCACCTGAAGTAATCATGCTTCATTTCCATTAACTGAATACTTCTCTAAGATTTGTTTCATAAACATGTTAGAGTAGCAAAATAATAACAAGAAACCTCATTAAGGGTCTGTTTAGCTCAATGAGAGAAAGGAGAGGGAGGGATTTTAATGAAAATGAGGGGAGGGGAGTGGAAGGATTTTAATATTATCTTATTTAGATTTATAAAAAGAAAGGGGAGGGGAAGGGTTTTAATATTATCTTGTTTGGTTCATGAGGGGAGGGGAGGAAAAAATATTTTGACATGAACAATTGTACCCTTATTTTATTTAAGGTATAGGCATAATGATCATCACATAGCAAAATATGAACATAATAATCACAACATGACAAAATATTACTTTCCCTCCAAATCCTCCCAATTTTGGAGGGAAGGTTGAGGAGGGGAGGGGAGGGAAAATTTTTAAAATTTTCCCTCCCCTTCTAAAATTTGTGTGTTGCCTAACAAAGAGAAATTATTAAAATCCTTCCTCTTCTCTTCCCTCCAAATCTCTCATACCAAACACACCCTAAGATTAGTTAAATGGATGAAATATTTTTGAAGCATACTTCTGAGACTTCTTTTACCGCTTCTAATAGGGCTAAAGGAATAAGATTTTATTGGATAAAAGCAATTTGAAAGTACTAAAATAAAAAGTACTAAAGCTTGCCTTGTATGGAAGAGTAGAGATTGTACATATACTTTGTTCAATGTTTAATGGGTGCAGAGTTTAAAATATTTCCTGTTAATATCATGAATTGCAAGTCATTTTTTAGACTCATTTAAATGCTAACAGAAGTTTGAGTGGCATATGCCTATTTACAGAAAAGGCACAACCCTCGGTCAGCCACCCTACGGCCTGGTAATTAATCTGAGCCTTGAAGCCGGAGACTGCAAACTGTTTTGGCGATTTCTGAGTTTCACATGTTACACACGGATTAAATACTAACCAATAACAATCCTGCAAGATTACACAATCGGATATTGCATACGTGAGCGTAACTTCAATTTACCGATTGTAAGGAGAATGTCGATATGATAATCAAGATCAGTCTTATCCCTGATACTTCCCATACTAGGCAAAAAGGCACGTGTCATTACTACTTCCCTGTTTAACAGCGATCAAATGATGGATTACATAATATGGTTAGTAAAGATACAATCCTACAAGGCGATGCCCCTAGGACGAATATTTACAAATCATTCCACACTCTCGCTTTTCAAACTACAGTTTCGAAGAGGTAAGCTTTAGCCTATTGAGAGAAGCATGGCTGCCATATACAGCATTTCAAATTAAGGCTTCTATTACCAGGAAGCACTATCCCGCAGATATAATCTAAGTTTTCATCTTTAACTTCAGATAGAATAAGGGCTTTGCCATGCGGATATATCACTGATAAGATCCCGCATTTGATCTATGAGAGACTTCAGGTGCATGTTCTTGTTGGCAAGCTCCTGTATTTACAAACAGAAGTTTATTGGAAGTTGAACACAATAACTCCGACTCAATTTCAAGAGCAGTTAAAAATCTTAGCCAAAACTAAACCATTTCAGAAATAGCATTTTCTTGATGCTAGCTATTGACGCAGCGAACATGATTATACAAAAATCCAAGTTATTTTCAAATTTCAACAAACTAAAACCTGGGTCCCAAGGCTAAAACGACAATCCCACCGTTTAGGCTTTTTATAATAACAAGAACACAGAGATCGAGTTTTAAGCTATTAATTAAAACCTAATCACAAAACCTACCTTTCTTAACCGCGAGGCTCGTTCTTCCAACTTCTCTATGTTAGTTTCATCCGCCGGGCTAGCAGCTGAAGCACTGTCAAATGTTTTTGCCTGTTGTAATTGTAAGAGCCAATTCAGTTTCACTAGGAAAAACAGAAGGCCTCACTACCACTGAAGCAGTTCAAAAGCTCACCCTCGCATCGAGTGTACAAATTTAGAGGCAGCACAGTAAAACAGAGAGAACCAAAAATAAACTATGGCTGCCAATAAGAGAAACATCGTAGTGTCCATAATTTTCATTGATCATATCATCTCAAGCGTCCTCAAAGCCTGTTTTTGTGTGTGCGCGGGTAGGCTGTAGACGGCAGAAAATAAATTTACGGAATGTCTTAAACGTAGATTCAGTTTAACACAGTGAATAGTTTCAAATCCGTGCACATACAAATTCCACCAGCCCACTTATAATAATTTTTCAACTAAGAGACACAAATGCTAAGAATTAACAAGAAACGTTAAACACACTGAAAATTATTAGCAATTAAGCTTTCCAGAGAAGAATAAGAGAATAGCGCAGAAGTTTTTAGTAAAGATCAAACAGATGGAGACATTACCTTCTGAGAGTTGGGAATTGCGGTGAGAATGGATCGAAGCGCAGCGACAGAATTCTTATAGCGAAACCGAGCTTCTTCGAGAGCTCCTCCAGTACCGGCACCAACACTACTCTCCGCGTGTTGGATGGAGTTATCAGAAGTGGCATCACTACTAATGGCGCCATTTGAAGAGTGGGAGGAAGGACCGTTAGGAACCAAATTAGCGGACGCAGCAGACATGGGAGAGGTGGACCACAAGGAAGGGTTGCAGAGCTCGTCATTCATGGAAGAAAGGATCTGGAAAGCGTACTCTATGGTTTCTTCCAGATACTTCTGGCCCTCCATTGCCAGCTCTTGCGTCGTTTTGGGGTTGGACATCATACCATTTACGGACTGTTCTTCCATATCCTCCCAGCTAGCAACCGCTAATTGAGTAGGATTGTTGGAATTCAGATCAAATTTCTGTCTGATCCTCGAGAAAAACACGAGACAGGTGCGATTATTGTAGACAGGGACTTAATCTGGAGATTGGAGAGGGAAAAATACTGAAACCCTAGTAGTCATAAATAAATAAGGGTGTGTTTGGATGAAACCAAACTGTGGTTTGAAAAGTGATTCTGGGAAAATAGATTCTGTGAAAAATAGATTTTGTAAAAAAGTGATTCTGAGAAGTGAGAGTGTTTGGATAGTTGTTATCAGAAACACTTTTTATATATACAAATTACTAAAAAAAAGACATAAGTTAATATGATAATTACAGAAAAAAATATATTTTATGATATATTTTAATTTGAAGGAATAAAATTGTTAATAGTATGTTTTTTACCAACATAATTAATAATACATAAGATAATATAATTAATAAATAATTAATGTGTATATATATTTATAAAATATAAGATTAAATATATTTATAAAAAAATATGTTTATAAAAAAAATAACAAGATACATATCATATAGACCCTCACACTCCCTTTTTTCTCCAAAAGCAAAAAAAATTTTGCTTTTTCCAAAACCACGGTTTCAGAATCACTTTGCAGTCCGTAAAACCATGGTTTGGTTTCCCAAACCATGGTTTTGTTTTTGGAGGGGCTGTTTGGGTAGATTATTCCCCAAACCATGGTTTGGGGTGTCACCCAAACACACCCTAAATCTCAGTAATTGGACTCGACTAGTCGCGAGCCCTCTGATAAATCCGTTGACTTGCTCACTTGATCGTCTGGTCTGAGTTTTTAATCATTGATTTTTTTTTTTCTTGACCTTGTTTTAATCATTGATTAAAGGTTTAAAGTGCGCCAGCATCCCGAACTATTTACTCAGGTGCGTCCAGTGGCCTAAAGTAATTTTGGGTGCATCCAGTGTCCTAAACTAATTAAAATGATGCATCCATATCCCAGGCTAACAGAAATATTATATTTAACCGTTAATTTCTGACTCGTTTAAAGTTGACCCCATATATTCTAAATGGTAGACATATGGACATTTGATGTGTATTATTCTTACTCAAAATTGAATTTATTTCCTTCCTCTTCTTCTAAATAAATTGACTTTTGAGTAAGAATAATACACATCGGGTGCTCATGTGTTTACCATGTAGAATATATGGGGTCAACTTTAAGTTGAGTCAAGAAAGTAACGGTTAAACATAACATTTATGTTAGCCTAGGATATGGACGCACCATTTTAATTAGTTTAAGACACTGGATGCATCCAAAATTACTTTAGGCCACTGGACGCACCTGGATAAATAGTTCGGGATGCTGGGCGCACCTTAACCCTTTATTAAACTTCGGCGAAGAGTTTACTGAAGAAAATTTATTACTGATCGACTCCTAAATATGAATCTACTTTGATACTACTATCTCTGCTCTTTAATATAAGATATTGTTTGACTTTTATTTTGGTTCTAAATATAAAACTCCAATCCACTTTGTCTCTTATATTTATGTATTTTTTCTAAAGTAGTCCTTCCAGCAATAGTAGTTCTACCCAATATACTTGATTAGTAAGGATATTTTAGAAACGACAACACATATTTATTATATATAACTAACTTAACTTCTTTCCTTAATCTTCTTAAATTAGTCAACTAGCTCTTATAATTAAAACTAGATGTAGTATTACATTGGTTTTATATTTAAAATAGGAGGAGATGCATTTTTTTATTGGCAACAAAATTTATTATTCATAGGCAGGACAATCACATTGCCAATTTTCTTGCCAAACTCTCTTGAGGGATAGAGTAATTTTTGTATCTTTGATCAACCTCCATCTCTGAATCTATAGGAGAAAAATGACGAAGAAGGATAGTTGCAACTGTTTACTTGTTCTAGGTAATGTTATCCAGTTTTGATTCAAAAAAAATTATTATTATTATTTATTATTATATTACTGTAATATGTTTCATACAATATTAAATTTAGAAAAACATTGCCAAAAATTTTGGAAAAAATATAATAAGATATTCGCCGGACGCAATAAACATAAAAATAGAAGTAAAGTCATATGATATAATTATTCTTTTACCAGCATACAATATATTTACTCCAGTATAATGTACTACCTCCTGTGATAATTATAAGGTGTTATTTATAATTTATAAATAAGATTTTATCATTAAGACTGAAAATAATAATAATTATTCTATTATAATTTCAGAAAACATATTATCGCCTATAAATTTGAGGAAGTAACTATTTTGCCCCTTGGTCGGGAAAACAAACGGTAATGTCTGTAAGGCGGAACAAGTGAGAATGGCAATAGCAACCAAGTGAAATGGATAAGGAAGCCCAAAAAAGATGAGCTTCATTGCTCGTATTCTTCTCCCGACCATCGCTTCTTCCCCACCAAACTCGATTCTGCAACTACCTACTCCGGTTCTGAAATCCCACAATCGAAACCCTACACCCGTCATCCTGCCTAATCTCCTCTCTTTAGTTCTCGCCGTATCCTTCACCTCTCCATTACCTGCTTCCGCTATCCCTTCCCTCAATTCTCAGTCCTCGCCTCCCATCTCCCTCACCACTCCTTTTTCTCAATCTAAGAACTTGCAGCTTGGGCTAGAAAATGGGTATGTCAATTTTGAACAAGATGTTCTGTTTCTTTACTTGTTTTATCATTTAAAGGAATGCCTTCTGTTGGTCTGTGTTCAGTATTTTCTTAGTGTTCTTTTGTTGGCAGAAAAATTTTGCCTTGCCCTTCGGTCAATCCAGGTTGTATATCCACGAACCCCAGGTCATCTTCGTTTGCATTCCCTTGGACGATTCCTGAAAATTCATCAGACGATGCAATGCAGGTAACTTCAAAACTATTCTATATTTCCACTACCTCAATCTATAATTGTTCCCATTTGGATTATATCAGTCAATATTCCTGATTGGTAACGTTTGTTGCCATTTCCTTACCTAGAAATTGAGCGAAGCAATCCAAAAGACCCAGAAAAATGTGAAATTTCAGCCCGTGGAAGACACTCCTTACGGTAATAGTAACCCCTAGTTTTCGGAATCTGATAAATAATTAATGCTTCACGTCCCGGATTCTGGAACAACAGCAAATAAATGTGGCATGAAACAAAAAGAACAAGCAAAAGAAACCCTGTTTTCCAACAAAATGCAATACTGGAATGAGGAAGAAACTAGTATAGAGTTCAGGGTTAAAAAGTCAATAGTTTTGCATATAAAAAGGAGGGGTTTCAGTATAATAATATGGCCAGTTAGTTTAAAACGGTGGCTTCACTGATTATGAAGCGAATGTGCAGGGAGATATTTACAAGCTGAGGTTGATGGGGGATTTGGCAAAGACGTGCTTGAGTTCCTAGTGAAAGGAGATGTGGTTACTTACAGGTGTATGGCTACAAAAGTAACCTACGTGTATCCTTTCACTACAGCTTTAGGAGATTCCAAGGGTCAGGAAGCTAGACTCAAGCAAATTAGGGATCAGTTAGGCTGGTTTGCTCCGGATTTTGATTCCATGGAATAAGCTTGCTTCTTCTTTTGCTGTATTAGCTCTCTGATAATGACATTCGCACGTTGCCGAGTGACTCTGTGCCTATATTCTGTATTGGGATGGGTCGTGTGGCTTTATTCCATATGCCGGAGGCATTATTCTGCCTTTCCTTTTTCTTGTTCATTTTCGTTATTGTTTTCACCAGTCTTCCTGCGCCGTGTTCAAGTTAATGAAAATTAAAGCGTCCTACAGAAATATCGAAACTCAGTTCAATAAGCTAAAGCACAAAGCCAGAAATAGCATCACCGCAAGATCCATTGGGTTCTAAACCGCCATTACAGCAAATGGTTAGTTTTGTGGTGGATGACGAAATTTTTTTACTGCCAGGTGTTGCTGATTTGTAACTTTTTGTTATTGATTTGATGAAGTATTCAGTTTCGATTTTAAAAAACTTACGGAACACGTAACCGGAAAAAAACGGGGAAAGAAAGGAGCTTATGGACCAATTTTGAAAGCATATCACAAACTCTGTTGCTTTTCTGATGAGGCATTGTGTAACAATGGATTCGCGGTCTTCTTTTTAAAGATTCTACGAGGACATGGATATCGTTTTCAAGTTTTCCGGAAAGGCTACCTAAAGACCAACTTCCTGATATTTCCCGACTCCTTAAATATCTATTCCATCGCACCTCATCGGAAAGACGAAGATATTGTGAATTCCATGAAATATCTTCCACAAAAGGCCCAACGTCATCGCCATCTCCAGTTCCAACAATTCATTGCTTTTAATTAAATAAAATTTAATCAAGAATCACCCTCCACACATTCTGGGAAAATTTAGCAGATGGGTTCATATTATTCATAAATCATAGTCATTAAACCCATGATACAAGATCTAAATGATCTGATATTGGTGAATACGTAAGTAAGTTTTTTTATTTTAAATTTTTATTGTTTCGTGATGGTTAATAATTGACTCGAATGACCCGGGGAAAAAGCAAGGGAGTTGACCGTAATAATAAGGACACGTCACTAGATATTTAATAAGATCCCGCCATATATACACACAACAGGGAGAAAGCAGAGAGAAGATAATGGAGAGAAGGGAGAGAGTGAGTGAGAAATGGAAGGAGTTGATGAGAGAGAGATGGGTGGTGTTCGTGTGTTCGATGTGGGTGCAGTCATTTGCAGGGATGGCTTACATGTTTGGCGCCATATCTCCGGCCATCAAAGCCACCATGGGCTACAACCAGAAGCAGCTGGCTCTCTTAGCTGTGGCCAAGGACTTGGGTGACAATATCGGATTTGTTGCTGGCAAACTCAGTCAAGTTTCCCCAATCTCTCGAGTTTTAATCGTCGGTGCCCTTCAGAATTTCGTTGGTTACTTCCTTCTCTGGCTTGTTATCACCCACAAGGTCCCTTCTTTACCCCTCTGGGCGGTAAGCCACTTCACTTTCTAACTTCTTACACCTCAGTATCAGAGTATCTGGACTTGTTCAACTCTGCTTTCTCATTTTGCCTTCATCTATTTTTAGAATATTCGGTGAAATATTCCCCTCTGTAATTATTGCTTCGTGCTCCGTCGTCTGTGAACAGATGAAAGTGTTTCTCATTGTTGTTAAAATATATTATATTACCTCTTTAATAACTTTTTAAAAGAAAATATCTCCTTATCATGTCTTGACCCGGGCCTTGCTTCGTGAAAAATGATCCCAGTGACATGACATGACACATTAAAAAATCTTAAAGTAAGATATTTGCTCACGTAATATTCTTTGAAGAAAAAATGCTAATGGACAACTTGACTTTTGACGAAATCAAGCTTCTCTCAAATTTGTTTAAAATTTGAGAGTGGGCTCTTGACTCCCCGTAATAATTTGAATCAATCAATTAATTTTGTAGGGATGATATGTTGATTTAGGCATCCATATTCTTCTACCTCATCAGCAATAGACTAGACGGCCCCTCCAGCAACATAATTCCTCCTCTTGTTTCCTGTTTCTCTTGTTGCTTTGATACTATTGGACGGAGATTAAAATCTTGAGACCCATGATAAGCTTAATTATTCATGAATTCTTTTGGAGTTACGAATTGAGTTTAACTTGAAGTATGGGAGGGTTAAAGAGAGTAAAGTGTTGACCAGATGTTAATTTGCAGTTATGCATTTGTATATTTGTGGGAAATAACGCCTCCACATACTACAACACAGCTACTCTGGTTTCGTGCGTGAAAAACTTCCCAGAAAACAGAGGACCCGTGGTGGGGATATTGAAGGGCTTCGTTGGGTTAAGCGGTGCGATTATGACTCAAATTGTTGCCATCTTCAACACTCCTGATCAGGCCTCTCTCATTTTCATTATCGCCGTTGGACCCTCCATGGTTTCTCTATCTCTCTGCTTCATCGTCAGACCCATTCATAGTCACCAACAAGCTGGAAGACCCTCTCATGGTTCGAGCTTCTTGTTCATTTATTGTGTCTGCCTCCTCTTGGCCTCCTATCTTATGGGAGTTTTGATGCTGCAGAATATGATGGACTTGAACCAGAGCACCATCAAATTATTTGGAATCATTCTTATCATTCTCATATTACTTCCCATCATAGTTCCCATTTACTTAGTTTTCTTCTCAAAACCCAATACTCCAGACGAGGAAGAAACCCTTCTTGTTGACCCAGCAATGACAGAAAATTTGAACGGGGCTACTGTCGTTGAAGATAGAGAGGAGTATACGGGAAATTCAGTAGCGGAAGGGCCCAGGCAAATTGTTCAAATGCAAGCTAAGATTTTTCAGGCACTGACGGAAGCAGTGAAGAGAGTGAAGCAGAAAAATGGGCCACAAATAGGAGACGACTTCACCTTGATTCAAGCATTGGTCAAGCCTGAGCTATGGCTTGTCTTCTTCGCTCTAGTGATGGGGTCTGGAACAGGCTTGACAATTATAAACAACATGGGTCAGATTTGCCAGTCTTTGGGAGATAACAATGCAAGTGTATACGTATCCATGATCAGCATATTCAACTTCCTGGGTCGCGTGGGTGGAGGCTACTTCTCAGAAGTCATCGTAAGGTGCTCATTCAACTAAACTCTCAACTGCTATGACAAAAATGAATGACTTAAACTTTATAAAAGATGTATCTCAGAGAATTGTGTTTTTTAACAGAAAATTTGCGTACCCAAGGCTGGTGGCGTTGGCGGCGGTTCAGGCGATAATGATAGTGGGAGTTTCATATTACGCGATGGGATGGAGTGGGCAATTATACGTGGTGACCATATTGACCGGGCTCGGGTACGGGGCCCACTGGGCGATCGGGCCGGCAACAGCTTCGGAGCTATTCGGGTTGAAGAATTTCGGGGCGATCTACAATTTTTACACGCTGGCCACTCCAACTGGCTCCCTGATTCTATCTGGTTTGGTATCAAGCACTATATACGACTATTATGCAGAACAGCAACAGGAAGGAGCCAAGGCGAAGGATGGGAATGAGTTGCTTGTTTGTGAAGGAAACATATGCTATTCTGTAACGTGTGTAATCCTGGCGGGGGCTTGCTTGATCGGAATAATGTTGAGCTTGACGGTAGTTCACCGGACTAAGAGGGTCTATGCCCGACTTTATGGCAAGCCTCTTCTGACTTGAGAGCGGAATAAATCAACTACATACATATGTATATATCAGAACATCAAGAAAGTGTCACGCAAATCATTAATGTTTGTGACGGCACTCTGTGTGTGTATGTGTGTTTCTTTTCTGTTCTTTTTGTTTATTGAGCCAGAGGTAGAGGAGGTGTTCTCGAGGATCTCCTACTGGCCCCTGTTATCATTGGCAATGAGAGAACGGCGTTTGTTTGAATTTGAAGGCCATTCTTTCATGCATCTTCCTTTTTCTTGTAATTATACAGTCGGCTTACAGCTGCGTCACCTCGTTTTGTTTTGTTTTGTTTTGTTTTTTTAAGCCAAAGTCACCTCGTTTTGTTATGGTGTAAATAATCAAGTAAACTTCTGTATGTTTCAAAGGTGTTCTATTTCTTGCAATTTCATGCGTGCCGTTAAATTTTTCATTTTCTTTCATCATCTCTCCCAGTCTCTTCGGAAACTAATCCTTTCATCGAATTCTTTAAGGAAAAAAAGGTAATATTCTCTCACTACTCTGACATCAAAGGAAAAGCTACAGTACCGTTTGTGTTATACAGTACAGATTACAGAAGTTTCTGTAATGATGCGGTGGCACAGTAAAAAAATGATTTGGTTTCTGTATCCCAGAAAAGAAAAGAAAAGGATACAGCCATATTTTGAAAGGAACATCACGACCACAGTGGGAGTCGAACCCACGACCTTCTGATCCGAAGTCAGACGCGCTAATCCACTGCGCTATGCGGTCGGCAACGGGTGCGTCGACGATTTCCTTCTCATATTGAGGATACGTAATGCGGCCGGTCTCCCTTAACTGATTGTAGGATCCTTTCGCTCGTGTGGCTCTTGCATAGTTGCATGCGGCTTTGCCAGAAAGTTTGCCGATAATGACTCAGTTTGAATTATTTTATTTGTGTTGAAGAGCTGTGGACCCTTTTCCAGCCTTTCCGTTTCTTTTCTTCTCATGCACCATTGTTGTCACTATTCCTATATATCCAAAACACATGATAACAAGCTTCTCTCGAACTCATACACATATGTGTGTGTATATATATTTCAGAATCAAACATGCATGCTCTGCCTTCGCATTATTATTATGACAACTTCTCCGAATAAGGTTTCATTATGATATTTCAAATAGTAGTTTATATTACTCCTCCGGTCCTAATTATAAGACCCAATTAACTTATTTGAGGAGATTAAGGAAGTAAGTTAAGTTGGTTATTTATAATAAATAAGTGTTGTCATTCCTAAAATATCCTTGTTAATTAAGTATATTGGCTAAAACTATCATTATTAGAAGGATTATCTTGAAAAAAAATGCATATAAGACAAAATGGATGGGTCTTATAATTAGGACCAAATAAAAAGTCAAATTGGGTCTTATAATAAGGATATATATATATATATATATATATATAATATGTTCCAATCTTTCACCATATACACATTGCTGGTTGGAGGCTTTTGGTGTTATTGTTAACCCCTCTTGTTTCATTTGCATAATTGTTAACAGTAACAGCTCAAGCATGAAACTATATACATACATATGTATGTGTGTGTGTGTATGCTGCTGATTGATTATGCGAGTCAATGACCTATAGTTTAACAGCATTAATATAGTTTAACAATAGTGAGATAATTTGAGTAATTCAATGTAGCGTCAATCCCATACAAGAGAAGGAAAAAAGAGAATCAAAAGATTGCAGCTTCACGCATATGATATTTTGGATTTCATCATGAGTATTAATGCAATACATATATCATCGAACCTAACATTTCTCAAATAAATTGTTCAGCCCTATATAAATTCGAGAATGTGATGAATATCTCAACTAAATATTAAGTAAGGAAAATAATTGCTTCAAGGTCATGTTAAGTTTTCAATTGTACATAGATATATGTCTTTTTTTTCATATGGATTTATAACTTAATGATAATATTATAAAAGCAGGACCTATGACTATAGATGGAAATTAGGATTTGCTCACCTAATGCTAATAACTTATAAATAAAACCACAGAAATATATGTTAATGACTTCCTTTGAACCTTAACATATCTTAAATATTTATTTGATATGATTTTAAATAGGATATAAACATTAAATTGAGTGCCTTTAAAAATATCTAATAATTAAATTTTGGTTAAAAACAAAAACAAATTCTCGAACGTTTAAAGCTTCCTTATATCATTTATTGATATAATAAATGCTATTACACTGAGTAAATGTCTAACCATTGTTAGGAACTGACTATGGCCAAAAAAAAAAAATAAAGGAAAGAAAGCCATGCAACTATATAAATACAAGCCATAGAGAAAAATTTCATAGCTTATTTCGGGGGTAGCCTCTTCTTGCTAGGGCTGAAAAATATTTTTACCGAGAGAAACCGAAGTCAGGATTCCTTCTTTTGGTGGTTGATCTCGGTGTTATAACTGATGAGGTCGACATCAATTTGTGAATAAAGCCTCATCAATTGCGGTGCTACAAATCGCTTATCTGCACGTAGGTAAATTTCGTATCTACTCCTAAATTCTCTCTGATACAATGTAATATGGTGGCTATTATTGCTCCGTAACGAAGTTTGTTGTTAAATAGGTAGAATTTAGGGTTTGAGGTCAGAACTATTGAGATTGAGACACATTGAATGTTTAATCTTAGCTCTTGTCTAAACCTGCTGAAACTTCAGCTTTAAGAAAGTGATTTTGCTACTTTTGAGGCTCTTAGGATATATGTTTCATGTCTTAAAATTTTAATGCGAATGTTCTTATACACTCCTTCGTGATTGTTTTTGTTTTTCATTTTCGTAGAGCTGTCTTTGAGAATTTACTTCTGCGAGAAGTATCCCTTGTTTTGCTTTTCAAATGCTAAAACAACAATTATAATAGCTGCCTGGTCTTGCATTTTTCAAATATGTAATGCTTTCTGTTTTTCTTTGCTAGTGAAACATAAACTAATCATTTTGTTTCATCAGAAACGTTTTGGCAATTCCAAAGGTTAATGGGAGAAGATAGTCAAGATTGAGGATCTGAAAATATATTGGGAACATCACACCACGAAATCTGTTATTCTTGTTCGAAAGCTCGACATAAGTATATTGAGCTTGTGGATCACTAGGTCATTTTGCAATTAGATAATGAATTATTAGACTCTGGGAATTAATGCATCACACTGAATAGAATTTGGATGTTTATCAATCGCTATATCTGTTATTTAGTCAATATTTTCACTGTTTCATTGATAATAACACCATCCTACCACTATCTGTTTGTTTTTTCTTTCCTTTCATTGGCAAAGTTGTTCTGTCATTGTAGATTGATTATTTCATTTATCAGGATCCTATAATTGAGAGAAGCACCTTTACTGTGCATGTGAATTTGTTGTACTCTCCACATAAATATTAGCCGCCAAGTCGTCATTGATATCACCGTGGTGCATGCATAAATGCAGAGAAGCAATTAAGGAAGAGTAATTAGCAGTCATTTAGAGAAAAGTACCAAGAATGGAATGTAATAAAGAGGATGCCATGAAGGCTAAAGAGCTTGCTGAGAAGAAGATTTTATAGATGGATCTTGCTGGCGCAAAAACGTTTGCCTAAAGGCTCAAGACTTGTGTCCTAATCTTGTTGGTCTTCCTCAACTGCTAGCAACAATTAAGGTTTATGTTGCTGCTACTGAGAGAAGAAAACATGGGGAAGTTGATTGGTACAAGGCTCTTGGAGTGGACCTAGTGGCTGATGATGAAACTATTCGAAGGAGTTATAGGATCTGGCTCTAACGCTACACCCTGATAAAAACAAATCAATAGGTGTAGGTGGGGCTTTTAACTTAAATCTCTCAAGCATGGAATTTCCTGTTTGACAAAGCAAAGAAAATCTTGTATGACCAAAAGCACAATTCATGGGGTAGAAATAAAGAAACTCCACATGGGAAGTCTTCTGTACCAGCTGGGGGGAATGGTTTCTTTAATTCCTTCAATAATGCCGGTTGCAGAGATAGAGACCCCAGGAGTTCTGCTCATCCCAATCCTCCTCACGCACCTCTTGTGACCACAAAGCAAACATTTTGGAGCATGTGCATTTTTTGCAGGGCAAAGTTTGAGTACTCTTCAGCTTATCTTAAGTGCAATCTTTCTTGCATGTTTTGTCGTAGGCTCTTCATAGCTTTTGAGGTACTAACCCCATCTATATACAGGAATACTTCATCCACCTCAGAAGGAAGAATCTTGAAGAATAGATCATCTAAGAATCTGAAGAGAGCGCATGAAGATAACACAACTCCTGTCGTGATGGAAGAGGCCCTTTTTGGGAAAACTCAAGCTTTTAAGATAGTCAATTTCGGTTTAGCTTTTCAATCCTCTTGTTTTGGCTCTAATTCTGTTCCAAAAAGAGATAGGCTAAGGAAAAAAAGGCACATAGATAAGTGCAGAGAGGATAATGATAGAAAGGAGATGGAAGCGGGAATGGCACCTCACAATGAAGGAATAAACATGGGTGATGAGCATGAATCTCACAAGGGTCGTTATGAGACACAGACAGTGAATGCTACTAGAAGCTGCGAACATATTGGAATGAGGGATATGCCCCAACTGCAAATAAGGAACATGTTGATGGACATGGCTAGAAAGGATATTTGAATAAAGCTTGATGAATCAAGAGTTGCTTTTGTATTAAGGAATTTAGACAAGTTGAGGAATACTAACAAGAAAGCAAGGGAAAAGTGCAAAGGGAGGAGTAGGCATGCTGTGAAATCTGGTGCACAAGAATTTCAAGAACTTGTTGATTTAGAGACCGGGGCAAAAAGCACTCCTCTTCTGATACTGAGATTCTTGTTGCTGAAGCAATTGATTCTTAGTCTGTGAGTGTTCCAGACCCGGACTTTCATGATTTTGACAGTGACCGCACTGAAAAAGCCTTCGATGAGAATCAGGTGTGGGCTGTTTATGATGATGATGATGGTGGCATGCCTTGTTACTATACTTTGATCCATGACATTATTTCATTAAAGCCCTTCAAAACGAATACTAGTTAGCTTAACTCCAAAAGCAATGATGAACTAGCGCCAATAAAGTGGATTGGTTTTGGCTTTACCAAGACTACTGGTGATTTTCGGATAGGCAAGCATGAATTTAAAGGTTCTATTAATTCTTTCTCTAGTAGAGTCAAGTGGAAGAAAGGCTTAAGAGGAGTTATAAGTATACATCCGATGAAAAGGGATGTCTGGGCTCTCTATAGGAACTGGTCTCCAAATTGGAATGAATTGACTCCCAATGAAATCATACATGAACATGACATGGTCAAAGTGCTTGACAACTACAATGAGAAATGAGGTGTAACGGTTGCTCCACTAGTTAAGGTTGCAAGTTTCAAGACAGTATTCTGCCAGGATGTTGATCCTCGAAATATCAGGAATATTCCCAAGGCTGAGATGTTTCGCTTGTCACACCAGGTGCCTTCGCACTTGCTTACTGGTCAAGAAGGTGTTAGTGCTCCTAGAGGTTACCTGGAGCTTGATCCTGCTGCTTTACCTGTGAAACTTCTTCAGGTGGTAACAGAAGCACCAGAGCCGAAAACAGAAATGACGACCAGAAAATCTTCAGAAGAAACAATAGGGGCTACACAAAATTCCAAAGAAAATGTGGAGATCAAGACATTTCAGATAACCAAAGAAAAAGATTCTGTAGAAGATATTCTGGGAAAAGTAGTAGCTGAAGCAATGAAAAAGAAGGAAAATATGCAAGAGAATTTGATTGCATATAAGAGGAAGTGTAGGAGGGGAAAGAGAGAGGTGTAAAGTAGCAAGGAGTTTGTTAGAGACAGAGCCACCTCTTCTTGCCTAGGGACAGGGTTATGCAGAGTTTCTCCCATTTATAGTTTGATAGCGGCGAGGATAGTAGAAGTCAATCTCAAAAACTTCATACCTTAAAGTCGATAGTTTAATATAAATTAGTCCAGAATTTGGTATTTATATTTTGTTTTACCTTTTGTTTCTAGTCATGCATTAAAATATCGATATGGATTTGGATCCTCAAATTTGATAGAACAAGTTAGCTGCTTTTGCTACTGTTGTCGTTCTGCAGTTTTACAGTAAAGTTTGAAGTTTTCTTCGAGGGTTATTTCTACTACAGTATTTCATTGATTTCGAGGGGGACTAGAAATAGTTTTTTAAAAATGAATTATTTCATTTCCTTCAAAAGGTTTCAGGGAAAATGACAAATAAAAAAGCTGAAAAATGTAATATTTCAAATCAGGCATCTAAGGGTTAAAAATACTAAAAAGAAAGTAGTATCTGATATGGTATTTTACAAATTAATTAAATGACTAAATGCTTTTGTATCAAAAAGTTTATTAACAAGTGTTGAATAACAAAGCTCAAAAAAATATTGGTAATGACAAATTGTTTATTAATAAGCTGTGAACTAACAATAATAAACATTGAACAGCTAATAACAAAAAATATAATGACAATAACAAGTTTGATAGCTTTTTTTTTTTCAAATATGATATAAGGGCATTTTAGTTATTTAATTATATTTGCAAAATACCAGATTAGAAACTATTTTCTTTTCTATCATTTTTAACTTTTAGATGTCTGAATTGGAAAATGAAATTCTTTTTTTTTTGTTGAAATTTTTCCAAGCTTTTAAAATGATGCACTACCGGGATTTTTTTTTTTTGGTGAGTAAACTAAATTAGTGACCTTTCTATTCAAAAGTCATTTATAACATTTAATTAATTTATTCATCTAAGAACTTTTTTCGCCGACTAGTTGAGGTAACAAATCTGTATCTACATTGGCTGAAATGGGGTGCATTTAATTAATTATTTGCATTCTGGATTCTGGCGCATAGAACGAAATCCTGAATTGACCGCGTCTCTCCATCGGGTTAAATCTCATGTTACAGCTGACTTACGCCTGACTCGGCCTCTTCGTAGTCAAGAAGATGATCATTGGGTTAAAAGTCATTCTCATGCAATAAGGGAAAATTATCTTGTTTGCCCCCCCAAAAAAAAAAAAAGAACAAAAGAAAATTATTTTCGCACATGAAAAGTGCAAACAAACAGGTCGTACAGGAAAAATAGGAAAGGGCGGTCAACTAGCGTGACAAACAATAGAAAGAGGTAGGAGAAGTGGTAAAATAAAAATCAGAAGCGCCCAAAAGAGAGAAAGGGGAAGAGGGGGAGAGAGAGATCCCGGTCGGCTGGGTTGTATTGTACCTTATCCCATCCATCCGAGCATCACATTCCAATAATCCAATACGAATACGTTTGGGTTTGTTGTCTGCCACACAAAAATCAGAAATCCCCCTGAATTTTCGTTCACCCTTCGATCAAACCCTCGAAGAAGAACACGCCCATTTGGCCAATTCTGGAGAATCCTTTGCCCCATGGAGAACAACCAGCACCAGCAAGCCCAGTCCTCCCCGTACCCACCTCAAACCCCTGCTCCTCCTCCTTTCCACCACCTTCTCCAGCAGCAGCAGCAGCAGCTCCAGATGTTCTGGTCTTACCAGCGCCAAGAAATCGAGCATGTCAACGATTTCAAGAACCACCAGCTCCCCCTTGCTCGAATCAAGAAGATCATGAAGGCCGACGAGGACGTCCGCATGATCTCCGCCGAGGCCCCCATTTTGTTCGCCAAGGCCTGTGAGCTTTTCATCCTTGAGCTCACCATTCGATCTTGGCTCCATGCCGAGGAGAACAAGAGGAGGACCCTCCAGAAGAATGACATAGCCGCTGCCATCACCAGGACTGATATCTTTGATTTCTTGGTCGATATTGTGCCCAGAGATGAGATCAAGGACGAGGCTGGCCTTGGTGGCATTGTGGGTACCACGGCCAGTGGTGTTCCTTACTATTATCCTCCCATGGGCCAACCTGCTGGCCCTCCAGGAGGCATGATTATTGGACGGCCGGCCGTGGATCCCACCGGAGTGTACGTGCAACCTCCATCGCAGGCTTGGCAGTCGGTATGGCAGACAGCCGGTGAGGATGGATCATATGGTAGCGGTGGCAACAGTGGACAGGGCAACCTTGATGGTCAGAGGTAGGATCTTAGCCTTTTGGTCCTTTCAAATTCCACAAACGAGTAGCTTTCTCATTTAACAGTTTCCGATGTCGATAATATCAATTGGTAAGTTGTTTAGAAGCAGCGAGACTTGCTGTTTTTCCCGTTGTTTGTATAGGCTTTAGGTTAGGAAAAAATTGGAATGGAATTGGAGTGCTGCTGCATGTTTGTTTGTGATGAAGTGACGGATATTTTCCTCGTTGTTATGGTACATGGCAGAGGTTTGAACTTCTTACCCAGTGACTTATGTAAACTAGTCCAAATGGGATCTTGTTTATCTGCGATTATATAGGGCTGTGGAACTTAAGGCCACCTGCATCTTCTGTGGCAAATTAGGAGCTCGATATCAAGTTTGTGAGTTTGGTGTGAGTCACGGCCGTTCTCCTCATAACTTTATACCGTCCATTGCCACTTGAGTGCGGTCGCTTAGCGCAAAACTTCAATAAGTGGACGGATTTATGAAAGCAATAGGCCCTAATAGGAAAGGACTTGTAAGAGCTTCATTCTGAAAAGCTTTTAAACTTGTAGGGGCATGTTAAAATGGTTGTTGGACGAGTAAGCGTAACGCAACGATGATGGAACGGTCTTTGTAGGAGTCTGATTTTTTGAACATGCATGTGCTGCATATCGCCTATAAGGCAATTCATGAATTTTTATAATATTACTTTATATTCATGATTTATATTGAAGCACTCTGTTGTTGGCTTTTACCTGTTTCCTAAATAGATATTAGTACTGTTCTTCAGATGTCTTCTATTCTTTTATTCTCTTAGTCAAACCGATCTCACCCTCCAATCTAGAATACAGTAGGACCTTGAGAATAAATGATTGTTGATGTTGGCCATTATCTTTGCTACTTTAGTTCGTCATATATAACTTGGTGCTAGTTGGTTCCACAATCGGATAATTTTGGTTAGAATTAGAGCAGAAGGATTAAAGTTACCAGCATGTTCAGTTGTTTCATATGATGCATAAGCTGCAATAGTCAGGTTACAAGAGATGTTTAGATTGAACTTGAAAGTGTGGCTGACAGGATTTTTAGGTCTATTTTCATAATCTAATGGTGAGATTCCTGAGAAGATAAATACATGTACTGTCAAAATATAATTTTTCTACGAGTTTTTTCATGCACCATATGCATACCTTTTGGCTCTGAAGTCATTTTCAGAATTGAAATTTGCTTTTCATCAGATGTTTGTCCTGTGTAAACATTTATAGTTTGACCACATATGCAGATAAAATTACTAGATTTAGAGTTCTCAAGTTTGTGATTTTGAGAATGAGTGGAAGATTCATGATGATGATGAGAGACTTGTGCGTGCAAGTCCATGTCTTTCTCAAAGGAAGACAACATCTGATTTGAGTTTGGGGATTCTTGTTGTTGGAAACGTGAAATGTTCTTTGTCTTCCTTCATACTTCGCACTTCCTAAGTGTAGATCAGTTCATGATCATGTTTCGGCTGTCCCAGCCCAGTCCCACCTCCACCTTTTTATGTTGTTATTTTCATAAGTCAGGGAAGAGATGACCGAAACAAATTTCAGTAGCAATCTGATTAGGCTACTGAACTTGTTTCTATCTTTGTCACATTTATGTTTAACTGAGTTTATGCTGTAACAATTAGTCCTAATTGGCCCTTTCAATTTTAGCAACCATATAAACTGTAAACATGCAATTCCTTTCTTTATCATATACCTTCTTGTTGGAACATTAATTATTGAAATACCGTGAACGGAAAATTGTAGCTCACCAGTATCTTTTAGGGCTGTAAATGATGGATTATATTTCAGATCACTATATTAAACACTGAAAGACAACATTTTTTCCCCCCCTGAAAGCATTTTAGTATGGCTTTAACCCGGAATGAAGTCGCTGCATAAATGCCTGTGAGTCTTCCCTTCATGGAATACCCATAATCTGTTGCTCCGCCTACTAATCCATTGGAAAATTTGGTATGGTTTCTCATGAACACATATGAAAAGTAAATTTCCGGGGGGTAATCTGATGCCCTCCATGAGGGCTATAATTTACTGGTTCAACATGCGTGCCTTTGCTGCATTAGGTGATGTTGGTTGTATGAAATTATTTTGCGTAGAAATTTTAGAAGAAATACTGACTCGAAATATTTCGTCCAGAAATGCGATTAAGTGGCCCTTTTATACCGTTTGGTTTGTCACGCATGCTAGTGACCAAAAATGGGTCTGACGCCATTTGCAATCCTTTGTGTTTTTTGCAGTTGAGCAGCGATTATTGCGAATGATGCCGGTGTTGACTGTTGGGGTTATGAAGTTGGTGGCGTTGTGCTTGGAATTTTTGATTGCTTGTGATTTAGAAATGCTTTGTTAACTATTAATTTATACAGGATGACGTTTCAAACCTGTTAACTTGATCCAGCAATTAAACAACATCATGATTTAACTGTTTGATGTACAAATATCCGTAACTGATGAACACTGATCTTCTTGTGTCTAACGCATCAGCAACATGTTTGACATGACCCCTTCTATCCCTGAGAAGTATTTTTATGTCATTACTTGGATTTGTATCTCTCGTTCATGCTTCTTGCTTTTTGATATCTATTAGCTCCCTCTTGTTGATAAGTTCTGCCAGCATCGACGAGGCTTTTAACGATTTAGCTGGTTATTAATTTTCCTTCATATTGTATCCTATCGGGAAGTCATTTTATGATTAGTTCTAAGAGATCCATGATCCAAGTTTGCCTGATGTCAATTCCATCTTTTGTTTTCGGGCTTTAGTCAAACTGTTTCCTTAATCTGTTTTTTTCTCTTGGGCGGTAATTTATGCATCCATCAGTTAATGTGTCATTTTTGTAGTTTATGATTCTTTCATGAAAAGGACAAGAAGATTATCCCTTTCTCCTTCTTTCATCCTGTATGTTATCGTTTTTGTCCCGGATAATAAAGTAATAAACTATCCCAGTATAGAAATATTAGTAAAATATGCTTTCAAAATAAAATCTTATCATTTGGGGGGTAACTTGATTTTTGTTATTTCGATTTATACTTTTAAATTTAAATTTTATCCAAACTAAATTCTTAAAACTCCGCATAATTCAACTAATGCGTTGGGGATTTGAATGTCGGTGCAGCGCTTAAATCCTACTTAAGCTGGGTACAATTTTTAATTTTTACATATTTATTATTTTTAATTAATTTTGACCAAATTGATACACATGCTTAGATTGTTTATATCTTATATATGAGATTGCAGGCCAATCAATATATATTTAAAGATCGCATTTTTTTGGGATGTCATAAAGTCACGAAGATGACTGGTGAGCTTTGCAACCCTCGTTTTTAAAAAGGAAAGAAAAAAATCAAAATTAGATAATTAAGATTAAAAAAAAATATCGGCTGCAAGGGCTTTTTAGTCAATCTGTCTGATGGGCTTCCAGTTTTGACCGGCGACTCTGCGAGGCTGCTCCTATAAGTTAGCGATTAGCCGGCACAAAGCGCGTGCGAATCATCGTTGGCTTCCCATAGGCGTTCATAACCCGCAAAGCCTTTCCGCCTCCGCTTCCAGATCCACTGCCATCCGTGCCGATGGATGCCATCGATTCCGTCGTCGATCCTCTCAGAGACTTTGCCAAGGACAGTCTTCGTCTTGTAAAGCGTTGTCACAAGCCAGATCGCAAAGGTATATCTTTCGCCCCTTCCTCTTCTATTCCTTCCTTTCCTTGATTTTTCTTTTTCTTTTCTCTTTACTGATGTCTGGTCATCTTCAATTCGTCGAATTTTGGTGCAGAATTCACAAAAGTAGCAACCCGTACGGCTATTGGTTTCGTTGTGATGGGCTTTGTTGGATTTTTTGTCAAGTTGATTTTCATCCCGATTAACAACATTATTGTTGGCTCTAGTTAGGTAATGTTTCGATCCTTGTCAAGCATGTGCGTGCTTGTGTATAATATTCTCTTGCACGAATTGTTGAACTATATATGCGATTTAGGGTCTAAGGTTGAGGAAGAAAGCGTGCCTGATCTATCCTTAGTTGGGATGTTGGAGTTGCGTGCTTGTGTGTAATATTCTCTAATACGAATTGGTTTGGTTTTGAAGGTTGAGGATGAATGCTAGCACGATCTATTCTTAGTTGGATATGTTGGTGTAGCTTTAGGATAGATAACACTTAAATTTCTGGGGCCTTTAATTGTCGTTGAGGATGTCGTAGGGGTTAAATGCAGCAAGGATTTTGGATGATTGGACGGGAGAAGTGGAAGGACCTGGCACATTCATTTATACAAAATTAAGTAGGAAGAATTGATTTTTTTTTTTTGGGAGGGGGGATTTTCTGTTAGATCTTTCATCTACCCAAGTTTCATAGTGTCAATTGATCATAGTCAAAGCTAAACATTTGTAATGTTCTGTTTAATCTCTAAATACGAGAGAAAATTGGATGGTGATCTGAATTACCTCTTTCGTGTACTGTATAATTTCCGTTAACCAAGATTTTGGAGAATTGTAATTTACGTTGGCTTTCAAGTTGGATTCTCCCTTTAAATGGTTTGATAGAAGTTTTAAAAGTTTGAATCTGGAGACTAGGAAGGCATACTGTGCCATTGGCTCTTAGTCAATTACTGGTTTGTAGAAACTGGGTTGTAGGTTGCGCTTGCATAAGGATAGTCTTTTATTTGAATTATGGCTTGGAAGTTATATGCTGGTTGGGATGATTGTTAATCGCTTTTACAATGTTGTCTTTATTTGTTTTGTTGGCTCTCAATTTTTCCTTTTCCCGTTCAATTGCAGGTTAGGTCGAAGTTTGATAAGGGGTGACCGGATAGTATCACATGAATTCATAGCTGCTAGCTCTTTTTGTCCTTATTTTCCATTCTTGATTGAACGAGAACTTCATAGCCTTTTTTTATTTCAAAGTATATGGAATTGTGTCTTCTGACATCAGGTGTCTTGTATCGTTCTTTATTAACATCCATATGGAAGTACTGGTTTATTAAATCGATGCCATGCCCTTGAAATCATATAGAGAACGAGGGAAGGTGAAAATACAGGAGTATGAGATTTTATATACCTTCTTATGTCACACTTTCTTTATATTTGAGATATTTCGAAACGGGTCGTTAATTCTAGTATGTGGTATGATTATCGGGACTACCATCTTGACGATGACCAGATTTGTTTCATTAATCGCCAACGGAGTTGACTCAGCTGTTGTAGCATGCGATGATTCTTACGTAGGTTTATTTTTAGCCATATAAAAATTGGTTCTTTGAATCCAGCCGTAGAATCCGAAATAGTTACAAATGCTTCTCTTTGTTTTTTGAAATAAAAAAAGGAACAACTACACACACCCACATGCCGCAATGGGATAAAACGCGCGATCCCCTTTCGTTGAGAAGAGTTTTCGAGCTATTGTTTCTTGGTGAGTAGTGAATTGCATTGATTTAGTTCTTTATTAACCAGATTCTTAAAAATGTAAAATGATGCGAAATCAATCAAAAAGTTTTAACCAAAGAGGAGGTTTCTTCACTCCTTGCTCTGGATAACTATAAAGCAAATAATCAGAGGTTCAAATGGGGAAAGAATCCCATTCCAATATGCCTTACCATCTCATTGCTTATAAAATTGGGCATCGTTATATCTGAAACCACAGCACAATTTTCCTAGGCAAATCGGTGGCTTGTTGTCAGGAACATCTCGGGGGAAAATCAGAATGGCAAGTTCCAAACTAACCGAGTAACCACCAATCATTGCTCATCATTTCCAATAATGAAGGCAACATATGCAATAGAATAATCCAGGAAGTAACATGCACAGAACTTTGATAGTGACTCATAAACCACTAACTAGCTTTCTTCAAGCTCACTTAAAACACCCAAAAAAGATGTTTAGACTTGACAGATAATGAACCGATCTTCCAATATCGTTAAGACCTCTGTCACGATGTCGGCGTCCCAGAAAACGATTGGCATAAAAACGTTTTACTGGGTGGGACACGCATCTAGATTTACTTCTCAAGTTCGACGAGGTAACCAACCGCAACAATTAGGTAACTGGGAGCAGCTGAATAAAAGGAAGGCAACGCTTGTGACAAAAGCAAAAACCATCCCTTCCTCCCTACTCAACAAGATGCAGAAAAGACCAACCAGAACAGCCACTTTCATCAAAAACCCAATACACCTAAATGAGAAGGATGTAATTGTATTGTTGTGTTGCTCAAAGGTGAGAGAAGAAAAAACAAACAATGCCACCGGAAGTACTTCATTTTCGTCCTCTCTTACCACCCCTAGTTCAACTTTCTTCTCCAGTCACAACTCAACCACAGGAAAATCAACCTTCCGGTCACAAAGTGTCCCAGGAAACCAAGAGAATGGGCCTTACTAAAAGGGAACTCATCCCCATACTTGTTCTGATTCTTTCAGTCGTGTCAGTTATCAGACTTCTGAGCATCATCGTGAGTACTTCATCTTCCTCCCATGGCTCATCGGGTCTGTATCCAGGCACTCAACACCGTAGCTTCACCCTAAATGCGCCTGAAACTGGATCCTCAAAGAAGCCTAGAAGACCTCCCCGCGTCACCACCCTAACGAAAAAGGAATTCAGAGTCCTGTCAAACCTCATTGCCCAGAAAGTCCCCTGCAACATCCTTATATTCGGGTTTCACTCCCAATACCTTACCCTCTCTTCATTGAATGCAGATGGTAGCACTATCTTCCTGGAGGATGACCCTCATAAGATAAGCAAGGTAAGATTTACCTCGAACAACACCCGAATATACAGAACTGAGTATAACATGTCAGCAAAAGACGCCTACGAACTGCTCAAGGAAGCGAGGCAGAACTCAGCTTGCGCGCCCACTAACCCCAAAATGCTTCGAAAATCAAAATGCAAACTTGCATTGAAGAATTTGCCAGCAGAAGTGTACGAAAAGAATTGGGATGTTGTGGTAGTAGATGGACCCAATGGGGATTCGCCGGAATCACCAGGCAGGATGGCACCGATTTATACAGCCAGTGTTTTGGCGAGAGCAGCGAATGTCTCCAACGTGGTAGTGCACGATGTAGATCGTACCATAGAGAAATGGTTTTCTTGGGAGTTCCTTTGTGATGAGAATTTGTTGCATTCCAAAGGAAAATTGTGGCACTTTAGGATAAATCACTTCCATTCCACAAGATTCTGCACTGATGGAACACAAACCAAGCAGAAGAACCATTCTGCACGTGACAGAGATAGTAAAACGAGTTCGAGGGATCTCAAAAGTCAATGAGCATAAATCACCTTAAACAAGTGCCAAAGGACTACCGTTGATGCCTTGGCAACCTTTGTTTGGCCCAGGATCACTCTAGCTTGCATGATTGTAAGTGACGATTAGAGAGGAACTCGAACAATCACTCCTACCTCGCTGCTAAGTCCGAGCGACGCAAGAATAGCTCATTCAGCTCATATGGGCCTGAGAAGCAGAAGCATTTTTTATTCTTTATATTGTATTTTTTTGGGACCAAACTAGAAGCTGAGTCAAACCTGGCATGCCTATTATTTTTGTTATTATTACTACTATAATTATTATTTTGTAAATTTATTGTCATGGAGCGATTGAGAGCGGATATTATTTGTATTCTTGTAGATTCGACAAGCACATTTTTAGCACAAATACTGACTAATTACTTGACAAAAAGATTTAGTTGATCAAATAAATTCCTAAACTAGCCAGAACAAAACTCACTATAATATACACGCTACTCTGGGTGTGCGTTGGTAACATTCCTGCTGCCTACTTAAGAGGAAAGTATTAAAAAGTAACCTACACCCATCATCAGACCGGTTAGCAGAAATGCAAAACACCTAATATCGCCACAAAATGCTGGTTGATCAATCATCATGAAAATGATCATATAACCAGAATATATTAATTAACAGCAGTGGAAATAGCCGCACCAAGTGTTGGTGATTCCAGACAAATAGCTCGTTCATTGCTCGATCCATTAGCATATTGGGCACTTGTACGCACAGTCGCCGCAGGCACTTTCTTCCCAGCAAAAATTCACAGAAATTCACCATGTTTCATTGTGCTGATTCCATCCGGCCCCAAACCAGAGTCTAAAGAATGCAAAAATGGGGCTTTCCAAACAAGCTGTCACCAGAAAATTCAACCGCACATATGGCCACCATTATCATCCATTTTCTGCAAAGGGGAATAGATAAAAGAAAGATTTAATTATCTAAAAATTAATTATTGGAATATTAGTGCGGTGATAAAATTACAGTCTTGCATCCGAAAATAAAATTAAAGTCTGCTGCAGAAACAAAAGCCTACATTATATTAGTAACCAAGGTCAGACCCATCGATACTTCCACTTATTTTTTACCTCTTCCGAGAAGGATTAAGTATCTCATAATTACAACCAAAGACTTTATTTTCCAGACTAGGCAGCTTCAGATGTAACATGTAATGGCAAAAAAAATGAACAGCTTGAAAATATAAAATAAAGGTCCATATAACATAATCATATATCACCCACAAATGACAATTTCTCGATATAAAGGTTTCCCATGTCAACAAAATTTCATAATCTCACTCATGAGAAAGGGAGGAAGGAGGGGAGTGAGGGACTGATAAGCAACTAACATTAGAGAATCGGGACGAGTGATCTTAGAATATAGCATGAGATAAAACTCACCATTCTTTTGCTAACATAGGGCTGTATCGTGGTGGGTATTTCTGGTTCAACCTCAACCTTAAATAACTTCTGTTTCTCCCTCTCAAATTCCTTTCTAGATTCTTTTCTGGTACCAGATTGCCAGACTCTACCAAAATTAGGAAGCCAGTTAGCACCATAATCCTGCCTTACAGTCTCTCCCCTCTTCTCCATCTCTAACTCAACCTTTCTCCTCTCGGCCCAAGCTGCTCCTACACGTTTTGGATTTAACTTTCTAGACTTCCCAGACTTGTTCAAAGGGGAAACAAGATCACCTAAGGCGGCTTTATAATGCCTATCAAGTCCATCAGTTAACCATGGCGGAGGTGCTTCAGCAGGAACATTGCTGCCCATATTTTCAGTATACCCAGAAGAGATGGGAGAGGGATCTGGCAAACCTGAAAAAGCAAAAGGAGCAGAAGTATATATATCTATATATATAATATGCATGCAAGCTGGCCCCAATCTCAGATCTTCTTTAAAGTCACTGATGACCTTTTGAGTTATGATGTCAACGTTTTCTTCATAAGGACAAATACATGTTCACTTGCCCCATGCACTTCACAAATTTGATGTCATAAATGAAGCAAAGCAAATTATGAACAAAATTCAAAAAGAATACCTTCACAAAAGCTCTCCTTGCTTAACATTCTTCCATCCTTAGGCACCTGGAACATTCAATAAGATGCCTTACTTTAATCAGAATTGGAATAAGAAAGAAATTAGATAGAAATAATGCATAAAGAGAGGTATTATAATAAGGTAACACAAAAGCATTCCAAGCTCCTGAGATTCCTGAATTGGAATCTTACCTCTTTGGCACTGGAGCAACCATCACTTGACCATTGGCTATCGCTACAAGGGAGAGTATGGTAAGTCCCTCCAACTAAGCCTCAACAAACGCAAATAAAAGAAGAAACCAAGTTTCAGGGAATCCTCTGAGATGTACGTAAATAATTTTTAAGAAGAAGTTTAAGGTTCCCCAGACAGAATACGCATACCTGCGAAGTCTTTAGAATGAAATGCATTTGCACCAGAGCATGTTTCTGAAGGTAGAGAAGAGGTATCAAAATAAGGTAACAAACGAGCATTGCTAGCTCCTGAGATTCCTGAATTGGATACCTGATACTCATTTGTATGATATTGTAAAGGCAAAACACTATTTGAAGGATGTGATTTTACAGAATGGGAATGAGTAATATCAAATTTATCAATATTTCCATGATTGAATTGATTATGGATATCACTTGTAGTTCCAGAGACTTCTCCATGACATTCCTCACTCAATAAGACAGCTTCTTTTTGTAGGGTCGTACACTTCTTCTCCCACTGCAGGAAAATAAAAAATAAAAAAATATTCTAAACCATACCAGTTGTCTCATCCTAACAATGTAAAGGTTCAATGACGACTAAAATAGAAAAAAAGAGCAACAACAAAGATCCACAACAAGGAATAAAGATGAATCGTGTACTTTTTAAACTGAATCATGTACATTAAAACACGACCTTAGCCACATCAGCGTCCGAAACCGTAAATGCCTCCAATTGATCCATGGAACCACCATATTTCCAGGAGAATTGCTTCAAATTCTTCAAATGATTGACACTCGCCAAGTGACTGATTGCGTTAGCGCTGCAACAAGAAGCAACGACCTAAGCTATCGTGGAAAGACCAAAGGCACATGCACAATGGGACACTGAAAGGTAAGGATATATAATGCAGACTCCCGAAGATTTATCAATTCAGCTAACTTAAGATCACCGTGGTATCTATGAAATTTTAGTACCCTTTCTTTACACATGTAAGGAGCAACTTGGAGCGACTGGCAGTAAGTTTCTCAGTCCGAGAGACAATCTAAGTTATATAGAACCTTAAAAACGGATTAAGGCTTCCATACCAGGCAAAGGAACTAGTCAGTTCGTCCACATCGGTATCGCAGAAAATGCACCAAAATCGATTGCGAGAAGCGTGTTCTGGCCTGAGAATGGCAGGATTTTTAAGGAAGAAGGATATATCGGAGAATTTCTTTCGGAAGCGGGAGAGGAAGTTGGAAAGGGATTTCTTGTGGCTAGGAAAGTACTTGTGTCGCAGGCCTTGATTGTGATTGAGATTGCAGACCTTGCAGAACTCGAATTCGCTTTTCTTCTTAACGCCTCCGTGCCTCCCAGATTCAATTATAGGGTTTGGTTTGTTGCTCTGCGATTGCTCCCCCATCCCTGAGGCGACCTTTCTCTGCACTGTGAGATTTGTTGGTAGCCGCAAAAATTTTCCTGCCCCTACGTTTTTACGAGCCAAATCGAGAACCAGTGAGCAACGTGCGTTCCACTCCGCAAACCCCAACGACGACTTGGCGCGGCAGATTATACGGTCGTTTAAAGGCTTCTTTTCTTCTTCTCCCTTTTTTTTTTTTTTTAAGCCTCCATCGGATAATTTCAAATTTAAATATTTTTTTGGCAAGGCAAATTCAAATATATAACATTGTCTTAAATATACGTATGTACAATGATCTATTAATGCTAAATATTATCACATGACATTGAAGTTACTTGATTTAGAATTATTTTTGTGTACTTATTTTGACTTGAATTATAGAATAAAGTAGAAATTTTCCCCGATGCACGAATTAATATATTTAATTATATTTGAAATTATAATAAATTGCATTATTTATTATAGTTTAAGATTTACTTTTTATACGAGTATATTTTTTTATTCATTCAAATGAATAGGGTACTATAAGTTTTTAAGAATATGGTTTATGATTACAATTATTTAGCCCAAAAAACAATAATATGCCTAAAATCATGTATTATTTATATACCTCGAACACGGGTCTTTATTCAATACTTATCATAATGATGAGTACCATGTGCTTATTACTGTAATGCAATCTAAATCATTCAAAATCTAATATGAATGGTTCAGATTTAAAATTTTTAATATATCATTTTTTAATGATAAAATTATTTTTTAAAGATACATTACTTATGATATTATATTTCTTTTAAATTCTATATCTATTAAAACAAAAGATTGATTAACATATATAAAAAAAATTAAATTCAATCTTAACTATCTAAAATTGATATGGATTGTCCAAATCGTAATAAGCACTCCATGCTCATCACTGATGAGCATGGAATGTGCTCCCCCTCAAACACTAGTGTTACGTTAAACATGGGGAAATATATCCAATTCAAAATTTAAAATATATATATATTTGTTAAGCACAAATACCCTTCAATTCAAAAAAATAATATTTAAGATACTGTTAGTCATTACATGTAAACATTTCTCATAGCGGAAATGCAAACCATATTGGTAAAATTTCTAAATATATTTTAAGAAAGAAAATTGGACTTTGCATTAAAAAAAAAAACGGAGATTGGACTAGAATTTATACAAGCCCAAAAGGTAGGTCTTCGAATCCAACACGCCTTTAACAAATGAGAAGTATTGAACCCAAAAAGGAAAAAAAGAAACTAATGGGTAGCATATCTAGTTACAATCTGATTAGTTTACCAAATAAAATAAAGGGATTCAACAAGTGAAAAGGAAAAAGAATTAAAAGATCTATGCTTAGTAACACACTAATTCAATAGTTTTTCTGTTCCTTTTTAAAAGAATACCAAATGATGGATGTGGGTGGGGAGGTGTGAGTTGGGAAGATAACATTGTTTTGCGGACCAAGAAAAGAAAAAGAGAAAGGGCATTGTTTAAGGGTTGGGCAATATATGGGGGAGATGGAGAGATGAATGAATAATGAAAGTGATGGAGGAAGCATGGAGGCATTATTCAGGAGTCGTTGCCTGTCCTCTCTCTTTCTCTTTCTCTGCAATTACCATAACGACCCCCCTCTCTCTCTCTCTCATCAAACCCAATCAAACATCAATCAAATGACAATAATACAAATTACATATATACTCCTCTGGTCCTTAATATAGGACCCAATTCTTAAGTTGGTTTTGGTCCTAAATATAAGACCCATTTCTCATATTTATCAATTTTCTCTAAATTACCCTTATAGATACTCCCTCAGTCATAATCAAGTAGAAGAGGAAGAGAGGGTATTAAGAAAGATAATTATGGTGTTTTAGGAAAAAAGTGTCACATTTCTTATAATTAACTAACTTACCTAACTTCCTTAATCTAATCAAATTAGTTAAATGGATAGTTAAATAGATCTTATATTAAGGATCGGAGGAGTACATATGTATATCAGATCAGTCTCCCCCCCGGCTCTTGATGTGCCAAGGCTGGGGCGACCAATCAAAAGCCACCACGTACGCATCCCCACACAACATGCATATCCTTTTTCTGCTAGCCATCTCCTCATTTTCATCTGCACCAGACTTCAGTATCAAATTAATGAAGTTGAATATTAATAATACCTTAAATATATATTGAAAACATATATCCTGAGAGGCTGGAATTATGTAGATTGAAATAGAGATATAATTGAAAAATGGATTGGGTTTATAAAAGTGAGCTAATATATATATATATATATATATATATAAAAGAAGAAAGCATCTTGCACAGTAGTTATGGGTGATGGCCAAAACCTCCAATAATGGGAAATCGCTCTCACAAATGGAGATGGTGTCATTGTTTCAAGACTCTTCATTTTCCTACAGACTCGCAAAAGAGGCTCAACTTTATTCTCTCCTGATTTGATGGAACTGTCTTCGTCACTCTTCATCATCACCCCCTTCCTTGCTTTTTCCTTCTCTCATTTCTGTGCAACTTGAACGGAAACACATAGCAAACTACTGTTCCATCCTTTTTCCACATATAAATTAAAACATGACTTAATTACCTGAATCCTCTTCACATCTATAACACTTGACGAGTGAACACTGATCCTATCACTCTTCTCCCCCCCCCCTCCTCTAAATTCACCCACCCCATGCCTATACTGGCACTTTCATCTTCTGATCTCTGCGTATAAGATACATAATGTACTTCTTATTAGTTCTCAAGGAAATTCTCACTGCACTCACCCATACATGTGTGTGTGCGCGCGCGCCATTTAGTACTTGATATTTGCTCATTTCATTGTAGCTCATGGAAATTCAAAAAAACAAAAAGCAAAGAAAAGAAAAGAGGGTGCTTGTGGTGCTAATCATAGTCATCGCTTTTTCCGCTTGCTGCTGATACCTTTCTCCAACATGCAATTGATAAATCATATGTAATACGACAAGAACTGAGATACTCTTTGGTCCTTAATATAGGATTTAATTATTGAGTTAATTTTGGTCCTAAATATAAGACCTATTTCTCATATTTGTCAGTTTTTCCTAAATTACCCTTATGGATACTCCCTTAATCATGATCAAGTAGAAGAGAGAGAAAATATATTAAGGAATTACGGTGTTTTAAGAAAAACTTGTCATATTTTTTATAATTAATTAACTTACCTAATTTTTTTAATCTAATCAAATTAGTTAAATAAGTTTTATATTAAGGAGTGAAGGAATACTTTGTTTCCCGTTATTTAACTCAAACCGGGAATTTAATATTCAGGCCCCTTTTTTGTTTGAATTCAGAAAGTTACAAGAATCATGATGATGACACTGAAAAAAAGAGGCTTTTCTAGCTTTTTTCTTTGCTGTGCTAAAACTTTTTAAGTTTTCAACAAATTAAATCGTAGGTAAGCCCGCCATCCAGAAAGGATTCATAATAGTTTCTATCATCAATTGCAAGTTTTATTTGCATAAAGTACGCTTCAGCTGTGCTCCCTTTATTTGGGGTGGTTTATTGTAGTTGAACGTTACACGTTTTAGGAGCCCTATCCGTATTTTTTTAGTTCATTCTATGATATGTTTTTTTTTTTTTTGCTGTCTCCATTTCCTTAACCATTAACTTTTTTATACGCTCGAATTAAAAATTTTACATACATCCATTGAGATTCAGACGAAATCAATTTATTACATGCTGCCGTTAAAATTTAAAGATATGTTCATTATAATAGAGATTAAGTTGACCTTAACAAGTAAACTTAAGATTTTTTTTGCTATATCCGTTAAATAAAGATTTTAATACTACCAATATTTGCAATTAAATCACGAGAGGATTATTACTTTCTCGCCGATTGAAACCTATGTTTTTCAGTCATGAGTCATGACTACTAATAAACCTAGCTAGAATTTGGCCCAAGAAAAACCTAGCTAGAATTAATGGCAATAGGATTGACTGCGGCATAAAACCACTTCAACTCATACTCAGTATTTTAACAGCATGATAGCATATACCACAACTGAATTGATCTTTTTTTTTTTTTTTTGGCCGACTACAACTGAATTGATATGATATTAGTTTATACAAGTGCCAGACATAGAAGTTGTCCGGCATAAGTAAATTTAGGAAAGTAGAAGTACGGGTGTCGGATGCATATCCCTGCGAAGTAGATGAAGGATCTGGTTGTCTCGGATATCAACTGTGAAATAATTGGTTTGAAGGATAAATCCTGGCGTATGTTGGTTCGTGCCTGCATATGTGTTTGTCTGTGTATGTGTGAATGAATGAGAAGGACCTCTGCAGGTCGAGAGGATCCCACGAAGGAACAGTATCCCTTGACTGTCATAAGCGGACAACCTGAAAAGACAAATGTTAAGGTTTTGTCATAATGACCACTTTGATGCCTTCCCACAACACAGGTCCTACATCCATCTTTTTCAAAGCTTTCAACCCTCTCAAGCAATAGTTGATGCTTCTTCTTACTTCTTGATTACATCTCCATGATCATAACCAAATAAATGATAAAAGACATAATAATAACTGTAATCCAACCGACCATCACCTGTATGTCTTGGTACGCAGGAATATGATTTGTGGTTTTTTTTTTTTTTTTTGTTTATCTCATCAGTATATATCATATCAGGAATATGGAATATATGTGGGATGGCGTTGTAGCGATAAGATTTGATTTCGGATATGACTAGCTCGCCTGGGACTCATAATCCAGAACCATTATGAACGGTTGACTGAGCGTTGGATGGTGCTACTACGCAGGGGCACTCATTTTGATTCATCAGAGAAACTGTGCCTCTATATATATTTCAAATCCTCTTTTTCTGATGTGCAGATTTCATGGGGGGAAAAAGTAATAAAGTGCAAGTGCTGCTGGCAAACAACAGCTTTGAGTAGTGATGCCGATGAAAATGGCAGGGGCCGGCGGGAGTTAGTGGCATCCTAGCGCTGATTCAAAATGTTCAACCGCCTTTAAAATACGTACGAGAAATACTGTCATGATAATAAGAGGTATAGGGCTGGGTCAGATGGAATCATATAATCTCCTTAGGTAACGTTTCAGATTGGAGTCCTATATTTATTAATAGTGGGGAAATCCTCGTCTAGGGCTTGACGCGCGTGCATGTCTTAAATTGGTGTTTATTTAGAAGAACCAACTTCAGGTGATTTTTACGCAAGATAGTCACAGAAATTATAATAGCAAGAACCAACATATGAATAGGTTTCAATTTTCTTTTATTGACATCTAGTTTTCTCTTTTAAATTTTTGTCATAATCAGAGCCTCTAAAATACATTATTTTTCATGTTGAAGCAATTGATATATCGTCTAGAAAAGTTGTGACAAGAATTAATTATTGGTCATAGAACATATGTCAAACACTGACGTTGACATAGTAAACAAGCACGGTACACGTTGCAAATTTTATGGGTATATATATTAATTAAGGAGTGGTCCATGGTTGCTTGAGGAGAAAGAAAGAAGAGGGGGTATGAAAATGTCCCGAGAGAGAAGAAACAGAAGCAACGTTAATGTAACAACAAACAGGAAGCATCGTCATTGTAAAAGGACGAGAGAAACGTTGTTTTAAAGCAAGTAGATGGTAGTAGAGAGCACAAGTGGTAGAAAATAAGGTTGGGATCTTACCCAATTAGATATCACAAACACACACAAGATTTTATGCAATCAGATTGATAAGAACACAAAGGAAAGAAGGGGTTACCTTTCCTAGTTAACTGAGGAAGATTGTGACCTCACGCCTTCCTCCTTTGTGTTTCTAAAATGTACTTTTCCTCAAAAGTCTAAAGATCTGCCCCCACCACATATTGTTTTCAGAATCACAATAATAGAATCAATAGGGGTCGCTGTATTATTATTGTGTTGTGCCACCACACCTTCTTTACACGTTAACTGTATCTGAGTATTATGTGTTTACAACAGCAGCGGCTTCTTGAATAACGCCTTTGAAAGGATCAATCCCTGTTCACTGATTGATGCCTTTCTAGTCAGAGTCAGTCGGCAATATATGTATCCTTTTCTCCAAATAAATTATAAGAATCATTTTTCTTGTTTGGAAGGCAGACACGGATCGTGGGTGTTTGGTGTGTGATGAGCAAAAGTTAACAAGTTGAGTACAAACGGATACGGCTAAATGTACAGTGTCTTGTTATTAGACCTATACTTACTTCTTGTTCTGATTCATTTGTTCTATCGTCCTCACTGCCTTTCCCAACTTGACCCCCTTATAATTGAATTCACCCCTTTTTGTTGACTTCTCTTGACACCATTTCATCAATATTCTTCTTCATCAGTTTCTACAACGCATATATGAAGAATATGTACTCCTTTAGTCTCAAATATAAGACCCATTTTGTAGTGTAATTTACATTATAAAATAAGTCTTATATAATTACACTACAAAATGGGTATTATATTTAAGACCGGAGGAGTATATAACTATATACGAGATTATCTTATCCATATATATATGTATGGAAATAATCAGAATTTTGTTACAAAGAACACAACTCTTTTAGTAAGTGTGTTTCTTTTATTAATGGATGATTCATTTTTAATATCCGTAGGTGTGAGAGAGAATCCAATATCTCAAATGATCTCATGATAAACCTAGATACAAGGCCAAAGAAAAGAGAATATTTGACAGTCATCATATGATCATATTTACTGAAAATTGATGTCTTCTTTTTGGCAACCTTTTCTCCGCAATTAATTATCTGTAAAAGTTCTGACGGTATATTCTTGCAGCCCAATGCCATAACATTTAGTAAAGTTTATGGTACATGAATACCATCATTTCTTTTGATTCTGGAGAATCCATCATAACAGTAGCCCCCAACACACCATCTTCATTAATGCTTCTGTACTTCAGAATGTCATAAGTAAAGGGAACTAACTAATTTAATTGATCTGATCTCCTCACAATTCTCTCACGACTTACTTTCCAGCATGTTGTTTTGGTTCCACGCTATATCAGAAATCATCTGCATTCAACTGATTAAACTTGGGTATCTCTTGATATCCAAGCAAATCAATTCTACTTCTCGTTGGTAATTTTAAAGAATAACTTATTAATTGGGTGAACTATTTTGAGGTTTCCTGACTTTGGACTGCAAAAGATGCCTCAAATACATCTACTTGAAGGGAAGAAACGAATCTTCCATATTATTGTTTTATGGAAGTCCAGATGCATATATAGTGATCTAATCCTCATCCAAAATATACTGAGAAGTATAACATGTAGTTTCATCTCTTTCCTCTTCAGAAAACAACACGTAATTCTTCGAACAGGTTTAATTCTCCATACATGGAACTCGACCAGCTCCCTCTAAACCCGCATATATAGCGTTCATCAAATAGATTAAAAGGCCGGAAAGAAAAGAAGAATAAGTTAATCTTTATTTTTTTATTAATTTATTGGAAATTAGATAAATTAAAAAGGAGGAAAAACAGAAAATAAGTGAGCACAAGATTCAAATATTGAAATTAAGAAATTAAGTTGGAGCTAGCGTTTGGAAAGCAAATTAAGGCCTGAACCTTTGCCTGCAAGACTGGCAAGTGATCTCCATGCACGTAGAATCAGTTTGTCTAGTGGCTCTTTCTTTCATTCTCTCGGCTCTCTCAACCTCTTCCCTAGCCCTCTCCCACATTTGCCTCGCGCGTGCGAACTCCGATTGCGCCATCTCCATCTCTCTCCTCGTCAGCTCCCTCACCCTCTCCGCGTACGCCTTCTCCATCGCCGCCACACGTATCTGCTCCGCAGCCTCCCACTTCAGCGCCTCCACGCACGAACTCCTCTCCTCCTTGTAAACGCAGTCCGACCCAGGCCGCATCATCGGCCTCACGCTGATCGATAACTGCAAGTCCAGAGACGGCGTACCTTCCGATGACGACACCGTTGATCGGAACCGTAGCAGAGAAGAATTATCAGAGGCGACGCGAGATGCCGATGCTACAGAGTGCGAAGAAGGTAGAAGTTCAAGTTCCTTTTGGTCGTTTTCTTCCATATCAAAACAGACAACGAAAGAGAGAGAGAAAGTACAGAGTCGAGGCGGATGAGGAGACGAAGATGAGAGTTTTGCGTATGCCTGTGGGCTGTTGGATGGGTAAGCCCCGTGGTATATATAAACAACTCCAGGGGGGTCAAATGACGTATGTAGCCCTGCTGGGGGGAAGTGAATTATTGAGCTTGGCCGCTTGTCCGGCGTCGAGACGGGGAAGGGGTGAGGGGTATTATGGGGAAAGGGAGGGATGAAGAGTTTGAACGGCGGGAAATTCCGTTACAAGAAGGGGGGGGGGGGATAACGGATCGCGTTATGGAGGGAATGCGTGAAAAAAGTTTGGGCAACTATCTCGTTTTTTAATTGTTCTGAGATTGTAAAGAAATTTTGACTTTTTCTTTTTGGGGGGGATAGGCGAGTGTTGTGTGGATGTGTAATAATGATCGTCGCACGTGCGCTGGCCATTAGAGCATTTAATAATTTAATAAATAAATAAATAAATTTTTTGGTTTTTGTTTTCGTTTTACAGCCAGAATTTAAGCCTTTAGCCTCCACTTCATTCTAATTTTTGAGCTGTCCTATTCAGTCTTATATATTGCTCATCTTCGAAGAATGAATTGATTGTTTGGCCAATGTTCTAAAAATAAATTTATAATCTTATATATTATTTGCTTTATATAAAAGGTGAATATTTTGTTAGTTTTGTTGTTTGAATTACTCTTTTCCCCTACTTTCTATGAGCATATAGAAAATGAAGTATTAATTGGCTTTTCAAGTCTAACTTTTGGTGGGATAGTTAGAAAGTTATCTATATTAATAGGAGGGAGTAATCTTAAATGACCATATAACCCATTTTGGAAGGAAAAAAAATGTGTTTAAACCTTGGACTATCGTTTTCCATTGGCCAATTGAACTAATCTTAATTGGATGGCTAACCTTTTCCTTCTTTATTGAACCTAAAGATGGCCAACTTTTTTTTCTTTTTTCTTTTTAATGAACATGCAAAGCTTTTTATACTTAAAATTAATAAAAATATCTGTGCCTTCATTGAAATCATCCAACTCTATTTTAACGTTACAAACAAATGCGTCAAAATTACAAAAAATAAATGACAAAAATTCTTGAATGCAAACTCATTTCCGCTCCATTTTTATAATATATAGACCTCAAGTTCCTCTCAAAATATAATAAATATATATATGTATCATAACCAAACCTATGAAATGTTTATATCATCTCTGATTTTAAATATAAGAGCTGGTTGACTAATTTAAATAGATTACAAAAATAAATTAAATTGGTTATTTGTAATAAATAGGTATTTTCTTTCATAAAATATCATTGCTAATCAAGTATATTGGTTAGAACAATCATTATTAGAATAATTATCCTGAGAAAAAATGTATAAATATAAAAGATGAAATGAATTGAAGTCTTATATTTAAAATCAAAATAAAAGTTAAATAAAGTCTTCTATTAAGAATTAGAGGTAGTATAATTTACTAGCCCTGATTATAAAATCTCGTTTGTAAATGACTTATAATTAAGATCGGAGAGAATAAATTATACTACTTTCAATTTTTAATATAAAACCTGCAAATGAGAGCTTATAATTAATCGCCGAAGGAATATATTTTCATGCTGTGAGAAGTCTGTATGGATTTTTCATGTGAGGGGGTAAAGGGGAACTGGGGCGTGGATGAAGAAGGGGCAAAGGAGGAATGGGAGGGATTAGCTTTATAAAGGGTAGGGCAAAGGTTGTCGGCCATGGGAACAGGGTCGGCACGTGGGAGTCTCATCCTTTGGTGGGCCCCGCTATCTCTCTCTCTCTCACATCTTCTTAGAATGCAACAATAACCCCAACATGTGACTCCCCATTATGTCCTCTCACTCCTTTTGCTTTCTCTTTCATGGTTTCATTTCTCCGGAAAAAACAAAACCAAAGACTTAAAGCAAAATAAATTGTGGAGAGTGGGATTTGAACCCACGCCCTTTCGGACCAGAACCTTAATCTGGCGCCTTAGACCAACTCGGCCATCTCCACCTGTTTGTCAACTTTTCCCCTAAATAATTTATTTATTCTATGCCAGCATATCAAAGCCCAAGTTTTTTAACCCTGGGAAGAAGAAAAATTCAGCGGTTTTTCTGCAATGTGTGGTTTTAAGTTTTCGACGACAATATGATCCCCCCTCCTGCTTCCTTCCTTTTCCTTGTCATTTGTCAATCATTTTATCCAGAGACATGACAAATAACAGACTACAATGACGGTGTTCTTAAACTTCACCTGGGTTTGCAAATTCTTCACGGGATTGCAATCTTTCATCACGGTTAGACTGTTCTGCGTTTATGTTCAATGGACATTTAAAGTTTCAGAAACTAATATATGATGTGGGTGATTTGCTAATTAAGCTTACTGATGATTCAATATAATGAAACGCAGGTATAAATAAATGAATGTATTGTGGAAGTTGTATTTTTGCTACAGGAAGACATAGAAAAGGGAAAAGGGAAGTAGTCTTACAAAGGAACAAAAAGAAGGAACGGGATGCTTTTCTCATCCGTTGTGATGAAAAGTTGAAAAGTAAAACCATACGTATAAAGGGTACCCACCCTTATGGCCCTTATGCTACAACTGGCAAAAGGCACCTAAACCATCCTGCCCCTTAATAAAGGACTTTGGGGTTCACGAAATTGGGACCCAACGAACAATGTCACGGAAGAGCTTAGTTGGAGGGCATCATGAATGAATAATTGTCCTAAAGTCACCCACTTCACTCCCTCAAATTGTGTTTACTCTCTGCACCGAAGGGCAGACAAGTATTGCATTGCCTAATTAGATTCCAACAATACCAGAGGGTTTGAGGAGAAAGAAAAAGGAAGGGCACCATCCTCCCTGTATCTTCTTTTCCCATGACTTTGTTTTTTTATTTTAGAATGAAAGGCCACGAAAACATGCAAAACTAGTTGGTCACATGTGCCTTATAACTGAAGTCTTAGAAAAATGCTTTACGCTCCACCAGTGGAAAATCCATGTAAACAAATTTCAGCATCTGATTGATGTCCTTGGTGAGCCAAGAAGTCTATGCGCCAATTTGCTTCTTTTGACGTGTGGTCAAAAATAATTATTGACTATAGCATGGCAAGGTTGTAAATTTGTCTGATCCGATTATTAAGACGACGGTTCTAAGAAATTTTTTTTTTTTGGGTAAGAATATTGATTTTTAAACCTATTAAATATCCACTGCTGAGGTTTTCGTAATTCAATCCCAGGTTCTGACGAGGGAGCTTCCTTTTTTTTGCCTTTTTCTCTTTTGGGGTTTCGTCTCTTTCAATGAATGTGCCAAAGCACAACTATTGTCGCCTTCATGGGCGATTTTTGTGACCATTGCTTGCTTCTTACAATGAATGCGATCCGGTTTTTAGCCCTGTTCTGTGCTGTACATAATGGACTTTATGCAGATATAGATTTGGATTTTTATTGACCCCAAGCATAAATTTGATACCAACGATGGAGATGCCCTTTGCCTGCCAACCTCTCTTTGCTAGCAATCACCCGGTCTTCCCGTGTTCTTTCTACTTTTGAATCCCATCTTGCGTGCAGGATCAAGTCTTAAACTAAATACAAATATTCTGCCTACCCGATCATCAAATTCAGCAGCTTGTGAGCCTGTTGTATGACATTTACAACAAAAGCACTATCCCCCTGGTCCACAATATAAATAATTTTAACCAATTTGTTGATATAAAAAAAATAGTTAATTTGTTAAATATGTTCCGAATTGAATTTTTTTTAATTTTACTCATATTAAATGAAGTGAAAAAAATACAAGTTTTATTTAAGCATTGATTACAAGGACAAAATTAATAAACAAATATTTATTACTCTTTTAATGACATATATTTTAGAGCAAATCATTTTTTCTAAAAGTGATTTATATTGTGAACTGAAAGGAATATATTTAGTAATAATTTTTTGAAAAAGTCACAAAAAAAATGCTAAAAATTGAAAAATTGCATACAACAACTTGTTTACAAAAATTGTTATCATTTGCTTATGAATTATTGCCAAAATCAATACTAATATTATAACAAGTCCCTAGTTGCAATTTTTCTATTTTCAAGGTCTTTTTTTGCCATTTTTTCTAATTTTTTTTAACTTTTGAAAAGCACTTCTATTGATTCATTAATAGAATATTTGAGTAGAAACAAAATCATGATTTTAAAAGTATTTTTACCGTATACAAAGTAAATATATGAAGGAGTTTACCTCAATTTACAGAAAAATAATTTTAAAAAGCACTTTTACACTCATCTAAACACCCCCCTTTATTTATCTCATTGGTCAAATATTAAGTAAAATAACTCAGTAACAAATCAAGGTGAGGAGGTCAACAAAACTGTCAAGGGATATAAAGAAATAAACCCCCCTTGAAAAAAAAATTAAACCTAATTGCCGGGCTCTAAACCAAAAGTTTACAATTTCCAAGTATTCAAAAAAAGAAAAGTTCTATAAGCAGTGCTATGCAGAGTTGATGGCCTCAAGTTGCCTTCGGAGTGCTTCAAGGTCATCGTTGTCAGGGACGGGGCCTCCAGGAGCAGGCAAATTATTAAACTCATCAGCACTTGGAAGTTCGCGAGCGAGACCTTCTGGCAGGGCATCTGCAATGCATGGACAGATATTTGAGAGGCCTCTAAATTAAACAAATAATTGAACGGAGATGAGGCAAAAAGAATTTCTGTTGACTGTATGGACTTTTCAATCCATACGGTCAAACAGAAATCACACAGATGAATATTAAAAAGGCAAGCATGAACCGGAAAGCTATTTTTAATAAATTTAAAAATGACAACTAATAAACCAACACATTACTTTTAACCCAAAAAAGAGAGAGCTAGTCGAGTAGTACTACTAACACGAATTTTTACTATCATAACCATCGCAACCGAAATTTGGTTGCATCTGAATTCAATTGGACCCACTTGAAAAATGATTAAACTGGGAGCCCAATGAACTCGATCACTTGTGAGCGAGGGTCAGAATAAAATTTCTCGACATAGTTCAACAGACTACGACCAACATCAGTAGGGTCAGCATAAAAAACGGTTGATGAAATATAAGTCCCGAAAAAGTAGAGACAATGCAAGTGTGTAGGTGTCAGCACTTATGGCTTCTTCAGAAATCCAGAATCATTACCCCTCATTACATTTCATCTTAAATAGAACGGAGTCCCACGTCAAGTAATAATTCTTGTGGTCCCTAAGCAGCATGGTTTTTCCTATTCACAAGCTCGTTTTCAAAAGTGGGTTTGTCATGCTTGCAAAGGTCTCAATCAACCGGTAAGACTTCATCTGTATCAATATAAACTTTAGAATGTGACACAGAATTACCTGAACTCTTGGCTTCCAGAGCACCCAGTTCACAATCATCAACCACACTGAAAATTTAACAAAGGAAAGTCACAAAATTTGAAGTTAGAATTCCAAGGAAGGAACAAGATAAAAGTAGGCATCTCGAAACGCCAGCATAGTGTATATTCCACCTAGTACAGTTGTAATTAAAAGATTTAAGATCTCTTCCGACTTACGCATTCTCTCCCCTCCTCTCTTGCGCACGTTGAAGTGAAATATGAAGAATAAATGAGAAAAATATCATCATGGACCTTATATTCCCTTCGTTGTCATCATGAAGTTAGAATTTCAAGAAAGGGACAAGATAATAGTGGACATCTTGAAACGTCAGCATAGTGTGCATTTACCCAATACAGTAGTAATTAAAAGATTTAAGATCTAGTCCACTTATTCTTCACCTCCATTCTCGTGCACATTGAAGTAAGACATAAAGAATAAATGAGAAAAATATCATTAAGGACCTTATATTCCATTCATTGTCATCATGAAGTGGGCATTCCTCAGTTGAAAGTGCTTCAGCTTCCTTTTGGGCTTTTGCTGCAGCATCTCTTGCCGGCTTTGCAAGAGTGTACTCTTCCTGCATAAAGTATATAGTTGCATAACCAGGAGGACCTAGTAATGAGTTGGTTCATAATAACAAGTTCAAGCAACAAGGGCAGCATTAAAATGTCTTACCTGTCTTTTCAAGCAAGCTCCGTTGGAACATTGAGGGTTTGGCTTCATTTGCATGGTTGGGAAAAAATCTTTAAGAGAATTATATCCCTAATGACAAGTCAGGAAAGGGTGTTAGCTTTATTAGATTTACAAGAACAGAGGAAGAAGTACCATGGCATTTACCAAATATGGAGAGACTTGTCCAAAACCTAGCAAGAATTTGAGTGCGTTTTGGACCAGCAGCCCAGCTACAACTCCCTACAAAATTAAATTGGAACAAATAATTTTAGGTAATAACAAAATAAAAGTGACATAAAGTTCTAGATAATAATAAAATTAAAAATTAAATTCAAAAGGCACCAAAGGATATACTCTCTGCTTATTTCAGTTCTACAGCCATCGGATTCCTTAGAGTGAAAAGAGGAATCATCTCAAATAAACTAATTAAGTTGTAAGGAAGAAAAGCGTCAAATGCAAGCTATGTGAAGTACACTTTACCATGGTGGTAGGTAATGATGCAGCACAAACACCTTCACGCTTGAGTGTGCGTTCATCTACCCCAGATGCCACAACCTACATAGTAAATATATCTGTATTCTTCAAATGTTTGTAGGTACATTGGTTATTGTAAGATGGATGTAGTATTATAAATCAATGTATTTATTTAGGCGGTCCACCAATTGATACCAAATTGATGACCTAGTGAAACTACACTTGTGCCCAGATTCAACTAAAGTTAACACCATAAGGTCATCTATTCTCAACTTGGAATAACAATCTGAGCTCAAATAAGGGCCACACATACCAGAGGAGGTGCACACGCAAAACAGGCAGTTTCACCAGGAATAAGGAGCTGAATATGACCGGACACAGCATCCTCAGACACGCCTGTTCAAATTTTATATTCACGAGTTTCAGCTCAAAAAAAGTGTCCATTCATCTAGATATGCAAGTTCTCCCCAACAAATCAGTCCGATAAATGGCAGAATATGCTTACATATGATTCTACAAAATGAGTAGTGAGCATATGGATTACAACGCATGACATGCTGACGTATTCTAAAGGAAAAAAAAAAAAAACAAATGCAGTTTATCTACTTTTCATGGCTTGGATGCTTCCCGAATGCCAAGGCAAATTTTGTAAACAACAAAAAATTTCAATGCCAAATTTCCATGAAAGACATCGTTCATTTCTTGATGTCCAGGTAACGCAGTGATTAATTGATATTAATGATAATGATGATGGAGTCGATTCTTAGAATTTTATTCTAAATCAAGTGACTTTAAAACCACAAAATCCTATGGCTCACCTGACTCCAACCATGTCTGGCTCAGTTCATTGCAAGCCTGCATGGTGAAAATAAAAGTTAGCTGTCAGCCAAACATAAAAATCCCAGAGCAAAAAGAAAAGAGTTCATTGATTCTATACACATGTTAAGTTATTAATACCTGGTTAACAGCCATTCTGGCTTCATAATTATCCACGCAACTCAACACAAGGTCCACACCACTGCCTTGTTTATCAGGGCGAAATGATTTATTTTTCAAACTTGACATAAAGGTATCAAAACCTTCGACTGTAGTGATATTCAGTGTATAGCTCTAAATAGCATGGAAAAAGGAACAATCAGCAAGGAAATAAAATACGCCAACACATAAGAGTGTAGATGAAGTTTCATCTCAATAATAGCTTAATGTGTTCAATGAGCCTCAGGCCACAAATAGAGCTAATACTCACCTCAAGCACTACATCAGGGTTTATATCTGAAAGTGTCTGTACAGCCGCATCTGTCTTTGTCATACCTACCTGTGAAGCCAAAACACATAACATTAGCTTATGATGTTAAAGTCAATTTCTTGAAGGCTGAAGCACTTACATGCTTAAGCATATAAAATCTTTACATTGTACATCAACATAAGGCTTATTGTCACAGTCACCGCCTGACTTTCAATAGGCCAAGATCATTAAATAAAAAACATATCAAATATTATATTCTGATTGGATACTTGCCTGATCTGGACGAAAGAAGAGCCTATTCATGTTAGCGAGTTCCACTTTGTCATAATCATACAACAAAAGTCGACCAATGCCACATCTAGTTAGCATCTCAGCTGCTACACTCCCAACACCCCCTATTCCCTGTGATCTTGTGAATGAGAGCAAATCAGAATCTATTGCACAGGGCGAAAAGAAGTCAGGCAATAAAAAGGACAAAAAAAGGAAAGACAAAGAGAAAGGGACTTTCTGCAAAATAAAAAGTAGTCAGGATCCCTGGTTTTGCTCAGTCTTAAGAGAATTGACCATTTTCTATATTGAAGGTCAAAATGGTATGAACTAGATTTCCCGTCTCTTGTAATGGCCCAATGTTGTAGAAACCCTTTCCACACGTTTTGATCATATTTCTCATGTGTTGCTGCCCATCTTTTAGATTATGAGCTGACTTGGAGCAAGTATGAAGCAGGTTACAGTACTATGAACCCATAGTTCCACACAGATGCGGGAAAGATTTTAAATCTTAAACCTCTAAACCATCCCAGGACAAATGAAATATCAACCAACAATACTGAATCACAGATTTGACAAAAGTAATTGGTTTCCTCAATATCTAGTTCCAGATTATTCATGACTCAGAATCCCAAATGTCTTTACAGAAAATCAACCACCACGAATTAAAAATAATAAATAAATAAAGATTTATGCTATTTTGAAAATGTTTACCATGGTTAAAGTTTACATTTACATTTAATTTTCTATGTTGCCCAGGTTTTGGTGATTCCATGAGAAAACATACTCTTTTTGAGATAAAAATAGGAATCGAGTAGGCTAAGGAAAATCATGTCTCTTCGTCCCCAAGACTGATAGGTGTATGAAAAGGCTAACAAACATATATATGCACTGTGCGCAAACAGTTTACAAGCAACTAACGGTGAAAGAGAATATTAGAACATACAACAATGGCAACGGAGAATTCCCGTATTCTTTCATAGTTCTCCACAATACCCATTCTCTGAAGCGCCATAAGCCGACTGTAAGGATTGCTGTCTACAACCTCAGCGCTCATATCCTGTCAACACAATGACATGAGGAAGAACCGATAGAACTTCATAACTGACATGCATCCAAGGCAGACACGTAGAAGAGTGTCCAGAGCGTATACCTGAACTTTGGAGCGTCGAACAGGTGCAGCCTTTGCGAGATCAGCGAGATGTTCAACACGAGATTTAATCTTAAAAACATAAGATCGAAATTAAGCCAATGAATAAGTGAACATATTCATTTCAAACTAACAAAATATGATAAGAAATATTATGAGTTTAATTCTTCCACTCCTAAATTCAGCGTTCTTATGGCTTAATTTTCTCAGAATACCAACTGAGAACTACAATTGTGGGAAAGACGGACGAGGATTGATCCAAAAATCATTCAATCACAAAATGGAGCATAACAGCATAGGAGATATCGAACAAAATAACAATAACGGCCAAACAATATGCATGCCATCGCGCACTAAGCAGGAACTCGAATATCGCAGGGTTTACTTCACAATAACATTGCAGCGGAACGAGAGGACTCACAATGAGTATTAAAAACAATTCAGACGATGAGCCAAAAAGATGTGCGAAAATTGAAAGTACCTTGTCGAGGGAATCATGGAGAGATGGATTAGGAAGCGATTGCCTCAGAGATTGAAGATCGGCTAGCAGCTCTTTGAGTTCGACCTCCATTTCCCTCGTTTCTCTGTCTTGAACACCCAAAAGAGCTGAATCTCCAAGTCTCTTCCCCTGATATGGTTTCGGATCCGACACTAAAAAATTCCTTTAAACGCCTTTTCTTATGTGTCCTTTGTTTCGCTTACTTCACTATGGACTGGGTCTGAAGATGTAGAATCTATCACAACGCCAGGATCCTCCGTTGCTACAGCCTCCAGCTGCCTAATTTTCCTACTTAGCTCGACGACTCCTTTCTCTCGTAATTTTTTCCTTCTTTAAATCATTTTTTATATTATTTATAAATAATTAAAAATACTCCAATGCTTGTGGTTAAAAATCAGCTGCCAGCCTACCAGACTCGAATTAAATAGAAGAAAAGAAATATTGGGCCAGAGTTCAGAGATGAAACGTGGGCCTTGAATTGTGGGCCTCATTTTGAACACGGGCCTTATTACGAAGGTATAAGCGGGCCGAACACTTCAGGGTATGCTTTGTACCCAGTACCCCTTAAAATTATATGCTTTTTGCTTTTATTTTTTGCCAGCAAAAATAGATAAATCAAAAGAAGTGTGATTCTCTTGCGTTCGCCCAGTTTGAAGTGGAATCAGATTCAAAAATCACAAGTTGGGTAAGTCTCTTTAGGGGGGCCTTTTTCTTTCCACATAAAAATAAGAAAGATTGTGCATATCATTTATCTACTTGACAACATCCAGTCTCTGTCCCAATAAATTATTGAAGTCCACATCAGTGATGGTTTCCTCCCTGTTAAGCTCGCTGCTCACCTTTAGCTGCAACATCATAACACTTTATTGAACCTTAAAAGAACAAGGTGATATTTATGTCATATATGGATTTGGATTTGCGCGATTAATGAAAAGATATAGTAGGTGAAAAGGTAGAAGAAAAAAAAAAGAGGCGAAACTCACACAAGATCCATGTGGCATGAATGGGTTTCGTTTTTCTTTCTATTGTACCAGTATCACAGTTCACGGTTTAGTCTGCAGGTTCTGAAATAAGATCCACGCAAGAAAATTTGACTTTTTCCCTCTGTTACTTGGGCATTAAATAGGAATCTTCTTGCTTGCATTTATGAAGATTATGACGGAGCTTTGTTTCAGAAACATTAATTTCAGGGTCTGATATAGAAACAGTGCATGGGAAATGAGAGAAAGCAAAGCTTATAGGTTTCCTTCACCATGCAACCTGAAGTCATATATACATGTATAGTAAGGATTTCGATTTTGGTACTGCATAGAGAGCATTGAGTTTAAGGGTATTTGATAAAAGGGTTAGCTATTTCATAGGGTTTTAATTAAGAGGTACATACCCTTTTAAGAGATGATCAAGAAGGGGCAAACAAAGACATTAACTTGAGGTTCATGCAACCTCCATAGATGAACCAATTGATTGATGACAGAAGACAGAAATTAATACAGGTGAGATGATGTAGAATCAACTTAGCGTGCAACGGAAGGCAAGAAGAGAGCAAGTTGTGATTGCGAGAGAGATCCAACACAAAGGAACAAGGCAACAGGTTTTGTTAGCTTTCATAGTGGCAGTCATATGTGAGAGAGAGAGAGATAGTGTTCTTGGAAGATACCTCAGAAAGAGAAACAGTGGGAAAACTGTGCACCCAAATGAGTGTGGGGGTGAGATTTTGGAGCCCATACCAATGTCCTTTTATTGGGTACAAATAGAAACCTCCAAGATGGAGGGCTAGTACTATATATCATGGATTCCTCCACCAAAGTCTCAATTTTTTTTTCCCTTTGTTAGTTTGGTGTCCATATGAACATGAAGTGGCTAGAAAAGTTGATGTGGGTGCATGTGGGAAGTCTTATTATTAGGCTCTGAGCATAGAAGAGCATCAAGCTCTCCTCAGAGCGTGGAATCTAGCTATTTTAAAAGAAAGGACGTGTGCTTAACTATGGGTTATGAAGTAGGGGGTATTATTTTAGAGGGTAGGTTTTTAATTAAATAAAATGGTTTGGCGCTTTTGAAAGCAAGAAGGCATGTGAGGGGGCAATTAAAGCAGGAAATGGGAGGGAGCATCATTTGATTTTTGAAGAGAAATGAGGCCAACGTCGCTCTCTTTGGTCAAGCGTGCATGATGTGGGGTTCTCGTCCCTCTTCATCATATTCCCTTCCCCTTTATACACAGAACTTCACCTTCCTCCGCTTTACTTTTCAATCCAATGCGATCCCACAGATCTTAACAGACGCTTAAGCTTCAAAAAACCACTCTCAGAAAATCCCACACAATATATTAATTAACATGGCTGACATCCCTTAAACCTACCCATCTTCTTAGTTTTCTAAATTATGAACAGGGGAACTATATATATATATATATATATATGAGAGAGATTAGTTGGGAGAGAGCAGATAATGATGATGTAGATGGGGGAATGCACATATAATGAAATAATAATTGAGGATGGAGTATTGTATGTTAGGTGATATCGCATTAAGAATGAGACACATAAATAGTTGGTCGTACGTACAATTATGAGTTATAAAAATGGAGGGAAGGAATGAATGAATTGATTGGCACGCACGGCATGGGGTGTAACCTGAGAATGAAATCCGCAGCTTTGGGTTGCTTTGAACTCTTTAAAAACACAAACATGAGGCAGAGCGTCACACATAGATATATAGAGATTAAAAACCACAAAGCATTACTTGGGTAGGTAGTATTACTGGAGGAGATGATGATGATGATTATGAAAATGAAAACCAGCGAAAGCAGATACCAGGTCACACGCAAGACCGCAATCATGTCCTACCATTTGCCCTTTTAATTATTATATTTCCCTGATTCTAAATATAAAATAGGTCAATAACCTGATTTTGTAAAACCTTAATCTGTTTTTCTCTCATATTTCTTATACTCATGCATAATATAATATTATGTGCAAATGATACATATTTTGTGAATATCGGTTATATTTATTATAATTAAGTATTTATTTAGCTTTTTTAATTTATTTAAGTTAATTAAGTAACTTTTATTATAAGAAATGAATGATTAATTGGTAAGAATATAACATGTTTTTACCCCTAATAAGATGGACTAGAATTTCACTTTCTAAATGAAATTAAAATCTCTTAAATAGCTTTTATAAATTTGTTTTTCAATTAATTTACTCTATACATGAGTAGAATTTGGAAATCCAATTCTCCGCTATTTATTGCTAAGGCCTAAAGGGATGCACACTAACATAATTTTCTTTCTTGAAGTATTATATTTTATAGAGTTGCATCAGCACCTTCCATTAATTAAGTAAATAGTGTCATCGTGGGCTGGATCACCCACCCAAAAAAAAAAAAAAGGCAGTATGCATGGAGATTCCACAATTACTTTGTTTACTTTATATGCTGCCTTTAATTTAATTGTTAGAATAAAATAAAACTGCAGTCTTCCAGGAAAGTTTAATGTACTGAATTATGAACTTTTATTGTCATATTAGCAATAAAACCACAATCTTACGTTGGCAATGAAATCACATAAATCATACTAACTTAAAAGAATCGGTCTAGTGATTAAGGAGTATGTGCTCCTTCTTAGATATAGGATCTGGTTTTGGTGGATGTGAATTGTGAAAGCCCGTGCAATTAAAAAAATAATAATAATGAAGGGCTAAGTTTAATGAGTAAAATTAATGACAAAGTCGATGCACACAAAACACTTGGAATTAAGAATCGAAAATATAATTACAGCACATTAAACTAATCGCAAAGCCTCCAGCCCCGTGACCTCATACCCAATTGTTAAGTCCGGCGACCTTCTGGATGTTACCGAATTTTCCACGCCTTCTTTCATTTTTCATTTTTATGTTATAATTATTCTATCCTTAATATAAGATCTATTTAACTAATTTAGTTAGATTAAAAAAGTCAAATAAGTTAATTAATTATAAAAAATATGATGTATTTTTTCTAAAATTCCATAATTATCTTCCTTAATATCTTTTATTTCTCTCCTATTTGATTATGGTTAAAGGAACATCATTAGAATTAATTTAGAAAAAATTAATAAATATGAAAAACAGGTATTATATCTAGAACCAAAATCAACTTAACAACTAGGTCATATATTAAGATCAAGAGAAGTAATATTCCGTCCAATCTGATTGATTTTAGGTCTTATATTTTGCGCTATTAGTGTTGCCCAAACACAATTCATGATTCCAAAGGTCAGTTATTTTCAAGTCTTCACTCAAAATTGGAAAAAAAATAATTTAATTATAACAAGCATAATCATAGCTAATGACCTTGATTGTTTTTTGGTTTCAATTAAGAAAAAGCAGAAAATAAATTTTTTTTTGGCATAGTATACGTATTAGAAAATTAAAATTTTCTATGCAAAATGACTTTAAGAAAATATAACTGAAGTCAATAAATATATAAATATATATAAGGCCGGGATTACTTCTATAAGTTAAGTAAATCAGAGAACCAAGCCAGGTTATGAGAATTCCATATAAGGAGTCAAACGTGAAAGAAGCGTTGACGTTTTTGGAACTGTTCTCTTCTATTTGTGGGTGACCATGAAAAAAACTATGGTACACCCCACCTCCATTATATATCAAAGTCATCCATCATTTACGTGTTAAAAGAGGTAGCTAGAAATTTCCGGCAACGACCCAAAAAAGTCAGAGACACAAACCTTATTCTTTTTATAAAAAATCTGTAATCAAATGTTTTTGTCTTTATTTTCTTCTTCTGTATGTTTCCACAAACATGCAAACTAATTATTTAAACTGCCAGCCTGCTGCTTTCTCAGTTGTAGGTTTTAGCCTTTTAGGTTTCTGGTCATATCATATATAATCATACCACATTACTACTATCTACTGCTTCCTATTTACTTTTTGTTTTCCTTCATCACCACCTCTCACCCAGTTCCCCCACCCCCTTGATTATTCAGTTTATTACGCTATTTTTTATCCCTTTTTTCTCTCTTCTTATGTCATCTAACACGCTTTAACAATTAAAAAATGGCAACCAAAAAAAATTACTCCATATCCTAAAATTTCAACCAATATTAACCACGCTGTAATGGCCTAGTAGTAACCTCACTTGTTCCCTTAATCAAGTGGTGGGGGTTCGAATCCCACTCTTGAACATGAAAATGCTCCCGTGGCCAGCCGTTTGCCCTTAAGTGGAGGTCCCCGTAGTGGAGGGATTAGTCACTGTTACCAGCGGTAGATATCCTAAAATGCTCCATATCCTAAATTTTTTTTTTTTTTGCTTACTACTAGTAGTGAGCAAAAAAAAAATTTCAACCAATATTTGTTTGTCTGATAGTATATAGGAAGTAGTATTAGTTAATTTAGTTATTTGTTATTATTTTTTAAAATTATTCTATTTAATCATGTGTATTAGGTGATTGGAATTATCTTTGGTTATAATTCATACCCATCAATAGGAATGTTTTTAAAAAAATAATAGACAAAGTAAATTGAGATCTTATATTTAATATAAAATCTAACTCATCAATTAGTTCCTAACCTTTATAAATTGAAGGTACATTCACATGAAATTCTATACGAAATTAAGATTCAGGACGTGGATGAGGAAAGAAATAACAATCAAATATTGAGCCTTATATTTAACTAATTAGTTTCAAAAAATGATAAACTATAGCGTCACTCTCTGGGGATAGAAAACAAACAAAGCGAGTTGTAAAAGAACCGATGCCTCGTTCCAATATCTCGAATCTCGGTTGAAATATCCCATATCTATATCCATCGAAACTCTTGAGAATTCTCTTGACTTTGTTAAAAGACGTTTTGAGATCGAGATTGGTGTGGTTAATTAATAGGAGTTAATATAATAATCAAACCCAGAACTACCAAACGATTCCAAGTTCCATCTATGGATTTTCACACATTGAGAACAAAGAAAGACAAAAAAAAAAAGTAAATAAAAAATAAAAACACACACAGCACTCATTTTTTACCAAACAGAATGGATATGGAGATGTAGTGGGTCTTTGGAAGGAGGGAAGAGATCTGTGTTTCACCAACTCCACACCTTCAGAACTTATCCATTTCACCAATACCCATATTTCCATTTCCCTATCCTCCCAATCATGCAAATATAAATCATTGTCCCTCCTTTTTTTCCTTCTTCCCTTCTCTTAATTTGTCCCCACTCATCATATTTATATCGGCCTTCTTCTAGCTTGATTTGCAAAACTCTTCACAAGTATTCCAACTGTCCACCTGCCTTATCCCCTCCGAATGCATAAATATATCCAGCTGAGACGAGTTTCGTTTGTTCAGATTTAATGATTGAACCAAATAATATAAAATTTGTTTTTGATGAGAAACGAGAAGAAGAAGAGTAAAGGTAGAAAAAGGTGGTTGATTAGTGAAGAATTGAAGTGGATGGAATACCAAATCCAATGGACTGTGTCTGGGATGGCTTTTAGGGATTACCATTCTACAACTTCCAGTAGTATTGAAACCATGATAACAACATATATCTGATTCTAACACATTCTTTAGACTTTGATCCACCTATTTATATTATGGACCAACGTGCCTAGCTAGCTACTTCTCAAAAAGTCAACTAAATTTCGATCAATTTTCACCACCACATTTTAAAAAAAAAAAACTATGGATATATGATTGAAATTTTCTTTCCTGTTAGGAGGTCAAGAGAATCAACATTATTCTCGAAACAACATGCGTCCAAAGCGGGAAAAAGAGAAGATCCACCACAATGAAAGCTAGATTTTCCCATTCCTTTTAGGAAAACAAAAAAACATTGTTAGTAATGTTCAAAATATACAATTTTCTTCTCGTCTCCGCTAAATATTGCTGATTAAGCGCAGGCTTGGATCTCTCCCCAACAATTAAATTGAAATTAAATTTTTAGCCTTTGTCACGAGCCAAACTTGATTATATGTCAATTATATTATAGATCCTTGCGTGTCACCCACAATTTCTTTTTTCCTTTTTCGCCAAAACCAAGATTCTAGTGCATTTATGTGTACTTAGCCTGCTAATTGTTAATAATAAAAAAAGGCCAAAAAAAAAAAAAGGCAGCATCAATCTCTTTTTTTATTTTCCCGGGAAAAATTAGAAGAATAATGGAAAGCATGTGAGTCCCTCTTGGAGTCTTGGTTTGTGGGGAAGAGCAGAATATAATTTTAACTAGAAAAGGAGAATATGGAAATATATTATATTCTCGAACTTTCTACTTGGCTCCCATACAGCTACCGTCTGCTTCCTTTCATCTTTAATCTTTCCCCAGGCGTTTCCGTTTCCTGTTTAGCGCGAAGTTGCAATTATATTTTCCTAAATTTTCATACAACTCGTAATTTTGATGTAAATGTCTCTGTTTTAGAAACTTTTAAATGTAACTAAAATGCTCAAGATTGCAATATGAATTTTTCAGCAATTTGATCCTTAAAAAAAAAAAAAAAGGGTTTGACCAGTGAGCGGGACGTCCCCTGTGGTCCGTTCAGAGGCCCCACCCTCAATCGAAAGAGAAATAGCAATTCTGATCTTCAACCTTGGAACGCTATAATTAGTCCCTCCTCTCTTTAAACTTCAAAAGCAAGCTCTATTTTAATATATAGGAAAGTTGAAGCCCCAGAATTCAAGTTCCTCACATCTTATACTCAGTTTTCTTCTGCGTGACCCTCCCTATTTAATTCTAATAGGAATACAAACAAATGCCTGTGATCCGACCCCCTTTACTCTCTCTCTTCCTATCTTCTTCGTGATACAAGGCCTCTCTCTCTCCCCCCCCACCCCCACATACTGTTCATACACCAGCCTGACCCCCGGCTGCTCTGGTTTTGCGTCTTCTTTCACTGTTCTTTTCCTTTTGAATGCGAATAATTTGCGTCGGAATATAATATGAGAAGGCCATTTAGATATTTCCGCAGATACGACTACTTCGATGCCTTGCCGGACGATCTTGTGGTCTCCGTTCTCTCCAAGCTCAGCTCCACTGCTTCTTCTCCTTCTCATTTCATCAACGTTCTCTTAACGTAACTTTTTATGCTCTTAAATCATGTCTTCTACTTCTTTCCCTTTCTCTCCCCATATTTTCCTTTTTTTGATTAATTAGTCCCTATTTTCCTTTCAACAGATGCAAAAGACTGAATCGATTGGCCCTTCACCGTCTCGTATTGGCCAAAGCTGGACCGAAAGTATTTACCGTGAAGGCCAGAAACTGGTCGGAATCCACTCACCGGTTTCTCAAACTCTGTGTCAACGCCGGCAACGTCCACGCTTGCTACGCTCTTGGAATGGTAAGTATGTATATAATTCATATCTAAAAATACCTGTTACTTTCTTTTTGTTGAGCAAGAAAAAGGGCACATGCTGAATTTTTCTTCTGGTTTTTATGGTTGCAGATCCGTTTTTATTGCTTACAGAATCGAAAGAGCGGGCTGGCTCTTATGGCTAAGGCAGCTATGAAGTCTCACGCGTCGGCACTTTACTCCCTCGCCGTGATACAGTTCAACGGCAGCGGGGGCTCGAAGCGTGATAAGGATCTTCGAGCCGGCGTGGCTTTATGCGCTCGAGCATCTCTCCTCGGTCACATCGACGCGCTACGTGAGTTAGGCCATTGCCTTCAAGATGGCTATGGCGTGCGGCAGAACATCGCCGAGGGGCGGCGGTTGCTCCTCCAAGCCAACGCGCGTGAGGTTGCCTACGTCATACGCTCCGTCTCGCAATCGTCTTCGTCTCCCTCCCGTTCCTCCTCTCTGCTGACGTGGCATGCTCACCGGTATCAAAACAGCCCATGCTTGGCGGATTCGACGTCTTCGCTGAGCAATCCAGAGGTCCACCAGCCGAACTGGTTTCTAAGAGAGTGGTTTGAGTCGGGTCGGGGAGTGCTGGCGGAGGGTCTGAGACTGTGCGCGCACATTGGATGTGGTCGTCCGGAGACGCGGCCTCACGAGTTTCGCCGGTGCTCTGTTTGCGGAAAGGTGAACTACTGCTCGCGTGGATGTCAATCGCTCGATTGGAAATTACGACACAAGATGGAATGCTCGCCGGGTGAACTGTGGATTGAGGATAACGGCGGCGTCGGTGATGGTGGAGGAGGACCAGCAGAGGCTGACGGAGAGGGTGGTGCGGACGTGGCAAATAACGTGGCCGTTGGATGAGGGAGACGGAATCTTCCGGCCGAATTACAGGGGGTACGGTTTTCCTTTCCCACCAGATGGGGCAAAGCCCAGTTTCTTGAGAAATTCGTTTGACAATTTGTCGTATTAATCCTCACAGTAAATATTAGAAAAAAAATTGTTAGATATTCTGTCTCGATTAACCCCACTGATCCTGCCTTCGTTTTCTTTTGCCGTCTTCTACGAATGTATGGATCACTCGGCAAGATAGTCAATATGGAAGTTATTTCCCTTCAAGGATTCTTGATGGATTTAATAAGTGCAGTGGTGCTGATGAATCCTGATGGAGACGGATTCCCCTTCCTAGTGCACGCACTATTGTGCATATTTTGGTGAATAATTAAAGCATAAAATTTAATTTTGTTATTTTATATAAGCTTTTAAATTGGTTTTTTAATTATGAAAAGAAAAATATTTTTTTCAGTTCTGACTTAACACAGCAAGTCTTACAGGATTATTGTCATTTTAAAAATAAAGCTTAATGTGTTGCGTCTTACAGTATTTTGTGTAGCATTTAAAATTTGAGCATGCGTTAACGATATTAGCATGAAATGATTTGAGAGACGCACTAAAATAAAATATGAATTTTGGGAATATGAGGGAATGAAAGTGTTGAAGAATTTAATAATTAAAACTAAACATTTTAATTTGCCATGAAAGCTGTGATGCAACGTGAAGATTCATAGAACTTGAGAGGGGTGAGTAATTTTAACGTGGAAATGCTGCATTATACGGAGGTCAGAAGGAAAAGAAGAAAAGCGGGAGCTGATGTCGTGTTGCGTGGATAGAGGAAAGGATTTAAAAGGGGAGAGGATAAAGTAGAAAATCCAAAAACGACTGTTTGGTTCGATTTATGCCCATTAGCCGCTGTGGTTGGAGTCGCACTATCAAACCAAGATCTCTTCCTTCTTGGGCTATGCTTGCTCCACGAATTAACGCCCCCCATTATTTGTCTCCTCTACCTGTCCTTTCCGTGTTTTGCCGTGTTCCTCAAATTTGAGTCTCACTTTGTACTATTTCATTTCAAATTACGACTTCTTTGTCTTGTCTGGAAGCCATGCCTTTAAATAGCTGCATCTTATTGGTTCCCAAATTTCAAATTTGTGAGACTCCCAGGCCATCTCCAGCACCTGTCGTTTTTCTCTTGCTCAACTAATATCATTCGTTGTTCTTGCCAAAGAGACTGCCCCACAAGTTATTTACAGCCCTAAAAATATTAAAATAAAAATGAAAAGGTCCATAATATTCTTTTCAGGATTTTTGTCCTAAAAAAATTAAAAATCTTGACAGGCTGTGAATGGAACGCATTCTCTTTTTCACATTCAGTTTTTTTTTTTTTTTTTGGTGTGTGGTGAGATGTTCGTTTTCGGCTGCATGATGAATAATAGATGCAGAAGTTGAAAAGTGATCATAAAAGCATGATGATCCTAGCTCATTATTGTTATTCTTTTCTTTATAAACCTTAATGATGAGTAAGCCGATTTCAATTCGATACATTTTTATCAAACAAAAAAAGAATTCCATGCCCTCTTTATTCAATTTCGTCATGAATATTTGAGGCTAAACTGAAAACTCATGGGCCGAAACAAAAGTTCAATTGCTTTCATGCATGCCTCTTTTAACATTTTTTTTTTAAAAAAATAAAAGTCCCAAAACCAAACGAAATCTTCCTTCCTCTAATACGTATCCACGTGTGAAGTTTTTAACTGTTATCTTATCTTATTCAGATAAGAGGCTATGGCGCTTCCGTCCATTGCGATATAGCACGTCCACTCTTCAACGCCATTAAACTGATAATATCCCTTCTTCAACCTTCTTCCTCCCTCCTTCCCTCTAAAAACTGCAAAACAATGGCGTCTTTTCAAGCCTCACTGCAATCCAATCACGTTCGTCCCGTGCAAATCCCCAGAAGCTTCCTCTCCCAAAAGCCTGTCCTCAACCTCTCATTCTCCGGCACCAATTTCCCTTCTCTCAAACTGAAGTTCCCCGGCACCGTCACCAACCGCCGATCCAACGGCGCCCTCGGAGCTAAGATGTCGGCAACCGCCGCCGCTAGCTACGCCCTCGCCCTCGCGGACGTCGCCAAAGCCAACAATACCCTCGATGCCACCACCTCCGACATCGAGAAGATCGAGGAAGTCTTCTCCGACCCTCAGGTGTTCGGCTTTTTCTCCAACCCAACTATCGATCTGGAGACCAAGCGCAAGGTAGTGGATGACATTGCCACCTCCTCGAGCTTGCAGCCTCACACTCGTAACTTCCTCAACATTCTTGTGGACGCCAAGAGGATTGATCTGATCAAGGACATAGCAAAGGAGTATGAGTTCGTCTACAACGACTTGACGAACACAGAACTCGCGGTGGTGAGCTCGGTGGTGAAATTGGAGGCGGAGCAATTGTCGCAGATAGCGAAGCAGGTGCAGAAGCTGACAGGGGCAAAAAATGTGAGGATCAAGACCGTGATTGATCCGAGTTTGGTGGCCGGATTCACCGTCAGGTATGGGAATTCTGGATCAAAGTTGATTGACATGAGCGTGAAGAAGCAACTTGAGGATATTGCGGCTCAGCTCGATTTGGGTGACATCACACTCACTGTATAAGCCTATCTATCTACTGTTTATGGTTCAATTCGATAAGGCGTTCCCATTCTTTCTCCCTCTTTCTTTTTGTAGTTAAAAGCGCGTCTTTGTGAAAACAATTTCTGGGTTTTAAATGGTGAGATTTTGCTGCATATACTACTCACTGCATGATGAAATTGCAAAACTGGCTCCCTGTACTTTTATAACCATATACTGGAAACGTGAATATCTCCATTATCTCTGTGAAGGGATTCCTCTTTTTAATGACTTTAGACAGACGTCCGAAGATTGCTTAAGTAGTCACCTGTCCCACCGATTAACTAGTGAGACTTGCATATTGGAGGGACATAGCATCTGGATGTTTAATTTGTTCACTTTCGTGTGTTTGTATGTTTGATTTTCCCTCACAACCATGTCTCATAAATTATGAATTAATTGATGCGAGAATAATATAATTGTGATAATATTTTTTTAATCCTTTTTTAATGTTTAACTTCTCAGCTTAGAGGAATACGAAAATCGCTGACCAGAAAGAGAAATGCTCTTTTTTCCTTGTAACCTGGAGAAAAATTGCGTTACAATAATTAAATACATTTTGTCAGTTGCGTTCTGTTTTACTCCATTTCTTATCGTTCAACCAAACACTCAAGAAATGAACATCTAATAACTCTGCATTCGGCGCATAATTAGTATTGGGAAAAAAGTAAATACTCCTCCGGTCCTAATTATAAACCCAATTGACTTATTTGAGGAGATTAAGGAAGTAAGTTAAGTTGGTTATTTATAATAAATAAGTGTTGTCATTCCTAAAATATCCTTGCTAATTAAGTATATTGGCTAAAACTATCATTATTAGAAGGATTATCTTGGAAAAAAATGCATAAATATAAGAGACAAAATGGATTGGGTCTTATAATTAGGACCAAATAAAAAGTCAAATTGGATCTTATAATAAGGACAGGAGGAGTATAATAGTGAAAACAAATTCAGAATTCTCTTCTGCAAAAGCTAAGGGTATGGCTCAAACTTGGGCTTAGGGCCTAGTTGCGGCGGCCCGCTACGATGGATTCTTATTTTGCTGGTGCTGACTCTGGATTTGTGTTGGAGCCTGTGCATTCCCGAAAAGAGAAGCTCCTGTTAATGAAGAAATTCAGATTTAACGTGGGACAGTTACTAGCCAACAATGCCTGCTTTAGAAGAGCATCAATATGTAAATATTTGTTTTTGGGGTTCAAAAATACCAATGTTATACACACACACTCCATGCAAAAGGGACATAAGAAGTGTGGCTATTTAGGTCTTGTTTGAAATAATTTATAAGTATTTTATAAGTAGTTTTTTAATCGTGATTTATAAAATATAAAGTAAATATATGTAAAATTTTTTATCTTAACTTACACGAACGTGATTATTGATCATGAATCCAAACAAGCCCTTATATAGTGTCTGCAAGATGATAACAGCTTTTTTTTTTTTTCCTCGTGATTTATAAAATGTAAAGTAAATATACGTGAACGTGATTATTGATCATGAATCCAAACAAGCCCTTATATAGTGTCTGCAAGATGATAACAGCTTCCCCCCCCCAAACTGGGCCTCCCACGCTCATAGGCCCAATTACGAACTACTGGTCCATGGCAATATGCCTCCACTTGTTTCTTGCTCGGTTCGTCTGTTTCTTTTCAGTGAAAAGTAAATGTGGGGGCCTATTTTGATGGAAAAGCCTGATATCTATCGTTGCGGTATATTTTAAAGCAAATAAAAAGGGAAGGGTTTTATATAAAGTGAATCCTGGTGTTTAATAATAATAATCATGATGATGATGATATTGGTTTGAAAGGTTGGCAGGATGCAGGAAGCGACCATTTACATATGATTCCACCATCCATCAACACTTAGGTTTTCACGTTTTCACAGTGAAGTGTGAGGATCAGGAAAAACGGTGACAAAAACAAAGTATCAAAACATGTGGGTAAGAAACAAGGAATTTGGTGGAATTTAAAAAAAGCATAGCTTTTAATAAGGTAAACGATGGGGAATAATGACAGCTGCAGCATGCCAACGGCACATTGGTTGAGCAATGAAAAGTCATCAGAGTGATCGTCATTCGGAGCATGTATTCTGGCTGCTCAAGTTCCCAAATTCCAAACGTAACTTCATTAAATTAAATTATACTCATCTGATCCTTAATATATAGTCTACTTGTTAAGTTAACTTGGGTCCTAAATATAAGACATATTTATTATATTTATTAATTTTTTTAAATTATCCCTGTGGATAGAGAGAGGGATATCGAGAAAGATGATTATAGTGTTTTAGAAAAAATATCATATTTTTTATAATTAACTAACTTACCTAATTTTTTTAATTTAATCAAATTAGTTAAATAGGTTTTATATTAATGATTTGAGGAGTATATATCTCCTTGTGTTGTAACGGATTCCATGTGATAAGAATATTTGGGAATTGGTCATGTCACGATTAGCCGCCTTCAAAAATATTGTTATTATAAATATGAACAGCCTACACTTTATATTAAAGATCGGAGATAATACTTTATTTTACTCACTACCATGTACTTTTTTGGTCCTTATCTCTTTTTTTTTTTTTGAAGTCTAAAAACCATCAGGTGGAATTTCTAGCACCACATCCTCCGATCATTTTGTTCCCCATTCCTCAGTTTCTACAGAGTAGGATGATTCATAAGGTCATGGAATGCTATGGGGCTGGGCTAATCAATGGTGCGTTCGGCCAAGTTTGAACTTTGAAGTGTACGCTAATTGAGTTGACCGCCATGTATGTGGCGTCCGAGATGAGTTCTTGTGGGCTTCTTGCTTTGTCAACTATGAGAGGCCCCCCACATTGCCCGCGCACATAGATATACATACACAGTAGTACTCAAACATATTTTCCGTTTTATTTAAAAATATTTTCAACATGTTTTATTTAAATCTTATTAATTATGTCCCAAAAATTAATAAATTTTTAACTCCATTCCTATTTAACAATAATTATCGGCTCATTTAAAAATTAATAATATGAATCATAACTAAGATGAAAAAAAGCACTCTCTGCAGTAGAATGCAAGGTAAAAGAATTTGTTGAAATTTGTTAGAGATAATAATTGTATAAAAATATATGTTTATTTATGAATAACATGAATATGAATGAGAAAGAACGTACCTATAAAAACACCTCTCCCAACAGAATTGCGTTAATATATCAGATACTATTGGATATTGAAAACATACTTAAAAAATAGTTAAGCCGGATAATATATCAGCAATATTGTTTAGATATTGTTAGGCCTGCATGACTTTAACTAGTACTGGTCTGTGCTGACTCCGGGGCTATTGAACATAAATACCCCGCACAAATTTAAATGATTCCTTTGATTTTGCTTATTCAAAACATTTACACTTAATTTATATTTGATTATCAATAACAAATTCGTTCGGATACTGATATCGGACGGAATCATTGAGCTAGATTGTCATAGTTTGCCACCTGAGGCAGTGTTTCGGAAAGGACAGGAGAATCCTGGAGTATAATTCTATTATCCTTCGTGCTCGCTCCTGCGTCCCCGCGTAAACTGGCTGACGCGTGGATTGAATTGAAGAACACTGTAGAGCGAGGCATATAAGGAAGGGACCGCACTGTTCTTTTGTCTATACATCTTCCAGTCAAACTCGAATAATTCGCAGAATCCAAACGGCATATTAAGCTAGATAGCTTACAGTTTACTTCACTCATTCATCTGAGAATTTCTTATGAATATGGGAAACCATCCTCCTCTTTCGTTTGAGTTCAATATGATCCTGCTATTGCTGTGCCTGGCCAACTTGAGCATCGCTTTTGCTCACATTAATGGCTTCGGTGAGCAGCCTCTCTCCAAGATTGCCATTCACAAGACTGTTGTTTCTCTTCACAGTAGCGCCTCCCTTAGAGCTTCTCCCTCACTTCTCGGCTTAGAGGTACCGTTTAATCACTAATTCCGCAAGCACTAAGTATTTCGACGTTTCCTTAGCTACTGTCATTGCTTTTCTTTAGTGTTCAGCAATCGTCTTCACGGGGCGATAACTTATGAGTTAACGCAGATTAGATGATAAAGTGGATTTTAACAGGTCCTTGGTTATATTGGATTCTTATTCGTAAACCAGTAGCTTCATTGCCTTTGTTTCATTTGAAATTCCCAAGTTTTTAGGTTAGGGATGTTTTAGTCGAATACTTGGATTTTATGTCCAGATTTTGTGATCCTCCTTTGATTTATATAATTGCAGGGTGAGGATACCGAGTGGGTGACTGTAGATCTTGATTATTCTAATCCATCGCCAGATGACTGGGTGGGAGTTTTTTCTCCGGCAAATTTCAAGTAATTCACTTTACATGGACTCGCTAGTCACTTTAATAACTATACTTTCTAAGCACTGTCATATACCTGTAAATGATTGAGTTCAGCGGTGGGCAAATTATAGTTGTTGAAGAGAACTAAGAGAAAATTTGCTTTTCATATGACAGCTCATCAACCTGTCCACCTATCAATGATCCAAAAGAACAGACTCCATACATATGCTCTGCACCAATAAAGGTAGGTGCCATAACTAAGCTTACAGATTGATTTTAACCATAGTGCATTACTCACGTGATGGATTTGAATCCTTGTACCAGTACAAGTTTGCGAATGAGACCAATCCAAACCATACAAAGACAGGAAAATCTTCCCTGAAATTCCAGTTGATTAACCAGCGGGCAGATTTCTCATTTGTCCTATTTTCAGGAGGACTATCAAATGTACGTCCGGGTTTTTTCAGTTGTTTCTTACATTTTTTTATCTCCATTCTTCTCTGACTACGTTTTGTTTTGTGCGGTGTGTTCAACAAATTCTCAGAGTGTAATTGTTGTTCTTAACACAAGCCTATTTTCATTAGTATAGGTTCATGCTTCTATCATATGCTAATTTGGATTTTTTTTTTTTGACAACTGCAGCCTAAACTTGTTGCCGTTTCCAATTTCATATCATTTGCCAATCCTAAAGCACCTTTATATCCCCGCCTTGCTCAAGGAAAGTCTTGGGATGAAGTAAGTTTATCCTCACTTTAAGGTCCTTGGTATTTAGTTCATTGCCTTTATTTCACCTATTGAGGTGCTGATATCATGTTGAAGTTCCTCTCTATAAAGGCATTATAAAGTCTTAAAAGTTACAAGCAAATCAAAATACATTACCGACCTTTCTGATAATGTAATGATCTGA